ATAGGCGTCATTATCAAGTGGAAAAAAATTCCACTGGTAAAGAAAATTTTAAAGATAAAAAACAAAAAAATTATAAAAATCAGCGTCCCTGACATTAAAGAGTCAACCAATGACAAGACCACACATTGCCTCAAACCTGATTAAGCCACATGTCGATTTAGTCATATTCTGTCATATTTTTCCAATTACCATTAAAGATAATCATTAACGCCAGAATTATTATCATTTCAACGCATGTCTTTCGTTTTTTGGCAAGACTGTACCTACACTCGGCCAAGAGACACAAGAATAAGAACCAACCAATGCGTGCGTGTGTGTGTGAGTAGATATATAACTGGCTGGCATTAGTCATGGGACGGCGACGACGACGGCGAACGGCGGCGGGGAGACGCGATTGCGAAAAATAACGTGTAGTAAGTACACCATCAAGTGCAAGTTCCTGCGTCCTGAGTTCAAGGTCTGATGACGTACGAATCGTGTAGTCCTATAGCGCAAGAAGAGAACCACAGTCAACCAGTGTAACAAGTCGACGGCTAAACTGCTCAAGTACGCACGAAACACAATACAAACTACAAACAAGCTAATGAACCATACAAATACACACCAGGTGAAGGGGGTTCACTTTATGAAAGCTTAGAAAATAGAAAACTTGTTGCATTAACATGAAATCTATAGTTACGAAAATTTGATTGATTGAAATTCACTAAGAAATTCGTGAGAAATAAGAAATTTTCAAGAAAATGAAAAAATTCAAAATCAAACCACGTTCGCACCTCGGACGTGACACAACGTGAGACACTCGCTCTGTGAGATGATGATGGTCACCAAAGTTGTGCGCAAAATTCCAAAAACATTTCCACGTAACGATGAAGTTCTAATTGTGGTTTAATATTACATTTCGATTATATAAACACCCCATACGTGGAAAATTCGAAAAAATCGGGAAATAAATTTTTATAAAATCAGCGTAGGTATTGTTACGTTAAGTTAAATAATGCGTAGGTATTTATAGACATATTCGCATTTATACCTATTCCTGGATTCACTGGTTCACTTATATCTTGCATATTATATCCTCCGCGTAATGATTTTTAAATGAAGACCGTCCAGCGTCAAGAGACAGAAACAGAAGATGGGTCTGTGCCTTCCACCTCTAAAGTTTTATCGATTTGCCAAACTCCACAGCCAGCCTGGTAAAAAAGGTGGCGGCGACCCAACTCCCCCTTTTCTAACACGCCACCCTTCTCTCCACTCGCTGCGCAGTCGGCAGGACCTATTCCAGCTTCATCTCGTTCGACCGAGGACGAGCATAGGGTACAAGACGGTGCAATATCGATTTCAGTTTTGTTTAGGTATAGGTAATTTAATACAAATCAATATCTTATCTCGCGGATAGTAAATAATATGTCAAACCTTAAAATTACACAAATATTTACCGATTGCATGTCACAGTAGTGTTTCGTAACAAGCGGATAACAAAATGTGTTTTCAATCAATATCTTTATTATCTCATCACGATGAAAATTTACCGTGACTGTTATGATGACTGCGCAGTTAGGAGGTAAATTTAGAAAATGTGAGAGAAAGCACGTTGTTATTGTGTCATTGTGTAACGCGCCTCAAAACAGCGGAACATGTATTTGTTTAGAGGCAATCAATTAAATTGAAGTAATGGCTACTTAATCTTCATTATATAAATTTTATGCAATCGTAATAATTGAATTATTTTATTTCTCGCTAGATGGCGTCATCACTTGAGTTCTTGTCACCATGTTTTATGAAAATTATTTTATTTATATTTTTACTTCCCGAGATTGCCTAGCTATTTCTGTATGCACGTAACCTTCCGCAATGAAACAAACCCCACGTCAGTGCTCACCGGCGAGGGTGGTACACACCCCACTTCTTTCTCAATAATCTAAGTGTTTGCGTGGGCGTCTATAAGGTTATATAAAGCGGAGGTGTGATTCACGTTTTTAAAATATTGAACGGCAAACAATGGTGAATGAATTCTTCCTAGTCGCGGTGTATGGTTGAACGAGTGTAAATTCGTTTTATTTTAATGCAATTCTTCCATTTTTGGTGAATTTGTTTTCACACCTGCTTTGAGTAAATTATTATTGTCTTTACGGTCAGTGTTTTCATGATAAATCTGATAATATTATGAATATGCATAAAATATTGATTTAACTTCCTAGATAATTTAAATTCAATACTGTGGAGAAAATACGAACGATTTTTATTGTTAAATTAATTTTATATGCATTTAGAGCCTTGTGGGATGATCAAGACAAAAATCTTTTTCATTACAAACATTCAGATTTCATTTTGGTCCAGAAATACGAAATTTAGAAAAATATTAATTGTAGAGTGAAATATTTGGGCATAAGAAGTATATGATGAGCATAAAAATAGTAAAAATAGTTGAAGTGTTACTATTTCTGTTATTATCGATGCGTTGTTGTGTTTATGCGTAACCCCGGCGTATTCGTAACCTTCCGCAACGAATCGAGCGCCACGTCACGACAGTGCTCGCCGGGGCGAGGGTTGCACACTGCGTGGGCGGCCATCTACCTATATATAGAGGTGTGATTCATGCGTTAAAGTATTGAGCGAAAGACTGAGCAGGCGTATAGCCAAAAATCTACCCTTGACTTCATCCACGTTTAGCAAATCAACAACCATTCCCTCAACCCCAGAAAATACGAAAATCACGAAAAGCATTAAAATTACCATCGAAGGTAATAATATAATCAGATGACGTGGTTTTGCTGATATAACAGAATAAACTCATAACATACAAGACTGAAAATGGGAGTTTTGTACAGTAGCAGTGGATCGATAGCATTCCAATGTTTGTTTACCACGTAGAGGTCCCGGACCATGTGCGCGTCTCCGATTGACTGACTCGACCTGGCTAGGGAAATAGTGCCACCTGGCACCACGTCGCAAAGTACGTGGACCAATTGGAATGCGCACTTTTACAACCCTCGCGGTGACATTACCCGCTGTTAGCTGTTAGTCTGGCCTAATTTAACACATCAAAAGGAAACGTATAGAAACACGTTTTAAATAATTAATGAATATACAATAATATACTGTTATAATGATTATTATCAATATACAGAGGGGTTTTATTATTCGATCAACATAAGGGGTAATGTATAAACAAATTACATTGACCCGCGCGGGCACAGGTCAAAGAAATAAGTAATTTTGTTTTTTTATGGGAAATATTCAACTGAGTAGTTGTAAGTTAGACAACTCTACATACACAAAAACTGATACTTCCGTAAATTATACTCGTTATAATAATTTTAACTACAGAATTTATATAATTTGGTTTATCTTGAAAGAGGTCATGATAATAAGTTATAATTTGATGTAGAATTTAAAAAAGAAACTTGCCTCCTGTGAGGTTTGAACTCACGACCCCTGGTTTACGAGACCAGTGCTCTACCACTGAGCTAAAGAGGCCTCATAGCCTGCACTTTTAATCTACAGTATTTCTATAAAATTAAATAATTTACTCAAATTATTATTATTTGTAACAATTATATGTTACAATTACACACACCGTTATTAATTTATACATCGTAAGTTATAATTATTCTAATTCAAAGTAATGAATGAAATTATTCACAATACTAAACTTCTAAAAATCTTAAAGATCTAAATTATCAACATTTATCATAATTACGCACGTTATGATATATTTAATTGACCTGAATAAATCTCAAGAAAATCATTCCGGCCTTGGTACTAATTACACCAACCCGGACGGCCCAATTTCATTATTGCTTTTTTCGCCTTTTGCTCCACTTCCTCTTACTTTATTGCTTGTGCTTTCGAGCTTCACAGGTAATTGACGTATAACCTATTTACAACGGTTTGAAAATGAAAAAGTGGCAGATACCTGCTTATAAAACATCATACTTATTTCATTTTTATCTAAAACTTATCCGTATACACTCACACGTTTCATATTTACTGAAGAAACGCGTTTTATCAACGATATTCTATACTATCGGTGAAAATTATTATCTTGGAGTTGATAAACTCTTCAAATAAATCATAAACCTTTAGATATAATATCCAGCTATAGGTATAAACAAATATTAGCGTCTGATAACACTAAAACAACTTTAAGATGTCCCAATGATTGTACAGTTGTTCACATATACAGAAATAATATTTATGCAGATGATTCAAAGATAAATTCTAGATTTTAACTTTAACTTTACTTTTGTTACCTGATCAATGACCAGAAATACTTTATATACGTACCTGAAACATTTTTGCACAAATTTCACACAATTTCAATGCGAAATCAAGTCACAAAAGGCAAGTCCGTCCGTTTGAAAGCTTTTCAATTTCAAGCTTTCTCTTGTATGCTCTTCTTTTCACAAATTCACAGCACAGAATTAAATTTGCACCACAACTGAACTAGCACTACCTAGGTCATACACATTGTTACAGATTTTCCTCTACGCATGAAAGAAATTAAACCAGGTGTTCTTTTTTATGACATTGAATCTAAATTTACAGTTCAGTAGTATAATCGTATGTGTTTTTTTTCTTCTGGTGCTAATGTTAGGGTTTGCAAAGGGAAGTTTATTCATCAAATATAGAATAAGGGTCAAAGAGGAAAAAAATTCAATGGGAATGACGCAAAAGTCTTATACAAGTCGCTCACAAAGAACATACCCCGAGTGAATTCGATTTAAGATTGCGTCTTGAATTAATAAAAGTTGATTGTTTTTTACGACACAATCAGTGCGATTTCAATATGAATAGAATTTCTTATTGTACATAAGGTACATGGCAAGACTCTTTTGTGACAGACGTGTGCACGAGCCCCTTAAACCTTAAACTTTTCTATAGAATTGCTTTGAATAATGATTTCTTCTAAACATTTGAGTTTAGAATTCATTCAAGCCACACGCTTTTGAAGCTACTGAATAATCGATAAACTAAATATTATAGGTTTAGGCACTTACTCAGAATCTACGGTGCCTTCAGTCGGTAATAATTTGGATGGTGATGCTTTTCAGCTAAAAATAATTAAAAATACGTTAATAATCAAATTTAGCCGTAAATGTATATTGGGTTGCCTATATCAAGGAAGGAATTCTTAATGTTTGTATTGTACCTTCATTAGACCGCACCATTTGTAAATAATAAATATTCTGCCGCAGTTTGGTTTTATATTCCTTAATTTCGTCTTTGATCTTTGTCAAATTGTTGCTGTTCCTGACATCCAAAGAACCACGATTCAACCAGATTTCTCTTTTGAGATTCTTGAGAGCTGCATCGCTTTCAGTCCCTGTTTGATTGAACACTTCCATTGACTTCGACACCCGCGGCCTGTCGCGCACCCTTTGTTGATCAAATACGTTGTCGTTTACGTTGGATATGTCCGAACTGGTATCGCTGCTTTTCAAGCGTGAATTTACTATTTGGTTCACCTGGCGTTTAATTGCTGTCTGTTTATACGATCCGTGGCCACTGTCGGCGCTGAGTTTCCTTGGTAGGCTGATGCTACGATGAATTTTGGGGTTGCAATTTCGTAAGTGTTTTCCTGAACACTGATTACGACTAGCAGGATCAAGTTTGGGTTGTGAAGCCACAAACAGACATATTTCCATTCTTGGCAGGGGATGACGCGATTTATTTATGATTTGGATGATTTACATGGGTGTTGGTGATTTAATTGTGCGGCGATGAATAATTTGAATTTGAAATGTCAAACGGGTCAAAAGACCAGTTAATTTTGAAATTTGACAAGTCAGAAATAAAAATGCAACTAGTTTGTCATATTAACAAACAGTATAAGTGGTTTATTGAAATTTAATTGATGATTTGCATTATAAATTACAAATATTTACAAATATTTATTAAAACAAGAAATAAATATATTTAAAATTATTATCATTACATTCCATCCAAATATTTTCAAATTATAGAACTCAAAAATTAAAATGCATAGTATGAAGACGTTGTTTTATAAAATTCGGAGATTCAGGGTTTTAAAAGTTGGCCGTGAAACAGCGCGTAGTTTGATATTTGAGATCAAGAGTGCTTTGGAACTAATATAAATATCTTTGCAATCGAGAGTGCCATGAAAATCTTCCTAATAACTGCGATTGTTTCCCTAACACATTCTTTGTTTTACCATCGTAAAACAAAAAGCAGAAAATAGCACTAGTCAAAGTTTTAAAATTCTTTTAAGAAAATTTGAATTAGTAGAATGTCGTTGCCTTTATCAAACTCTGATTATGAAGAAGCAGTCAACGTTATAATAAAGCCAAATGTACGTCTAATTGATTACTCAACTAAGCGATGGGAAGATGTGGAAGATATCATATTTGAATATCACAATAACTTGAAGTCTTCAAAACGATCTGAAGAAGCAATCGCGTCTAATCTACTACCCCGGGCCGACTGTCCGTTGTTCGGGTATATGCCAAAATATAGAAGACAAGTTTTATTCGAGTGCAATACATGTGGTAAGCTAGTAATGCCATGCGTATACAAAGAGCACTATGATAATCGGCATAAGGAAGAGCCGATGGATCAGGATGTAACGATACCAAAGAAACCAAAGAACAATAAAAGTTTAAAATTGGGAAAAGCATCTTCAGGAACACGTCCTAATGGGAATGTTGGTAAAAAATAACAGCAGTAGAGGATTTTAGAGCAAGAGAATTAAAGAATTAATATTTTATAACTTATGTAACATTTTATAAATAAATAAAACTTTATTATCCTGTTTTGATTCCGAAATCATTTTTCCCCTTATTTGTCTTGATACTTGTACATATTTATTATAATTAATATATGACGAATTAAGTAGACATGTGTGGGATTAGTATATGTTGAACTTGTGGTTTCTCAACGCCAACCCCAATTAAGAAAGCTAAAGCTGGTATTGACGAATCATTGTTGATCTAGTTGGCGATAACACGTGATGACGTCAACCACAGCCACCCTCGCGAAACGTGCGAATTATGCTTCGTCACTCCGATGACGATGCAGAATCTTATATTAACCCCCATTATTGGCAATGCATTTGACTCTGATGTGATAAGCAGGCTTACTTCCCTTCCAAATTACCGACGTTAGTGGTACACGTATCGCCATCTAGTAGATTAAACTGGAACTGAAACTGAATGTTCAGAACTTGACATCATAACCTTACATTTAATTATTGATCAACTGATCTCCGGTTCCACGTTCCTGTCTAAAATTTGTATATTTTTGCAGTTTAATCAATTAAAATGAGCGTGTTACCTCAAGTGTCTTCAGATGCCGTGGACTCGGAACAAATGCGCACGGTAATTTTCTTGCATTACTGTCATCCACTCAATTATTCAGCACATTTATAATTTTCAATACTATTTTAGTTCAAAGAATTTCTTATCAACTACAATAAAATATCAGAGATGTGCTTCCATGATTGTATTAGTGATTTTACAAGTAGGAAAATTAAAGCACCAGAGGTAATTATAAAACAACTTTGAAGAAATGTCCTATATCAATGTAAATATTGCAGGAAAAATGTGCATTAACATGTATGGAAAAATATCTGAAGACAAACCAAAGAATATCTCAACGTTTCTCCGAGTTTCAGATGTTGGCAAATGAGAATGCACTTGCTGCAGCACAAAAGTTGCAGGGTAAAGCATAGTTATGCATTTCACATTTTTAATATCATCAGTTTGTTATGTGGATATACACTACATAAGTATATTAGTAAATAAATATAGTTAGTCAGTCTGTTATCATATAAAACACAAACGTTTCTGTGGCTTGCTGTCACTTGTAAGTATAATTTGTTCCTTTGGAGATTGGGTGTGTGTTTGATCAACATTTTCAATGGTTACCTTCATCAGTTTATTCATTGCCTCATCTGAAATTATAAACAATACATGAGAGTTATCTGGTAGTTGAGATATATTATGTAAATATTTGAAATTAATTTAGTACCCAAATTAATATTTTCTTTCGCTGATGTGATGAGCCACGTCAAAATCTTGTGTTTGGTGCAGAAAGCGTTAAGTTTTTCCGTTTCAATATTTGACGTTGTTATGTCTCCTTTGTTTGCGAGGAGAATTATCGGTATATCGCTGCCATTTGGAAGAGTGATGCGGTCACGCAGATCTGTAACCCACTAAATCAACTGGTATATCAAAAATGGTCAAATGTTGCCATTATTTTATGATTTGCGTTGAAAGAAGTTAATTTTTTATTATTTACGTCTAAAATATAATATTTACCTTATCAATGGAGTCGAACGTTGCAGGACGAGTTAAATCAAATACCACAGCAGCTGCTAAGCTAAAAATATGAAAACATATTTAAAATCAACGTTTAGAAATAAATTTTACGAACTTCTTACGCATAACGGTAATAAACACTTGTTAGCGATCCGAAACGTTCGTGTCCCGCAATGTCCCACAACTGCAGGTTGATCCGCGTATCCTTATTCCATTCGATTGTGCGGAGGGCAAAGTCCGCGCCGATAGTAATCTTATACGAGGGCGAAAATGTGTCTGGAACACGGAAGCAGGTAATTCACCTCTGCACACTACCCTACAACCCCATATAATGGCATCGTCTGGATACAAATTTGTCCTTCGGCTTGCCACAAGTTATACAATATTGATTATTATGGAATGCGGCAGTTATCGATTAAACAATCAACAATTCTCAAGAATTTTGATTTGAAACTCAGAAATAAAAATATTTAACAGACTTACCTTCTGCATATCGTTTTACAATCGAAGTTTTTCCTAAAAATGAATATTTTACATTGTGTTGATAATTATTTTGAATTTTATACTTACCAACGCCGAAATCACCCAAAACAAGAATTTTGAACAGTAGTTCACGTTTGTATTCCATGTAAAGCCGCAACTTTTACACAAATATAGCCAGGAATATTTGATTCCGTCTACATAACTATTATTACGTTGTTTTCTCACGTGTGATAACACTTATCATTAGATGAATGCGTTATGTTCGATTGATAAGAGTTTCGTGCGCGTTCGGGACATGTTGCGCGCGAGAATCGCATTGCACCAGCGAACTGATTCCCAACTATCGGGAGTTTTCATTTAGAATTCATGTTTAGTTACAACTAGCGCTATCTTACCATTGATTTACTAAGTGAAAAGGAGTTTTCTATGACCGTAAAACCTTGAAAATTGTGCTTGTAACATTCAAGCACTTGGCAATGATTTGAAATTGAAATTATAGAACACACGTGTGAATTGTTCAAGTAAATATTGAATAAATAATCAGTATTAACGCATTTGTTATTATTGCAGTCAATATTAAATTCACTGTTGCTAATATTTAATGAAGTTGTAGTTTTTGTCTGTGTTGTGTTATGTAGGATGTTGTCATGTACCAATTTTAAATAGTTTCGGGTGTAGCACACTTATTGCGTTTTAACTGCGATCAAGTTTCGTGTGTTTAGTAGCAATCATGATTCGAGCGAGTGCGCATCGCTTATTTAGCAATCAACTCGCGATAAACTCATTGAAACGATGTTACGCTCTTGGTGTAACCGCAGAAACGGAACCGGATGTGATCCCAAGCGATTGGCATAGTGCAAAACCATATGAATCTATTCCTGGCCCGACCCCGTGGCCAATTGTTGGTAATGCCTGGAGATTCATTGGAGGGGTTGATTTTTTAAAGATAATGAAACAGTAAGTTAACAAAATGGCCGCAATGAGATATTTTGGGAGATGTTTATATGAATAATATTTCTTTATAGAATGCATAATAAATATGGCGATGTGGTGATAATGCGCCAACTTCTGGCTCTTGGTGATATGACAATGCTTTTTAACATTCGTGACATCGAATGGTTGCTTCGTAATGAAGGAGCGTGGCCTATTCGTGATGGTTTAGCATCCAGTTACAGATATCGTCATGTACTACGCAAGGACGTATTCGGAGACACTTATGGTTTAATTAACGGGTTGGTTCCTGAAAATCCATGAAATCAACAAATCAACAATTGATTATGTATATAAATTAAATTTTCTAGTCAGAATGAAAGTTGGGGAACTTTTCGAACGGCAGTTAATCCAATAATGATGCAGCCTCGCACAACACATCAGTACATACCTCAAATCAACGAAATTGGTGATGAATTCATTGAGCTCGTTACAAAATTGAAGTCGAAGGATGCCAATAATGAAACACCCGACAATTTCGCTGATGAACTGAATAAATGGGCGTTTGAATCAATCACGGCCATTGCATTGGACACGCGATTAGGTGTTTTAGCTGAGAAACCCAGTGCTAAAGCAGAAAAAGCTGTACAATATATTACCGAAAGTTTTGGTTTAATATTTCAATTGGATTTCATGCCGGCTGGAAAGCTTCACATGAAGTTTAATACGTCAGTATGGAAAAAGTTTGTTAGAAATCAGGATTACTTCACTGAGTAAGCGCCATTTTTTCAACCTAAATTTGAGGTTATTATCAAAGTATTTTAGTATGTGCTTGGAGTTGATTGAGCAGGCACAACAAAGGATTAACAACAATCCAAATTATACTCTGAAACAAGAACATGAGAAAAGTGTCTTTGAAAGATTGGTGGCTAAAGATAAGAAAGTGGCAATGGTGATGACTCTGGACATGATGGGTGCCGGAGTGGACACAGTAGGTATTGTAAAATTGAAGTTCGAAACAAATTTTATTTTTGTGTTATTTCAGACCGCTAAGGCCGTGGCTGCTACATTGTATTTCCTAGCAAAGTCACAAAAATCACAAGAAGCCCTTCGTTCAGAGTTGAAACGTCTTCTACCAAATAAAAATTCCCCAATTACCAAACAAGTCCTCGATGACGCAAAATATTTGCGCGCCGCCATTAAAGAGGCTTTGAGATTAGCACCGATCGGCATTGGGAATATGCGCAAGATGACTAAACCAATGGTACTTGGCGGGTATCAGATACCTGAAGGCACGTTGATATCAATGCCTAATTTGTACTTGAGTAAAGTGATTGATAAGCACTTTTCAAACCCGCAAGAGTACATTCCGGAGCGATGGTTGCGAGAGGTTAAAACTGAGAATGTGAATGCGTTTGTTTCGTTACCATTTGGTTTTGGCGCTCGAAGTTGTATTGGAAAACGGATGGCTAGTATGGAGATTGAAGTGATTGTTGCTAAAGTATGTCAGTGTAGGATATAATTTAAGGTAGTTTAAAATTATTGATGTATTTTAGATGGTGCGAAACTTTGTTCTTGAATGGCATCACAAGGATATGTTCTTTAAGCAAGGGCTTATCTATGGAGTTGCTGATCCGTTGAAAATTAAATTGATAGATCTACCAAGTTAAGTATTGTCGCACATGTTTTTCTTATTAAACTAATAGATAATAAAATAATAAATAATAAAACTTGGCTATTGTCTCGTAGATTTTCATTATAAGTATTCGATTTGTTTTTCTTTGGTCACAAATATCACGATTTTTGCCTGAATTCGTCAAACACAAACAAATTTATTAATTTAAAATTTAACTAAGCACATCATAAAATTAGGTATGTTTAATATTGTAACAATGTATCTGGAATCAGCGCATATCAACTCATTTTTGTTATATAAAATATTTTCAGTATTTTTTACGCACAACGCAACAATCAACTGTTTTATAGTATAACTTATAATACTCGTACATTGAGCGGCAATTTGTTCAATTATTACAGCTGAAGTGACTGACGTGTCAAGTTACCCAATTCAAACTAATTCTAATCTCCTACTCCTATAAAATGATTTTTAACTGCGCATTATATATTGTCAAGTTTCGCGAGCTACACTAGACCTAGTTTGGAGAGTGTTGTTAGTCTCCGCCATGTTGCGATCAAGCGCGATTCGCGCGCTACTCATACGCGACTTGCCAAATTTAAGCAAACAAAATACTTTGATTTTGCCGAAATGTTATTCGGTGAGTGCTTCAGCTGCAACCGCAACTGCAGATTCAGATACATCATATCAGACCGTTGAATATGCAAACGCCAAACCATACGATTCCATCCCAGGACCTCCAGCATATCCGATTATCGGAAATGCATGGAGATTTATTGGCGGAGTTGATTTTTTAAAAATATGCAAAGAGTAAGTTTGTTGTTTTAAAACTTTTACATTCATAACAAACAAATTAATTGTTCAATAATATAACAACCGAGACCTTGACTGGTGTTATTGCTGCTATATGTTATAATATTATACTGTATAGTTGATGGCATTGAAATTGTTTTGATGTAATTACGTAATTCCAGCTGATTTTGTTTGGGTATAATTTAAAACCGCTTAACTAGGATAGACTTGTAAATATTTTTGTTATCAATGTGGTATTTTATGTAGAATGCAGACAAACTATGGCGATGTGGTAAGAATGCGTAAAATGGTGGCATTTGGTGATATGACCTTCGTATTCAACACCCGTGATATGGAGTACATGCTCCGCAATGAAGGCCAATGGCCGCAGCGCGAAAATCTTAAATCCAGCATGTACTATCGCCATGTTGTACGTAAAGATATTTTCGGGGACACTCATGGTTTGCTCAACGGGTAACTCATAAATCCTAATAATAAATATTGTATTGTGTTTTGATTGTTATATTAATGTCATAGACAAGATGAAAAATGGGGCACGTTCCGAACTGCAGTCAATCCCATTATGATGCAGCCACGTGTTACCCATCAATACATTCCACAAATCAACGAAATCGCTGACGAATTTATTGGTTTAGTAAAAAATTTGAAAGCGAAAGATCCCAATGGTGAAATGCCTGCAAATTTTATTGATCAATTGAATAAATGGGCTTTTGAGTCTATTACCGCCATTGCTCTGGATTATAGACTGGGAGTATTGGCGGAGAAACCAAGCGAAAGGGCCGAGAAAGCAATGAATTACATTTTGGATATATTCCGACTTTCATTGAAGTTGGACATCATGGTGACCGGTCATTTTCACAGAAAGTTTAACTCACCTTCATGGAGGCAGTTTATTAAATGCTCGGACTTTTTCACTAAGTAAATATGTGTAGGTTAAAATAAAAGGATATTAATTGAGGTTATTATAGTATGACATTGGACCTTATCGAGGAGGCCAAACATAGAATCGAAAACGATCCGAACTACGCGAAAAAATCAGAAAATGAAAAGTCTGTCTTTGAAAAATTGGTCGCTAAGGATAAACAAGTTGCAATGGTGATGATTCTGGACATGATGCAAGCTGGTATTGACACTGTACGCATAAAAGAAACCACACACATGATTATAAAATTAATCTAAACATTGTATACATTTTTATAGACTTCCAGAATAAGTGGTGCTACTCTTTACTACCTCGCAAGATATCCAAACGCTCAGGAGAAACTACGAGCTGAACTTAAGCGCCTTCTGCCAAAGAAAGACTCACCAATTACCAAGGAAACTCTTGATGAAGCAAAGTATCTGCGAGCGTGTATCAAAGAATCCCTAAGATTGGCGCCCATTACTTTTGGCACGCTTCGCATCATGACTAAAGACATTGTCCTTGGTGGTTACCAGATTCCCAAAGGAAGTATTGTTACTCTACCCAATCTTTACTTGTCTAAATCTGTGGATACGCATTTTTCAAATCCGAGTGCGTATATTCCCGAGCGGTGGTTGCGAGGTGTGAAAACTGAAAATGTGAATGCGTTTGTTACGCTACCTTTTGGATTTGGTGCTAGGAGTTGTATTGGCAAGCGGATGGCCAGCATGGAGATTGAGGTTGTTATTGCGAAGGTGAGTTCAATAACAGTATCGTTAAATTAAAAAAAAAACTTGTTTAAAATTGATGTTTGCGATGTTTTTTATGAGTTAATTGGTTAATGATTACTTGATGGAGGTTAGGCAGTTATAACAGGATATTTTTTGTAGATGGTGCGCAATTTCATAATGGAGTGGAAACACAAAGAGATGGGTTTCAAGCAAGACATGCTGTATGGTATTGCGGATCCGCTGAAGATACGATTGAGTGATGCTAGTGATTAATTATAATTTTATTCTATTTTTCGATACGTTTTTGTGTAATTTTTAAATAATTGGTAATACAATTTATAATCTGATTGGTCTGCGAAGAATAAAGATATATGGTATTCTAAATTAGAGTAAAATTTAAAGTCAGACACTAAAGTATTTATAAATTGCGTAGTTAATATGATTTTTATCAGTTGGTAAGTGAAATTTTGTTTATTTTCAAGTGTTTTCGTTTTTATTCTTATCTAATCAGTGCATTATGACTTGCTAATTTAGGTATAAGCATAAAATGCACTTAAACACTTATTGATTTTCACACAGTAACGATTTCTACTGATTTTAAAAATTTATTATATTTTATTACTGCATAACAATAAGTTGTGATAGATTATATTAGATTTGGTTATATTTCTGGCCCATAATTTAATTTTGAATTTGAAGTGGTGATTTCTCATTTTATTCCATCTTACTTCAATCACTTATACTCTATATCACTTATTAATAATCTACCTAATCATTGTTTATATTAGATATTAATAGAACGCTTGAATTATTAAACACACAGTCTCCATCATGCTGCGATCAGGCGTGTTTCGAGGACTACTCACTTGTGAGTTACCTAATTTGTCAAAACAGAACTTTTTACCGAAATATTATTCGGCGAGTGCAAACGCCGCGCAGAAAACAAACCATCAAACAGTTGAATATGAAAATGCCAAGCCGTACAACACCATTCCAGGACCAAAACCACTTCCAATTGTTGGAAATGCGTGGAGATTCATGGGAGGCATTGATTTTTTGAAAATTTGCAAAGAGTAAGTGTTTATACTAATAATTAATATGTAAAAATATAACAAAACATGTAAAAATATTATTATTGTGCAGAATGCATAACAAATATGGCGATATTGTAAAGATGCGAGAACTACTCGCTTTCGGTGACATGACATTCTTGTTCAACACTCGTGACATAGAGTACATGCTCCGTAATGAAGGACAATGGCCGAGTCGTGAAGCCCTGCCATCTATGATGTATTATCGCCATGTATTACGTCGAGATGTTTATGGAGACACTCATGGTTTGGTCAACGGGTGAGTTTGAAATTTGCAAAAAAAAGATCCAAATTTTTAAAATAAATTTAATATTTCAGTCAAGACGAAAAATGGGGCACTTTCCGAACAGCAGTTAATCCCATTATGATGCAGCCACGTGTTACCCATCAATACATTCCACAAATCAACGAAATCGCTGATGAATTTATTGGTTTAGTAAAGAATTTGAAGGCGAAAGATGCCAACGGTGAAATGCCTGCAAATTTTATTGACCAAATGAATAAATGGGCTTTTGAGTCGATTACCGCCATTGCTCTGGATACCAGACTGGGAGTATTGGCGGAGAAACCAAGCGAAAGAGCTGAGACAGCTATGAATTACATGTTGGAGATTTTCCGTCTTTCTCTGAAATTGGATATTTTGATTACTGGTAAATATCACAGAAAGTACAATACTCCAACATGGAGAAAGTTTGTAAAATATCAGGACTTTTTCACCACGTAAGTGTTTACAGATTTAAAATAGAAAGATAATAATTGTGGTTATTGTAGTATGGTAATGGATCTTATTAACGACGCAAAAACAAAAATTGATAACGATCCGGACTATGCAAAAAAGTCAGAGAATGATAAATCAGTTTTTGAAAAATTGATCGTTAAAGATAAACAAATTGCGATTGTAATGATTTTAGACATGTTGGGAGCTGGTATTGATACTGTGAGTAAACAAATAAATATTAAGTAACATAACCAATCAAATTAAACTTTTTTATTTCTAGACATCAAGGGTAGGTGGAGCTACTTTGTACTACCTTGCAAGGAATCCTGAAGCTCAGGCAAATTTACGCGTTGAACTCAAACGCCTTATGCCCAAGAAAGATACAGTGATAACAAAAGAAATCCTCGATGAAGCTAAATATCTTCGCGCATGCATTAAGGAAGCATTAAGATTTGCGCCTATTTCGTTTGGCAACATTCGCATCATGACCAAGGACATTGTCCTTGCAGGATATCAGATCCCAACTGGAAGTGTTGTCAATCTACCCAATCTTTACCTGTCGAAAGTGGTGGATACGCATTTCTCCAATCCAAGTGCTTATATTCCCGAACGTTGGTTGCGCGACGTTAAAACAGAACATGTGAACGCTTTCGTTTCACTACCATTTGGATTCGGTGCTAGGAGTTGTATTGGCAAGCGGATGGCCAATATGGAGATAGAGGTTCTCGTTGCTAAGGTAGGATATTTATATATTCACCTGCTAATCAAATATGAATGAGTAATGTATGGTAGAAGATGTAAAATTAATTTTTATTTGTTTACAGATGGTGAGGAATTTCATGATGGAGTGGAAACACAAGGATATGGCATTCAAGCAGGAAATGTTGTATGGCATGGCGGATCCGTTGAAAATTCGATTGAGCGATGTTACTGATTAAAAAACAAAACTTTATTTTTCAAGAATAAATAATAAATAGATATTATTATATCTAACATGTATTTTTAGTGGGAAATGTTAATAAATAAATATAGGTTAAGTTAGGTTATGTTAATATGGGTTTTGTTTGCTTGGTTTATTAATTTTTTATTCGCTACATATGAATTAGTTTAATTTACACCAACTTTAGCCGCACCTTCATGCGTATGTATATTTTTTGAGTATTTGGAGTGTGATTTTGGATAATATACCTACTAGTATAACAAATTGCGTCAGTATTCATCATGCGGCGATCGTGTGAGGTTCGTGCGCTCCTCGCACGCCAATTGCCGAATTTATTCAAAACAAACAAAATAATTCAACCTAAACATTACTTGACAACAACCTCAACCTCAACAAATACATATCGCACAGTTGAATACGAAAATGCCAAGCCGTACGCCTCCATTCCAGGACCTCGACCACTTCCGATCGTTGGAAATGCGTGGAGATTTTTCGGAGGTGTTGATTTCGTAAAGATGTGTAAACAGTGAGTAGAAACATGTTTCCTTATGTAAATATAACAATCGTAAAGACAATAATTTTGTTTTGTTGTTTAGAATGCATGAAAAATATGGCGATATCGTAAAGATACAGAAATTAATAGCAATTGGAGATTTGACCATAGTGTTCAACACTCGTGATATGGAGTACGCACTTCGTAATGAAGGCCAATGGCCATATCGGCAAAATTTTGAGTCTAGTATGTACTACCGCCATGTTTTACGCAAAGACATTTTCGGAGACACTTACGGTGTAGTTAATGGGTAAATTTCAAATTCTAAGAAATGATTCATATAAATATATTGTAATTTATAGCCAATATGAAAAGTGGGCCACATTCCGGACTGCAGTCAACCCCATTATGATGCAGCCACGTGTAACCCATCAATACATTCCACAAATCAACGAAATCGCTGACGAGTTTATTCATTTTGTGAAGATTTTGAAGAAGCAAGACCCAAATGGTGAAATGCCTGCGAATTTCGAAGATCAACTAAACAGATGGGCATTTGAATCCATCACCGCTATTGCTCTGGATACCAGATTGGGGGTATTAGCAGAGAAACCCAGTGAAAGAGCTGAGACAGCCATGCAATACATGTTGGAAATGTTCCGAATTTTATTAAAACTTGACATTTTTGTGACTGGAAAATATCATAGAAAATTCAACTCGCCTTTATGGAGAAAGTTTGTGAAATATCAGGACTTTTTTACTGAGTAAGTATTTGAAGATTAAAAGCAGAAAGATTTTAATTGAGGTTATTATAGTATGACCTTGGAACTCATCGATGAGGCCAAACATAAAATCGATAATGATCCGGATTATGCTCGTAAGCCTGAACATGATAAATCTGTTTTTGAAAAATTGGTGGCTATTGATAAGAAAGTTGCTATGGTCATGACTTTGGACATGCTGGGAGCTGGTATTGATACTGTACGTACCAAAACGCATACTTAACCTTGAATGCAACCTATTTTTCCTATAATATTTTTTATAGACTTCAAGAGTAAGTGGAACAGCTTTGTATTTTCTCGCCAAGAATCCAGCGGCGCAAGAAAAGCTCCGCGATGAATTAAAACGCCTTCTGCCAAAAAAAGACACTCCCATCACAAAGGAAATCATAGATGAAGCTAAGTACCTTCGTGCTTGCGTTAAGGAGACTTTACGGTTTGCACCAATCACGTTTGGTACCACTCGCATGATGCCCAAGGACCTAGTCATTGGCGGGTATCAGATACCCGCTGGAACTTACATTACTTTACCTAATTTATACTTATCGAAGGAGGTGGACACGCATTATTCCAATCCGAGTGCTTATACTCCGGAACGTTGGTTGCGTGGTGAGAAAACCGAGAATGTGAATTCGTTTGTTTCGTTACCATTTGGTTTCGGGCCTCGAAGTTGTATTGGTAAACGGATGGCAAACATGGAGATTGAGATGGTTGTTGCTAAGGTGGATTTAGAAATCTTATATCTTGTATTCTATAACTTGAAAATTTAACCTAACTTTTTCAGATGGTAAGAAATTTCAAAATGGAGTGGCATCATAAGGACATGACTTTCAAACAAGAGTTTCTGTATGGTTTTGCGGATCCATTGAGACTCCGATTGAGCGATATTACTGACTGATAATATAACTACTTATGTTTATTGTAATTTTTTTAATTTAATGATTTTTTAAATTTTAAGTGTTTTGGTGGAATGTTTTTAAAACCAAACACCTGCTCCGTTTTCTGGCTAAATTTCCTTATTTTAATCGAGTTGAAGTGTTTGCATGACTGTCGGTTACCATGTGACCTACTCTTGCTAGTTATATTTTTATCCCACAAACACTCATGTCGAGTTCCCCAATACAACGATTAGATTTCGAACGTTGAATGTTTTGACCTTGCCAGCAATACACGAATACCAGCTGAACATATACTGCTACTTTATACACATGCCAATGTTTGTTATGATCTGCTTGGTGTAAAAATCGTTAGTAACGCACCGGCAGCGAGCCTAACACATCATGAATTCTTCTACTTCAGTTATACGCTTGTTTACTAACAATAAAATTAGTGGATGTTTCTATAATCGGCTGTGTCAAAATGTAAAATGTGCAAGTTCTATAAAATCAACATTTTCTACGTCTGCATGTCCTGTAGACCATCAAGCTGCGACGGAATCAAAACCAGAAAATTGGTCTACAGCTAAACCATTTAACTCGATACCAGGACCCAAACCTTTACCTATTATTGGGAATTCATATTGGTTTGTTTTTCTCCGGGATTTTGTCAAATTAAGCGTTTAGTGAGTATTTATTTATACATTTTTTATCATTATTATATTGGTAACTTTGTAGCATGCGTAAAAATTACGGTGACATCGTAAATTTGTCAAACATCATCAATTTCGGTAACATACTCTTTCTCTTCAACGTTCGTGACATCGAATGGATGCTGAGGAATGAAGGACAATGGCCGATGCGAATTGTTATGCCCTCCAGCAAAATCTACCGTCATGAATTGCGAAAGGATCGTTTTGGTGACACTTATGGATTACTTAATGGGTAAGCACTATATAAATTTAATTACGAAGCTTTTAAAACAGTTTATGTTAATTCTAATATTGTATCTTAGGCAAAATAAAGATTGGGGTTCATTTCGAACCGCAGTAAACCCAATCATGATGCAACCCCGAGTAACAACCCAATATATCCCGGAATTGAACCAAATCGCTGATGAATTCTTGTCGCACGTGCGATTATATAAAGAAAGCAATCCACAAGGCGAGATGCCTGCTGACTTTGTACAAGAACTCAACAAATGGGCGTTTGAATCAATTGTTTACATTGCTTTAGATACTCGTTTGGGATGTCTTGGTAGGAAACCAACGGAAAAGTCTCGGAATGCAATTGAGTACACACAACAATTGATGAAACTCACCACGGATCTGGACTTGAATCCACTTGGATATATTTATAAAAAATTCAAAACGCAGACATGGAAAAATTACATTAAGTATCAGGACTTTTTCACAGAGTAAATAAAGATACATAAATATTAAAAGTAATAAATTTTAATTTGCCGATTTTTGTAGTCTAGCTATGGAACTGATTAATGATGTGGATCAAAGAATGAAATCTAGCCCAGAAAAACCTGAGCATGAGAAGTCTGTGTTCGAAAAACTGGTGGCAAAAGATAAGAAGATTGCAATGGTGATGACACTGGACATGTTAGCAGCCGGAATAGAAACAGTAAGATGATTAATCTCGCAACGCAACATACACTTAAATTAACTCATGTATCTTTTAAGACTGGCAAAGCGACTGGTGCTGCCCTCTACTACCTTGCCAAGAACAAAGACGCGCAAACCAAACTCCGCGAGGAATTGTGTCGTCTCCTACCATCAAAAACACTCCACTTACCAAAGATATACTTGAAGATGCTAAATATTTGAAAGCCACAATCAAAGAAACTCTAAGACTTGCTCCGATAGCCCATTCAACAGTTAGAGTAACACAAGAAAATATGGTCATTGGTGGATATCAAATACCACCGGAAGTATTAATAATGATGCCGCATATTTACTTATCAACTGGTACAGATGAACACTTTACTAACCCGTTGGAGTTCAGACCAGACCGGTGGATGAGAGGTGCTGATGGTACTGCGAACCAAGTGAATGCGTTTGCTAATTTGCCTTTTGGATTCGGTGTTAGGAGTTGTATTGGAAAGCGCATGGCACAAATGGAGATAGAAATAATGCTATCGAAGGTAAAATCTGTTAAAATATTTTAAGTATTTAATGAGTGTTTAAATGGTAAATTTTGTAGATTGTAAGAAACTTTTATATGGACTGGACTCATCCAGATATGACATTCAAACAGGAAATGGCCTACGGTATTGCGGATCCATTGAAGATTCAATTAAAGGATGTGGAAAAATAAATATTTTAGGTTATGTTAGGTTAAGTATATTATTTATTGTTTTTGTGCGTACCAATTAAAAATAAACCAATTAATGTGTATCAACAATAATAAGCGTGTGATAAACACAGATAAAACATCTCAAACATCGCGAATGTAAATAAAACTTGATTTATAAAAGAAACGCCAAGTTTGATGTGCTTGGTAATCATGAATTTGTTAATTTCTGTGTGTGTTGCCTGCAGTATGGCTGCCGTTTCCGGCGATTTAGTCTGTAAGTAATGTTTTATTTTCTATGTACCTATGTTCTGATAATCATTTATATTGTTGCTTTAAGGTGACTATACTATTCCGGATGTACCTACCGATTGGATCCACATGTCGGAGCAGTGCGTCAACGCAATGCGAGAACAAATCGGTTACGAGATGACCGCTTCGAATAAATTCTTAGCAATGGGTGCATTTTTCAAGGGATAGTATAAATAGGTTGGGATTCTCGGATTTCTTCTACGATTATGCTGATGAAGAACGTGAGCATGGTATTAGCTTGGCTGAATATTTAGTCAACAGGGGTGAATTGACCACTGGAATTAACGATCTCTTTCAATTAGAAGTAAGTACCACTATGAAAACAAAATGGCCGATATTTAAAGTGTTGAATATTCAATTATTTAAGTATATTCCGGATAAAACTGAATGGACGTCGGTCACAGACGCTCTGGACGATGGAATTGTTATTGAAGGTGATTTAACTGGGCATATACGAAATGTAATTGATGTTTGTGAGCATGCAGACAATTTTGAAGATTATGCGGTATGTGTAACGTAATAATTTATTATGAAAACTATTTAATAAAGTACGTTTTTAGTTGGATGATTGGTTAACGGCAGCTTGGTTGAAGACACAATATCACAATCAGTTCGAATTAGCTGATATGATATCGTCATTAACAAAGATGAATGCTTTGCATCAAAATCTCGGAGAATTTTTAGCTGATGTTGAATTATTATATGCTGAAGATGATGACGATGACGATGATGATGATGACGATGAAGACGATGAGGATGACGATGACGATGATGAATAATTATTTAAAATTAATTTAATTGTATTAACTTAATAAAAACAAATAATATCAAGAAATTTGGGTTGCCTACCTTATGATATTGGTTTGAATCGAATCTTTTCATTAAACCATAGTGTAGAATTAATATAATGTTGATATATGACATATAAACACATATATAAACATATAAACATATAAAAACAAATGTACTCCTTAACTATGCATTTTCAAGATTACAATTAACGTGTTTTCTCGTCGATTTCCATTATTTGATTCCCAATTGTGTTTCTTCCGCTCAATCAACACCAACGATTGCAAACAACCACAAAACCTTGAGGTTGATTTTTAAAAATTGCATTTATGGCGCGCTGCCTTCTATGGAAACTTGAAATCTGTTCTTATCGCGTCAATGGCATGCCTGTTTCCGGGAATTCTTATTCGCTCCCACTTGCATTTCTCCAAACCGAAAACAAAAGCAACAGAAAACTGGAGGTGGAACTGACAAAGGAATCAAACACGACTAGCACGAGTTGCCTCGCAGCATGATTCAGAATCAGCTGTTTTCTGTCTTCATTCGCTTTCGCGCAGTTTATTTCGCCTCCTCCAACCGTTGTTGTTTTTGTTGGTAAGGTGACTCGCAGAAATTCTCAGTGTTAATCCACGGTCCATCCATCTAAGAACCATCGAGAATATTACAGGTAAATCAATAAGAATATTATTAAAATGTCACTATAAACTTAAAGTAAATTAAATGTAGGTTAATGATGCCAATTTGCTCTTGAATTCAGTTGAATAACAAACTGCGCTTTCTAAATTTAGTATTAATGACACCACAACATTGAACAGCTTATGATATGGTGAAATTCATTTCACTTTGTGTTGTAAGACATTCTACCTGGTTCTTATCATTAATGTCAATAATATTTTGTATGCACTGTTTGTGCAAATACGTTTTTACTTCTAATATATCTTTAACATATTGTATGAACTGCACACTGGTTTGGAAATGTTGTTGCATAATTCATCTCAGAATAGCATCATGACCTGTTTCATGCAGCACTCTAACAGGCTAACATGCTAACAACTCTTGACTGATATTGGTGTTCATCTAAGTTCCTGAAACTTTAATTTTGGCCGCAGGTTTTCCGCCTTAGACGCTATGGGTGAGAACGCACCTAGCAGATCGTCGGATCCTATCAACATGGATGGATCGTCAGGTTCGCGCGTTCGCACACAAAGTGAATGTTCAGCTGCTAGTGAGGATGGTACTTCCGGGATTGGTTCTGGTAAAAGGTAAAAGTATATAGCAGAATTGTTTGAATTATGGAATCAAGTTTTTAAAGTTTACGTCGAGTAATATTTTATTTTCGTGGGTTTATTTTTGTTTTTATTTCTTTTTTTTGTGTGTTTGATAATTTTCTTTTGCTTTAAAAGGTCTATTTGCAGTTGTGCTTGTCAGCACTGTGCTCAACATTTTCAGCGTATTGTGTTGTTTAGTTCTTTATGAAATTGGCAAGATATACCCTTTTGACTGGATTATTGCTGAAGTTATAAGTGTAGTTATTAATAAAATCTGCGCACTTCGGAGAAATTTAAACACAAAATACATATATTACTAAAATATGTGTAGTTCTTTCTATTATTGATTAATTAATATTGTTGCCAATTATGTTGTATCTTACAGACAAAGAACCACATCCCAAACATTCATGGTAACATCCGCGTTGACAGCCGCCTCGCCACCAAAGTTCGTTTCACTCGAAGAAATCATGCAAGCTGCCAATGGCATGAAAGACATGGCGTTAGTCCATGAAATCGTTGTCGATAACGAGTTTAGATTGGAGCGCTACGAGCCCCCAGAGAACACTCTACACCGCGCAGTCAAAGATAACATGCATCGGGCTTTCTGGGAAATGCTCAGAAAGGACTTCTCGAAGGATCCCCCAAATTATACTCATGTAAGTTTTCTTGAAAAGTAATTATAAAATTAATATAAATATTAATTCTGAAAATATAGGCTTTGGTTCTGTTGGAAGATGTAAAAACGGGTCTCTTTGATCTGTTATTGCCTCAACACACGAAACTCCGTCAACAAATTTCGGAAATTCTTGACAGTGAATTGATCAAGCAACAAGTTGAGCAGGGTGTTTTTGATTTCAAGCATTATTCTCAGTATGTTATTTCTGTCATGGGCAATATGTGTGCTCCTGCTCGAGATGACAGAATTAAAGAGTTAACTGAAATGACCGACGTTGTGGACACGTTCAGAGGTATTTTGGAGATGCTGGATGTCATGGCGTTGGATATGGCCAACACCATGATTCAATTCACCAAACCTGAAATAATCGCACAGAGCATTCAATTGGAGAGGAAGAAATTTGCTGATTACTTAGCCATTCAAACAGGTAAAACTTTAAATCTTAAGAAAATTTTTAAATAAACATAAATATAAATAAAATGGTTGTTTAAGATGGTTTGGAATTCACACGTAAATGGATCCTCAGGAATCTCACAGTAAAAACAAATGAGAATCAGGATCGCGTGACGTTCGTTCGAAATCACATCAGGGAGACACTGCAGAAAGCAATGTTGGAGTTGTTGGAATGGGATCAAAACGAACCTTATCCCGAAGTAAATATTTATATTTGAATTCATTACCATCTATTTTTATATTGTTTTCTTTCAGACTTTTATGTTGGACGAGACGCGAATGAGAACATTGCAGACTGAAACGGAGAAGATTATTCTTGTGGGGACAATCATACTGATTGTTTTCGTAAATGTCGGATCTGATTTAGACTCTAACGCTGCTTTTAAGGCTCAGGTCAAGGAACATCTTTTAATTATTATGCAGTCTTACAAATCACCAAGGTATGCTATATTTTAACACGTACAAAATTATTATAATCCGCCATCTTGTTTTTAGTGATGTGAGTGATCTATTAGCGAACATCAGTATTCAAGTAATCAAAGATATTAAGGAATACCAACAAAAACACTCACTGACGCCGATCACCGAAGAAAAGGAGAAGATAATCACAAATCTAGTTCTGGATGTGGGCACAGACGATCATAAGATCAAGGGAATGGTGCGAAAACGGGTGCTGGAGTTTATCGGCGAAATTATAATTTCCTGCACAGCGGCGCCGCAACAAGTGCCTACCGGTTTGACACAACTGCAGAAGGAACTGACTGCAATCGTCGGGCAGTATCTACGTATCATTTCGCACAACACGACCGTGTTTTGCATTTATTACAATGACATCATCGAGAAGGCACTGCCCGCGCCGACGACGACGGCGACCACCACGAGTGCTCCCGCTTAAGTATGCTTACAATTAAAACAACTAACCATGAGGCAACTAACAACACTGTATACTATACTCGAGCTTTATATAAACTGAACGAGTCACTGAGATGACAGCACGGCGAACAATTTGTTTAATTTTCTAACACATTTGTGAAGTACTTGTTTTCTATTTGTAGTTCAATTTCTAGTTCAATTATTTTTATGTAATTCTACATACATTGCTTTTGAGCTTTATTATAATTTCGAATACTTTTATATTTTAAGTTGAATTTAGGTGTAGTGATGTAAATTCAATTATATTTAGAGGCGGGTGTTTGTTTCGATACAGAAAACAACTGATAAAAATATGTTATGGTACTCACAAGCACACTGGCCACACTGAATTAATACGATTAATATTTATGGTGAATACTTACAAGTAGATTGCGTATTGTGGATTAATCAACGAAATTTATCGTAAACATGCATGGAGAAAATTGTGTCAACGTGTCGAAATTTATTATGGCGACATGTTGACGAGTGAATGTTTGGTTCAACTTTGTGATATTTTCATTTACGTGGATGTTTGAAACGTTGTGAAGGGAAAATAAATATATTCTAAGTACGTTGCACAGGAGTGAATCGTCTGACTTGAATTTAATATTTTATATATCTTACGAGTTTAATATTTGTTTACAATAACAGTTCTTATATATTTTCCGTTATTGTTATTGTATTAATTGTTAAAATAACAGTTTCAACCTTCAGATGAAGGTATTGCAGTCTAAACTTCGAATAAATCCCCAGCTATAGGTTTTCAACAACGCCTCATCAACCTTGGGAATCGCTTTTTATGTTTTTCATTTTGGAATGCTTTTGTATTCAATCCGTCCGATTCAGTGTATCTTAACCGTTGGACAGTGCGCACTTGTTTAACGGACGCTTCTGTCCATCAACATTGGCTGGTGAATACGTGCTCAAGAATTATTATAATTATTAATCCAAATAGTCTAAAAATCACATTGCCCACTACTCTACTATCTGTGATATACAATTATCGTTATAAAGTAAGTTTTCTCGTTTAATTTTATCTATTTCTCGGTAAACTTAACCAAACAAATACAACATGTATAAATTAAATATAAAAATATAATCAATTCATCAAATATTTTGTCATTTCAAGTATTTCAAGTTCATCAATAATATCTTATAAATTGTTTTTACTGCACTAATTGCCTTTCAATGTAGTATGCAATTCAATACGTAATGTTTGTTTTGAAGTGCAGGCATAAACTTGTTATCTCAAGTTGAAACAAGTATAATTCATTTATGTGCGAGTATCGTAGATTATATGGTAGTTATCATTTTATTTCAGTCGGCTTTTTGTTTGTTTGCCTTTTGGGGCAGGCCAATAACCTTATCACGAGTCACATGATGATTGAGTTAAATATATAATTCTTTATTTCTCGATAGTAGTCTATTACTCGCCGCTGCAGCGTGTACAAGTGTTGTTAATGATTTCCTGCATTTTATTTTAGGTGTTATAACATACAGAACAAACATGCGTCTAATAATCTTAGATAAATCGGCCGATGTGTCCGAATGGGCTGCACGGTATGTAATGAAGAGAATAAATGACTTCAAGGCTGGACCAGATAAATATTTTGTCCTGGGTTTACCTACAGGTATTGTATATGCACAGAAGAATTTAAAAAATGATTACTATGAGTTATCTAATTCATTTTTAGGTAGCACTCCATTTGGAATGTATCAAAACTTAATTAAGTTCCATAAAGAGGGCAAGGTCTCCTTCAAGTATGTGAAAACGTTCAACATGGACGAATACGTCGGTTTACCTCGCGACCATCACGAAAGTTACCATTACTACATGTGGGATACTTTCTTCAAACACATTGACATTGATCCTGAGAATGCCAACCTTTTGGATGGAAATGCAGAGGATTTGGTGAAAGAATGCAATAATTATGAGGTGAAAATTAAAAAGGCTGGTGGAATTGAACTATTTATTGGTGGTATTGGTCCTGATGGTCATATTGCTTTCAATGAACCTGGATCTTCTTTGGTATCCAGAACTCGCGTGAAAACATTGGCACAGGACACTTTAGAAGCGAACGCTAGGTTTTTCGATAATGATATGAATAAGGTTCCTAAGAGTGCTTTGACTGTTGGAGTTGGTACTGTGATGGATGCCAATGAGGTACAATTATACACATTGCACAGTTTTGTTTTGTTTTATAATTTTTATCGTATTCAGGTAATGATTCTGATCACGGGCGCACATAAATCATTTGCGTTATACAAAGCCATAGAGGAAGGAGTGAACCATATGTGGACTGTGTCAGCCTTCCAGCAGCATCCACAAACGTTAATGATTTGTGATGAAGATGCCACCTTGGAGTTACGAGTCAAGACTGTCAAGTATTTCAAGGTAACGTAGAAATTTATTTCGTTGACCTGGTTTGTTGTTTATGTTTAACAAATTGTACAAACTTTATTCTATTTTCTGTATATTTAGGCGTTGAGCACAATCCATCACAAACTAATCGAGGAGGACACACACTTTAAGCAAAGTCGTGTCCTACATTAATATCTTATCAGGCACATGTTAGATTACGCTGGTAAAATAACCGTTCATTGATTATTACTCAATCAAGCACGCACATACATCTTTATTTTAATAACGCTTTTTACTTTCGATAGAAATCACGCAGTTTTAGTTTTCTTAACGCATTTATCGAACATGCACACATTTTATTCGATTTTAATTGTTTGATGCTAATTAATGAGCGTATTATTATGTTTCAGAGCTTAAATACCGTGCATAACCGGCTTATTGAAGATTAAAACGTACTATTAGTTGTCAATTTTAGTGCTCTACAGTTCTACATATTCATAAATAAGAGTATTTACATCTCTTCCATATACAAACGTACTTTTTAATGTCAAATTAAGGATTTTTACAATTAGTTTATAAAGTTTTTTAATCACACCAATGTATTTTTAAACTTTTATATAAATATTCGTATACATTAAGTTGTGGTAAGCCATTTTAATATAATTTTGATTTATTACACCAAACTAGTTGTACTGGAGAAACTGGACCTCAACGAGGAGATCCATTCAATGTGCACGATGTTTGTGTTCTGCTTTTCGTCTTTTCAGCATTTGCACACACTTCCCAGGTGGCTTCCATTATAGTGTGGCCTTTTGAAAACCTGTACTGATTTTTTATTCCTTGTACAAACTTCCTACAATCATGAATGACATGGATTGTGTTTTTAATAAACAATTTGTTTGAAATTACTGTGATTTTAATTTTGCATCCTCAATTTTATTCGTTTTCAGGTTACAAACATCTATTCTTAATATTAAAGTCGACTAAATCTGTTGAAAGGAACCTTTAAAAGGAAGCAGAAGTTCCGAGGTTCCGAGCTAGCATCTATATTATAATATATTGAAGGTAAACATGCATAGAAACGCAAATATTAAGCGATATTCATTTTATTCTGTAAAATAGAGCTGGCTCAGTAATATGATCGCCCGCCAATGTTTGACAATCAGCTGATCGGCAGTGTTGCCGGTTTTCTTACTTAAGCTAGTAGTGCTTCTGCTCCTCAACTTTCTGCAATCCTAATATTCAAAAGAATTTTGTGTATAATTTCACTGGAATTTCTCGACAAAATTTTTTGTGCCATTTTTTGTTGTTTTTCAATAAGGATGCCATTTGGTCCAGAATTCTTCAAGGATCAAGAATATGTACTTCTTTTTACTCTAGCCCTTTTAGTTGTCGAGATAATTACCATTTAATCTTCATAAATTAGGCCATTCCGACGGGATACACGTATTTTATTATAATTGCAAATAGGGCCTAAACGGTTCATGCTAGCAAAAAACTTTACTAAAATAATCGATGTAGAATTAAATTATCAATCATAATCCGAAAACAGAATTTAAAAATTCCAACTTTTAATTTTCCACATAAAAAAGAGAAATATTTTGCCTTTTTTATAACAAAATCTTTTCTTTAAAAATTTTTTGTGCCATTTTTGTGGTTTTTCAATAATGATGCCATCTTGTCCAGAATTCTTCAAGGATCAAGAATATGTAATTATTTTTATTCTAGCCCCTTTAGTTGTCGAGATAATTACCATTTAATCTTCATAAATTAGTAATTATCTCGACAACCAAAAGGGCTAGAATAAAAATAACTACATATTCTTGATCCTTGAAGAATTCTAGACAAGATGGCATATTTTTCTCAAAATGAAGAAATGGGCACAAAACATTTTTAAAGAAAAGTTTTTGTTATAAAAAAGGCAAAAGATTTCTCTTTTTTATGTTGAAAATTAAAAGTTGGAATTTTTAAATTCTGTTTTCGGATTATGATTGATAATTTAATTCTACATCGATTATTTTAGTAACTTTTTTGGTTTATGTTTACCGTTTAGGCCCTATTTGCAATTTTAATGAAAACAACATTCGACATAAAAAAGAAAAATGTTTTGCCTTTTTTATGACGAAATCTTTTTTCAGCAAATTCAGGTTCTGTAATAATTGAAATTATTAAATTCTGCTTTCGGATTCTGAAAGTAGATTAAATTCAGAATCGGAAACTAGTAACACACTTATAGATTAAGGCCCTATTGGCATGTAAAATACAATTTTTTAATTAAAATTGCAAATACAGCCTAAACAGTCAATGTTAAGAAAATAATTACATAAATAGTCGATATAGAATTTTAGCTTACAAAATTCGAAAACAGAATTCAAAAATTCCAATTATATAGAAGCTGCACTTGCTGATAAATGAATTTTAAACATTAATTTTACCCGCCATTAGTTACCGCCAAAACTATGTCAGCCTCCTTACACTTTCTGCGATCCGAATACCAAAACCTGAGTTTCGACTGTTTCGAGTCCAAATTTTGTGTCATTTTGCCTCCCAGAGTCGACAAAATAAAGATTGAATATTCGGAGAGCAGAAAGTTGAGGAGGCTGATAAAGTTTTGGCGGCAACTAGTAATGTGCTGCCTCTAGTGGCGACGGGTCGAAGCTCAAAACTTTCAGTAGTTTTAGTTTCCAATAAACAGATGGCGCTAGCATGCACTTTTCAAAATAAATGGTTTAAGGATCGTTTAATATGTGATCAGGTTGAAATAACAGAATTAATTAAAATCAGAAATACTTAAAAATATTATTTATTAAAGAAAACACACAAGCAGATAATGAAAAAGAAATTAAATATTAACAATATGATGCAAGAATGGTGCTTCTACGATGTCAGATTTAGGTGCAAAATCCCTAAAACCATCAAAAATTAATCCTTCGAACATAAAAATGCAATTTTGGGGGTCAATTTGTGAGATTATCACAAAAGTTATTTAGGAAAATGATAAAGAAATTTAATACTTACAATCTGAGGCAAGAATGGTCCTTCTACGATGTCAGACTCAGGTGCAAAATCCCTAAAACCATCAAAAATCAGTCCTTCGAACATAAAAATGCAATTTTGGGGGTCAAATTGTGAGACTATCACAAAAGTTATTTAGGAAAATGATAAAGAAATTTAATACTTACAATCTGATGCAAGAATGGTCCTTCTACGATGTCAGACTCAGGTGCAAAATCCCTAAAACCATCAAAAATTAGTCCTTCAAACATAAAAATGCAATTTTGGGGGTCAAATTGTGAGACTATCACAAAAGTTATTTAGGAAAATGATAAAGAAATTTAATACTTACAATCTGATGCAAGAATGGTCCTTCTACGATGTCAGACTCAGGTGCAAAATCCCTAAAACCATCAAAAATCAGTCCTTCGAACATAAAAATGCAATTTTGGGGGTCAATTTGTGAGATTATCACAAAAGTTATTTAGGAAAATGATAAAGAAATTTAATACTTACAATCTGATGCAAGAATGGTCCTTCTACGATGTCAGACTCAGGTGCAAAATCCCTAAAACCATCAAAAATTAGTCCTTCGAACATAAAAATGCAATTTTGAGGGTCAATTTGTGAGATTATCACAAAAGTTATTTAGGAAAATGATAAAGAAATTTAATACGTACAATCTGATGCAAGAATGGTCCTTCTACGATGTCAGACTCAGGTGCAAAATCCCTAAAACCATCAAAAATTAGTCCTTCAAACATAAAAATGCAATTTTGGGGGTCAATTTGTGAGATTATCACAAAAGTTATTTAGGAAAATGATAAAGAAATTTAATACTTACAATCTGATGCAAGAATGGTCCTTCTACGATGTCAGACTCAGGTGCAAAATCCCTAAAACCATCAAAAATCAGTCCTTCGAACATAAAAATGCAATTTTGGGGGTCAAATTGTGAGACTATCACAAAAGTTATTTAGGAAAATGATAAAGAAATTTAATACTTACAATCTGATGCAAGAATGGTCCTTCTACGATGTCAGACTCAGGTGCAAAATCCCTAAAACCATCAAAAATTAGTCCTTCAAACATAAAAATGCAATTTTGGGGGTCAAATTGTGAGACTATCACAAAAGTTATTTAGGAAAATGATAAAGAAATTTAATACTTACAATCTGATGCAAGAATGGTCCTTCTACGATGTCAGACTCAGGTGCAAAATCCCTAAAACCATCAAAAATCAGTCCTTCGAACATAAAAATGCAATTTTGGGGTCAATTTGTGAGATTATCACAAAAGTTATTTAGGATAATGATAAAGAAATTTAATACTTACAATCTGATGCAAGAATGGTCCTTCTACGATGGCAGACTCAGGTGCAAAATCCCTAAAACCATAAAAAATTAGTCCTTCGAACATAAAAAGGCAATTTTGGGGGTCAAATTGTGAGACTATCACAAATGTTATTTAGGAAAATGATAAATAAATTTAATATTTACAATCTGATGCAAGAATGGTCCTTCTACGATGTCAGACTCAGGTGCAAAATCCCTAAAACCATCAAAAATCAGTCCTTCGAACATAAAAATGCAATTTTGGGGGTCAATTTGTGAGACTATCACAAATGTTATTTAGGAAAATGATAAATAAATTTAATACTTACAATCTGATGCAAGAATGGTCCTTCTACGATGTCAGATTTAGGTGCAAAGTCCCTAAAATCATCAAAAATTAGTCCTTCGAACATAAAAATGCAATTTTGGGGGTCAATTTGTGAGGTTATCACAAAAGTTATTTAGGAAAATGATAAAGAAATTTAATACTTACAATCTGATGCAAGAATGGTCCTTCTACGATGTCAGACTCAGGTGCAAAATCCCTAAAACCATCAAAAATTAGTCCTTCGAAAATAAAAATGCAATTTTGAGGGTCAATTTGTGAGATTATCACAAAAGTTATTTAGGAAAATGATAAAGAAATTTAATATTTACAATCTGATGCAAGAATGGTCCTTCTACGATGTCAGATTTAGGTGCAAAGTCCCTAAAATCATCAAAAATTAGTCCTTTGAACATAAAAATGCAATTTTGGGGGTCAATTTGTGAGATTATCACAAAAGTTATTTAGGAAAATGATAAAGAAATTTAATACTTACAATCTGATGCAAGAATGGTCCTTCTACGATGTCAGACTCAGGTGCAAAATCCCTAAAACCATCAAAAATCAGTCCTTCGAACATAAAAATGCAATTTTGGGGGTCAATTTGTGAGGTTATCACAAAAGTTATTTAGGATAATGATAAAGAAATTTAATACTTACAATCTGATGCAAGAATGGTCCTTCTACGATGGCAGACTCAGGTGCAAAATCCCTAAAACCATCAAAAATCAGTCCTTCGAACATAAAAATGCAATTTTGGGGGTCAATTTGTGAGATTATCACAAAAGTTATTTAGGAAAATGATAAAGAAATTTAATACTTACAATCTGATGCAAGAATGGTCCTTCTACGATGTCAGATTTAGGTGCAAAGTCCCTAAAATCATCAAAAATTAGTCCTTCAAACATAAAAATGCAATTTTGGGGGTCAAATTGTGAGACTATCACAAAAGTTATTTAGGAAAATGATAAAGAAATTTAATACTTACAATCTGATGCAAGAATGGTCCTTCTACGATGTCAGACTCAGGTGCAAAATCCCTAAAACCATCAAAAATCAGTCCTTCGAACATAAAAATGCAATTTTGGGGGTCAATTTGTGAGATTATCACAAAAGTTATTTAGGATAATGATAAAGAAATTTAATACTTACAATCTGATGCAAGAATGGTCCTTCTACGATGGCAGACTCAGGTGCAAAATCCCTAAAACCATAAAAATTAGTCCTTCGAACATAAAAGGCAATTTTGGGGGTCAAATTGTGAGACTATCACAAATGTTATTTAGGAAAATGATAAATAAATTTAATATTTACAATCTGGTGCAAGAATGGTCCTTCTACGATGTCAGACTCAGGTGCAAAATCCCTAAAACCATCAAAAATCAGTCCTTCGAACATAAAAATGCAATTTTGGGGGTCAATTTGTGAGACTATCACAAATGTTATTTAGGAAAATGATAAATAAATTTAATACTTACAATCTGATGCAAGAATGGTCCTTCTACGATGTCAGATTTAGGTGCAAAGTCCCTAAAATCATCAAAAATTAGTCCTTCGAACATAAAAATGCAATTTTGGGGGTCAATTTGTGAGATTATCACAAAAGTTATTTAGGAAAATGATAAAGAAATTTAATACTTACAATCTGATGCAAGAATGGTCCTTCTACGATGTCAGACTCAGGTGCAAAATCCCTAAAACCATCAAAAATTAGTCCTTCGAAAATAAAAATGCAATTTTGTGGGTCAATTTGTGAGATTATCACAAAAGTTATTTAGGAAAATGATAAAGAAATTTAATATTTACAATCTGATGCAAGAATGGTCCTTCTACGATGTCAGATTTAGGTGCAAAGTCCCTAAAATCATCAAAAATTAGTCCTTTGAACATAAAAATGCAATTTTGGGGGTCAATTTGTGAGATTATCACAAAAGTTATTAAGGAAAATGGTAAAGAAATTTAATACTTACAATCTGATGCAAGAATGGTCCTTCTACGATGTCAGACTCAGGTGCAAAATCCCTAAAACCAGCAAAATTAGTTCTTTTAGACCTTTTCAGGTTACAAACATCTCTTCTCGATATTAAACTCAGCAAAATTTGTTTAAACGAACGTTTAGAAGGAAGCAGGAGTACCTAGGTTCCTAGCTAGTATCTATATTATGTAATAATGCAGGTAAACATCCATAGAAACGCTAATATTTAGCGATATTGACTTTATTCTGAAAAATAGAGCTGGCTGGCTCAGTAATATGACTGCCCGCCAATACTTGACAATCAGCTGATCGGCAGTGTTGCCGGTTTTCTTACTTAAGTTAGTAGTGCTTGTGCTCCTCAACTTTCTGCGATCCTAATATTCAAAAGTATTTTGTATATAAATTATTGCATTTTGTGAGCGAAATTTGTCGAAATTTTGTCGAGGATCATTGCTCATCAGTGTATGCTATTAGGAACGCAGAAAGTGAGAGTAGGCTGCTCCCGCCATATTATATTTTAATTCGTTTCGGCGCAAATTCAATTATTGAGATAAACTTGTTAATAGGGCCTAAACGGTCCATGTTAGATAATAATTACCTTAAATAGTTAATATAGAATTACACTATCATTCAGAATCTGAAAACAAAATTTAAAAATTTCAATTATTTCAAAACCGGCATTTGGTGAAATAAAAGATTTCGTCATAAAAAAGGCAAAAGATTTCTCTTTTTTATGGTCGAAATTAAAAGTTGGAATTTTTAAATTTTGTTTTCGGATTTTGATAGATTTTTTAATTCTACATCGATTATTTTGGTACCTTTTTTTGCTAGCACTTACCGTTTAGTCACTATTTACCAATGTTAGTGAAACAGACGTTTGACATAAAAAGAGAAATCTTTTGCCTTTTTTATGACGAAATCTTTTATTTCACGAAATACAACTTTAGAAATAATTGGAAATTTTGAATGCTGTTTTCGGATTTGGAAAGTAGATTAGATTCTGAATCGGAAACCAGTAACATAATTGTGATTAAGGCCCTATTGGCATAAAAAAACTTTTTTTTAATTAAAATTGTAAATAGCGCCTAAATGGTCGATTCCGGTTTCCATATGCTGATATCGGAAAACTGATGGAATATCTTTCTTCCTCTTGTAATTCCTTGTTGAAAGTCTAGGCTGAAAGGAGACCAGAAAAATGTACAGTACTTAGAAAAGTACCTAAAATGTACCAAGCCATTTAAGTTCGGTTGAATATCCAGCGCCTGGATAAGTAAATAACAAGGATAACAAGGATAAATAACAAGAAGGTGACATATGACTTGCCTTCAGCACCACTCAGGCAACACAAAAAACAACATTTTAACAAAAATATTACTTTATTTTGTTGTTTCCACCATTACACTCATCTTTTCATTGCTGAATAAATCAAAAAATAGAGATATTTATAAAGTAAATAAACAATTAATGACTACCTATACATATTGAGTTAACTCTAAATTACATTAGTTATGTTGTGTATGTACAAAAATCGTCAAAATCATATTCGACACAACACATTATGAGTTGTTAAAGAATAAAAACAATCGAGTAAACGAGTATTACTGTCAATACATAAAAAAATATCATTCAAGTTAAACTAACATCCTAGGGTGTGTTAAATAAAGTATGTATATAAATAGATTGCTATATTCTAAACTTGTTCAAAGAAGAAGTTGTAGATTCCAATTCCTTTTGTTCTGGATCACATTTTGTCTACATGCCTGATTCGGCAATGCCCTCATCATCTAAAACACACAAACAATTTAAAAATCTCAACACATATTTCACTACAATTAAATGTACATGCAAATATTTCACGCGTGTCAAACAAAATACAACAATTTGATAAATAGTAATAAATGCAGATAACAATGCTTGTGATATTGTGATGTTTACTAATCATTCTAGAAGTGATCATGCAAACATTCAATGTATAATCCAAATTACCACAAAACATGTGTGTGCTGCCCCAGTTTACGAATAGAGTACAAATAGAGGAAGGAGTTGATACAAGAAAGAATATGTAGTATGTACGCGTTACCGCTCCTTCTCGCCAGGACCCATCGGTTCATTCACCGCACCATTCCCTACACCTTTGCCTACGTCGTAAAATAGTTAGATATAATAACTTTGTTAGTACTCCAACAGTAAAATTTATTTTAAAATATTACGGTTAATACTACTCTTTTAAAATATTTAGAAATATAATAGATTCATAAAAGAAGGATAATATTTAGGCTTATGTACCTTCAAATCCCTGATTTTCGTGAATTTCACGCGGTGGTCCGCTCAGCTCCTTGCCCTCTAGCACCGCAAGCAAACACTGGTGGATACAAATATACTGCTGCTCAGTTTGAACCATCCATACTCGTTCTTTACGCATCGCATACACTATGGCAAAGATGTCCACATGGTCAAACACCAGAATTTGCTGTAGAATACGGTCTAGGCATATAAATGTCCCCGAACGACCGACACCCGCACTAAAAACACAAACAAATATTAATATTAATAAATATTTACGAAGTGTTTAAAACAAGTTTAATTTTACACATTACCTGCAGTGTACAACAATGGGCCGTTGATCAGACCCAACCCTTTCTCTAAACGCGCGTACGAATCGTACCAGAGTATGCGGGGGATTTGGCACGCCGAAATCTGGCCATGTCGTAAAGTGGAAATGTCTTATCACACGTTGAGTATCACCCTAAAGCAAGAAAAACAAATTCTAGATGAGTCATAATTCTTACATGTATATTTTTATGGCATAACTTACACGACAAACCATAAATTCGGAAATATTCCAATCAGGATATCGACTCTCGTTGAGAATCTGGACGGAAATGTCCCCGTAGTAAACGGGCATGGTGTCGTACGGCCAGTAATGGTCGCACTTTTCTCTTCCCTTTTCTACACAACGCGTCAACATTATGATGGCGCGCGAGTTACTCTCCCAACACATTCGCCAAAAATCGTCCCTTGTCGAATGAAGAGGTCCTTGTGTTACTATAAATTCCCGTGGTGAATTGTGACCCTAAACATAATAACTTCTATTAATATAGTTCAGTATTTTAAATTAGTATACGTACAGGTACATAATTTGCATTAATATAATCTGATCCTTCTTCATCATCAACGGGCTGTAGTTTGTATCTTGAATGGTCATAAGGTAAAATATTTGTAAATCTGTTTTTGGGCCGATTGCAAGGTAAATCAGCAAAACTGCATGCTTGTTCGCGGCCGACATGTTTCAATTCTTCAAATTCTTCGCTAAATCTGTAAACAATTATTGTTTGAGTAAGCAAATAGATGACACACTACAATTACGACATTATTAAATAATTGAAGCATTTACCTGAAATCTGAATCGGCCGACATTAATCTATAATGGTTTGCAAAGGCGTTAATCCGAATAGGTCGATTCGTTTCGATCACCGAATCAGGCACTGACATGTTGTCGTTATTGCGACTTTCGGTCGCCTTCCGACCTTGCGACCGCCGCTTGCGAATGAACAGTATGACGAGGATCGTCGCAATTACTAGTATCGGTATAACGATGCCCAATATAATCGGCGTATTGTTTTGGTCTATAAATAATTAAACGGTTCAATGAGTCAGTTACTGTAATAGTCCCACCACCTAACTAAAACTATATTCCACTCAACTCAACAATTCTACGTCATTAAATTATATGGCTGATAAGGCATTCAAGGACAACCTACCTGTTTGAATTGGGAAACTGTAATGTGTGTCTGTGAACTTATCGGGCGCAGTGAATGCTCTTATCTTGACCTTATAGGTCGAGCCAGATTTGAGCGGACCATTACAATATCCAGTTTGCCGCATATCACAGGTTTCTGAACCTATTGTAAAGTCTTCGACGGAACTGTTATGGAATGGATAATAAGGTTCCATAATTTGATATGGCGGCCATACAGAGTATGCTTGAACATCGCGCCATGAAGGCATTTCCAAGCCTGAAGCGTTCTTCGAATCGTCTTCAGCTACTATAATCGTATAGGACACGACAGGTCCGTTTTGCTCACTGAAATAATTCTTCCGGAAGCGGATTTGTATCGTCGACGAACTTTTGCACACTTCGGTGGGAACAACTATTCCTCGGGGTGGCGGAGGTGCCAAAATGGGCATTTTCTGTGTAACTGTCGTTTCTGGACCAAAACCAACTTTGGTCTCTGCCTGTATACGGAAGACATAAGTGCGACCGGGAATTAATTGTCGGATTACGCCAGTGAACTCATCAGGGCCAAAATCTTTGAATAATGTATTCGTAGATCTCTGCAATTATAAAAACAATGAAAACATTTTCGCAATAACACTCTAAAATACATACATCAAGACCATACGTAATGGTGAATTTCCGGATGACGCCATTTTGTTCAGTTGACGGTAGAATCCATTTGAATGTTATGTCACTTGGTTGAATATCCGTAGCGAAGAACTTTTCAACCTTTCCGGGAACAGATTCTTTTGTAGTGAAGATAGCAGACACAGGTAGTGAACGTCTCAGTATACTTGATTCTGTACCGCTCCTTACAACCTAAAGCACGAGTGTTTCTTAACATTAACGGAAACAGACTGAGTGTTCTCAACTTACCACAGTAAAAGTGTAGTTTCGATGAGGTTTCAAATCGATGATTGTAATGGAATTAAACAAGGTCAGGTTCTGAATGTAAACGTTATCCGCTGTCAAATACTGGACCTCAAAGGCGTTGAATTCACCGCGTGGCGACTCCCACGAGAGTGTGATCTCGGTGTCGGAAATATACGTCGCGTTGATGCCGGCAATCTGTTCCGGATCTGTGCGCAAACAAGAAATTAAAATCCTAGTCCCGTAGAGATCTCCGCCGAGCGTAAAATCGACTTACACAAACGGTCCTGCCGTTGGAGTGGTTGACTCGGAACGTTCTGCGACACTGTCCACACGGTAATATTGTATAAACGACCGGGTATTAACCCGGTGAATGTCACAAGCCTATCCGAATCATTCGCAGCCTTTTCTTGTTCCGCTATCGATGGTTCTGAGAGGGAAAATCTATAAAGATCAAACTTCGAGGAGTCTGCTGGTGTAGGGGTGTATCTCAAACTGATAGAGTCTGAAGTTTGTTGATTATTGACCACTACAAGTTCCGATTGTATCAGAGGCACTGAAATTTCATTAAATTACAATTTAAAGAATATATTTTTTGCATTGGATGAGAGTAGTCATACTTGTTCGTGTTTTCAATTGGGTTACATCACTTTCCAGGTCATTGCTGATAGCCTGTATGTCAAACTCATACTCCACGCCGGGCATGAGGTCCCCAACGAGCAACCGAATGGGTCCCGAGGAGTTATTATTTTGCGAGACGTTGCGTTTGTTAATTAGCGAGGGTTGAGCGCTCTCCCACCAGCGAACTATGTAAGTTTCTACTCGACCTTCAGGTCGTGGCCATTCCAAAGTCACATTATTGGAATCGACCAGCGGAGCAATATTGGATACTGGATTGGGTCCTATAAATATACCACAAAACACGTTCAAACACATTCAAAACAAAGGCAGGTATAAAACGGATTTACTTACTGACTGTGTGGTTTAACTGCTGAGGTTCATTACTCTCCAGACCATAACTGACTGTGTTAACCTGAATGGTATACCTTTCGCCGGGTGTCATATCAGTCACTTCCGCTTCGGTATTGTTTACACCCGGTAATTTTACCCAAGTGCCCTCGGAATCTGTCCGATAACGAATGGCATATTCTGTAATCAATGAATCCACAGGAGCTTGCCACTGTACAATCACCGAATTCGTTGTGGTCTTCTCAATAGTCATATTTCGAGGTGGTCTTGGAACTATAAAAAATTGATAGTTATCCATCTAAGTATAATATTTTTGATCACAACTTACAAACAGGTTGGAAGTATTCATGAGGTTCACTCTTCAATCCATGAGAAATGGCAAATACCTTAACCATGTACCCAGCACCAGGATACAAGTCCTTTAATACAATTCGTGACTCATAAGTTGTCTTGATAAGATTATCTAGAGTATCATTTCTGACACACTCAACTTCATATTTATCTTGTCTGGAATTAACATCTGACTTCCAACTGATGTTAAGACCATCCACCAGTGGTTTAAGGTCTTCTATGATTGGTGCACTGGGTCTGGTTAAAACAAATAGAAAACTTTCATTGGATTCAACTTTCTTCGATATTGCCGACACCGCAATCGAATAGTTTCTTCCCGGAAGTAGCGCATCTAACGTAATTTTCGTTTCATTGGTCGTCACTGTATTGGAATCACCAGCGGAGCTCTCAACTTCATGATAAGAAACCCCGTAAGATTCCTGGAAGCTATTCGGGTTGGATATCCAATGCACATTGACAACATTTAGAGATTCTTCAGTTTCTGCCTTGAGATTAACCACAGGTAAAGGTTCTAATAAGAAAAACACAATAGCAATTTCAAAATTTAAAATTAAAGTAAATTAACTTACTGAGAGTAACATCTGCAGACGTAGGCCATGATGTAACCTTCCCTGAAACGGTCTTCACCACAACCTGGTAAGTCTTGCCAGGTTCGAGATTATCTTTAAATTTCCACCATGTGGGTTCCTCTCTGAGCCTACTAACAGCAGGCTGTTTACGAACGGAACCCAAGGATATTTGATACTTGTCAAACTCGCTTCTACCACTTGGTGGTTCCCAATTTACAATAAACGAATTGGATGTCACTGAAGTCTTATCAAATGTGATATTTAAAGGTCTCACTGGCACTGTTCGATACTGAGCGGTTGTTGGAGTTGACGTTTCATCTTCCGACATAGTCTGGACGGAAATATTATAAGCCCTGCCAGGAACAAGTCCTTTAAATGCAGCCTGAGCAGGCCCAGGCGGTTCTCCCTCTTTCTCCACATATAAAACACTCTCAATTGCATCTGGTGGGTCAATGGACACCTTGTAATGAGTATAAATTGCTGGTGGGTATGGTGGTTGCCACAATACTAATAATGTGGTTTCATTTCTAAACCATACGATAAATTTACCAGGAGTATTTGGTTCTAAACAAAAATAACATATTAGTATTGAACTATAATTAATACGTACAAATCATACTGGTTGTAAAGTTCCTCGATGTATAAGCAGCGCTTTCCTTGTTTTCGAAAACAGTGTACGCTTGAACTTGATACGTGGCACCAGGTGTTAAATCCCGCAGAATATGCGGCGACGTTTCAACATTGTCCACGATAATCGTTTGTGGTTTAGGCTCCAGGGCGGTGGAGAGAGCATTTATTCTCAACTTGAACGTAGAGTAGCTTCCTTGAGATGGTGGACTCCATGAGATTGCGGCTGTCTTACCATTACGTACAGCGACGGAGAGATTCGAAGGTGGATCAGGTACTAATAAAAATATTTTTGGTGATGTTAGATTATACAAGACATTAGAATAATATAGCTATGATTTGAAGTTATGTAGTTTCTGGACTGGTAAATATGCGCATATACGTATAAATTGTATGCATATTCGTGTTTGAAAGTGCATAATTGCTGATGCAGGAAGTGTACGTTTATATTATGCAGTTCCCAATCACGAAACCGCAAAACGTGCGATGATAATAACAAATAATCTACACCCAAGCACACTCACGCTATAATTACGCATCGGACATCAAAACAATCATCAAACCTAGAACATCCTCCAGTTGTTTCAACTTAAACTATAGTTAATCACTATTTGCGTTAAAAATTAATAATTCATTTTCGCACAGTTACCATTCAATTGTTTTACTGGTCTAGCACCATTAAATTTCATTGTCATAGTATAATAATGATTATTGAAGGACTAATTGTTCATAATTGTCTTGCAGAATAACTAAATATGCGACTTTTTTTTACAAATCGCAACTTATATACAACGATGAAACATTTTTGAAGTAAAAACTTCTTAAGAATATATTTCTAAATTGTTTTAGAATATATATATATATATATATATGTATATTTCCAACAGTAAAAGGTCAAGAAACGCCACTAAAAGTACTAAAAAGTGAGATTTTTCAATTTTTGCCCATTTTCTTCAATCGCGAATATCTCGTAAACTAAAAGAGATAATTAAGATCTGATCGCAGCGTCTTAATTTACGGACTTTTCTCTATAAGATAGGCTAGTTAAAACGGAAATCTGAGAGATGAAATTTTAACTCTTAAGAAAAAATTGCCAAGGGGGGGTGCTTGATACTTTTTTTCGACGATTTTTGATAATTAATATCTCATAAACTAAAAGCCGTAGCAACCAACAAATTGCTGATTATGAAAGGCTGGAAAATTCTCAGATAAAAGTATAAAACAATAATATTTCCAATAGATAAAAACGCCACTAAAAGTACTAAAAGTGACATTTTCAATTTTTCTCGTAAACTAAAAGAATTAAGATCTGATCGCAGCGTCTTAATCTACAGACTTTTCTCTATCAGATTTTACTTTTTTCGACGATTTTTGATAATTAATATCTCATAAACTAAAAGCCGTAGCAACCAACAAATTGCTGATTATGAAAGGCTGGAAAATTCTCCATCAGATAAAAGTATAAAACAATAATATTTCCAATAGTAAAAGGTCAAAAAACGCCACTAAAAGTACTAAAAAGTGACATTTTTCAATTTTTGCCCATTTTCTTCAATCGCGAATATCTCGTAAACTAAAAGAGATAATTAAGATCTGATCGCAGCGTCTTAATCTACAGACTTTTCTCTATCAGATAGGATAGTTAAAACGGAAATCTGAGAGATGAAATTTTAACTCTTAAGAAAAAATTGCCAAGGGGGGGTGCTTGATACTTTTTTTCGACGATTTTTGATAATTAATATCTCATAAACTAAAAGCCGTAGCAACCAACAAATTGCTGATTATGAAAGACTGGAAAATTCCCTATCAGATAAAACTATAAAACAATAATATTTCCAATAGTAAAAAGTCAAAAAACGCCACTAAAAGTACTAAAAAGTGACATTTTTCAATTTTTGCACATTTTCTTCAATCGCGAATATCTCGTAAACTAAAAGAGATAATTAAGATCTGATCGCAGCGTCTTAATTTACGGACTTTTCTCTATAAGATAGGCTAGTTAAAACGGAAATCTGAGAGATGAAATTTTAACTCTTAAGAAAAAATTGCCAAGGGGGGGTGCTTGATACTTTTTTTCGACGATTTTTGATAATTAATATCTCATAAACTAAAAGCCGTAGCAACCAACAAATTGCTGATTATGAAAGACTGGAAAATTCTCCATCAGATAAAAGTATAAAACAATAATATTTCCAATAGTAAAAGGTCAAAAAACGCCACTAAAAGTACTAAAAAGTGACATTTTTCAATTTTTGCCCATTTTCTTCAATCGCGAATATCTCGTAAACTAAAAGAGATAATTAAGATCTGATCGCAGCGTCTTAATCTACAGACTTTTCTCTATCAGATAGGATAGTTAAAACGGAAATCTGAGAGATGAAATTTTAACTCTTAAGAAAAAATTGCCAAGGGGGGGTGCTTGATACTTTTTTTCGACGATTTTTGATAATTAATATCTCATAAACTAAAAGCCGTAGCAACCAACAAATTGCTGATTATGAAAGACTGGAAAATTCCCTATCAGATAAAACTATAAAACAATAATATTTCCAATAGTAAAAAGTCAAAAAACGCCACTAAAAGTACTAAAAAGTGACATTTTTCAATTTTTGCACATTTTCTTCAATCGCGAATATCTCGTAAACTAAAAGAGATAATTAAGATCTGATCGCAGCGTCTTAATTTACGGACTTTTCTCTATAAGATAGGCTAGTTAAAACGGAAATCTGAGAGATGAAATTTTAACTCTTAAGAAAAATTGCCAAGGGGGGGTGCTTGATACTTTTTTTCGACGATTTTTGATAATTAATATCTCATAAACTAAAAGCCGTAGCAACCAACAAATTGCTGATTATGAAAGACTGGAAAATTCTCCATCAGATAAAAGTATAAAACAATAATATTTCCAATAGTAAAAGGTCAAAAAACGCCACTAAAAGTACTAAAAAGTGACATTTTTCAATTTTTGCCCATTTTCTTCAATCGCGAATATCTCGTAAACTAAAAGAGATAATTAAGATCTGATCGCAGCGTCTTAATCTACAGACTTTTCTCTATCAGATAGGATAGTTAAAACGGAAATCTGAGAGATGAAATTTTAACTCTTAAGAAAAAATTGCCAAGGGGGGGTGCTTGATACTTTTTTTCGACGATTTTTGATAATTAATATCTCATAAACTAAAAGCCGTAGCAACCAACAAATTGCTGATTATGAAAGACTGGAAAATTCTCAAACAGATAAAAATATAAAATAATTATATTTCCTACAGTAAAAGGTCGCAAATCGCGACTGAAAGTGCTAAAAAGTTACATTTTTCAATTTTTGCACATTTTCTTCAATCGCGAATATCTCGTAAACTAAAAGAGATAATTAAGATCTGATCGCAGCGTCTTAATCTACGGACTTTTCTCTATCAGATAGGATAGTTTAAACGGAAATCTGAGAGATGAAATTTTAATTTTTAAGAAAAAATTGCCATGGTGGGGTGCTTGATATTTTTTATCGACGATTTTCGATAATTAATATCTCTTAAACTAAAAGAGATAACAACCAACGAATTGATGATTATGGAAGATTGAAAAATTCTCTTTTAATTCATAAGAATTCATGAGACGTAACTAATCCATACCGAGAAAAGGAGAGAATAGATAGGAATCAAGAGACGCCTGGGCACTGCGCTCACTAAGCGCTATCTTTTTATGTTTACGTGCAACCCGCAAAATATGGTGGGGGAAAGAGCAGCGCGCCTGTAGTATTGCTACCAGGTCTGCGACCCAAATGTGGATCTTCCCCCACTTTTTTGTTATTCTTTTGTTTCTTTTTTGTAATCTAACTAACCTGTTGTAAAATTTGCCGTCCATGTGAGCGTATTATGTGTCAGATTCGAGGAATACAGCCAGAAGTCATACTTGGTACCGGGCAGACCCTGCGAGAATTTAATCACGTCGTGGATATCCTTCGACGCGATTGTTGTATTCGGCTCTGGATAGCCGAATGGCGGATAATAATCAAGGCGATACACGACGCCATCTTGATTCAAGTTGCCTGGAATGTGGATAACTAATTCTGCGCCCAAACATTGCTGAAACATAAAAATAAACCACATATATTATAAAACATATTTTTGCTATATCAGAGGTGTATTAATTCAATACACGCCATATTGATAATTTAATTAACATCTAACAATCACGTGTTGCTAAAGTGTGTCGAATTTAGCAACGGAATTTTACAGTTAAACTATATACATTATTATTAATAGTAATAATATTAGTTTAGTGCGTTAACAAACACCGAAATGAAAATAAAGAAACTTTTGATCATGCAGTGTGTCGCCCAAGCACGATATACTTAGGAATTCGTTGGAATTTACATTCGCTGGAATGTTAATAGAAATTCATAACAAGCAATAAATTAACGTATTAACGCAAATTGTTACATATTACTCGTACGTACAAAGTCAGGCGAATCGAAGAGTCAAAACAGTTTCATTTTAATAATCAACATTGTTGCGAATGTGTGGATTATGAAGTAAAATATTATTATTACATTCCTATTATGGTGATTATGGTTGATTATGGTTGCATGTCGATTTTCGTTATGCAACTGCAACGAGTTACATGTTAATTTGAGTATTATTCGTATTATTTTTACGAGCGAACGATTTATTATCATTTAACTTAATTATTTGCACTGTGGAGGCAGGTACAATCATTTGGTGTACGAGGACGCAATAGTTTTACCTAATGAATTAGGTAAGTTTTATTTATAAAAACATTTAATCTTATATATTGATGTATCAGCCTTGAGCTTCGTGCAAGTTGAGTCAAAATCTGGCCAAATCTTAGAAAGTTGTTTTTAAAAATATTAAATATGTATGGATATAAACTGACGCTTTAAATCTAATTTTTATAAACATTTCCGACGGAAATTAGTTTATATCTCAACTGATCCGGATGCACCGGAAGTCAATATTTTATTTATATCGAATTAAAATGTTACCAAAGCCAGCAAAGTAACTAATTTTACTTTTTTCGTTTAACCTAGTGACATTTATAAAACATAACAACTTGCGGCGTTAAAATATTGTAAAATATTCAAAGAAATAAAAAAAGAAATCAAAGTGATGATTGAATTTCTACCACTCTTGTCTAATCTCCAATCGCACACGTTGTGTGTGTGTGAAAGTGATCATATTGCATTTGCGAACAATCGTATTCTCACCTGGTGCGCAGCACCTGCGCCTCGAATCAAATTCGAATTCAAACATCTCCACGTTGGCGAATAGTTTCTCCAAGTAGCATTTTACGACCTACTCGTGCCAAATTAGCATATTAATCAAACCGAAAACTACTAATTAGAAATCAACCCAAATCTTGTTCGATTTAATTTTCACCACCAAAGCACATTATTCGGCAGAGTTATTATTATGTGTTATTATGACAGAATAACATTTCAGTGGCCACAGAGTGAAGGTCAACGTTAATGAGAGTCATAAGGAAGTAATTATAAACCAATGAACTATCTATCTACAATCTAGAAGCTTAGATTTCTGGGAAAATCAAATAATCCTTGACACTTCAATTATTAACACATGAAAATCACATGATCATGCAGGTTGATTCAGTGGTAACAAGTGCAAATCATTTAATGCAACATGTAATACTTATATAATTATTTTACGAAGTTTATAATTTGCGACTTTTTAAAGTTTTCTTTGTTTTTTGCTGATTTGATCATTGGAACGTCGCCATGTTGCATACAACGGAACAATTTAAAGAATTTGTCGCCGCATCAAATTATGCGCGTATTATTTTTAGAAATGTTCCAATTTTCGGCGCCATCCACTTTATTTTTGTGAACAGTAAATTGCAAATGATGCAAATACTAATTTATTAAAGTGCAAATGTGATAATTGAGCCAACTGCGTCTAAAAGTTATAAAATTGCTAATAAAGTAGAAAGCAGCGCATTTTGTCGTTAAACATAACCACCAAAATAACTTTGCAAATTTAAATTATTATAAGACAAGATGCCAGATGCAGATGATGCAATTATTTATCATAAAAATGTTACAAGTTACAAATTGAAATGAATATTTCTAAATCAAAACATTCAACCACCTCTATTGTATAATTATTGCTTTAATTTAATCGATTTCGAAAGTGGTTCACAAATATAAACATGATTATGATAATTGGGCAAGATAAATTTGAATATCGTTACAAATTGCAGGTTGTTCACTATGAACTAACGCACGCTGCGCATTGTTAACGCTAAAGAATAGAAAAAATAAAGCGTGATATGTATAACACGTTGAAAATAAAAGTTTCAATACACCATACATTTTTATCTTAATGTTTCTAACAGCAACTTTCATTCGTCCATTCATTCGTTGCAAAGCAAAAAGATTAGCGTTAATGAACGAAACAAACACAACCAACTTGAACAATAGTCAAAGCAGAATTATTTTTATTTAAATCTCACTTCGAAAGAATCTGAAAGTTTACAAATCACTTTGGCACTCGTGAATTGAATTCGAAAACATAAAACAATTAGTTGCGAGTCTATTGTAAGACATGAATATTTTATTAAGTATTCGCAAAATGTTTATTCACCAACTGGATTATTGTATGCATTATGAAACAAATCACATGTGAACGCATGTGAAATATTTCTGAGTTATGAATTATGCATCGTAATCGTAACATTCGGTTGGTTGGTGTGTGTGTGCTGTTTTTTTTCGGTTTTACTTTTTTACTCTTTGAAATCGAAGCCGGAATAACCTATTTTGTTATGTAATGTCTATCTGCACACATGAACTGGATTTCGAATACACTTTTTTCCAATCGTTGCAAACTACAAAAAGTACAAAACAGCAAATAGATTATTTAGAAAGCGAAAAATTCGTTAATTTGTATGATGGAGTTCTGCATCATAGAAAGCAGACAGAACAGGAAAAAAATAGAAACATTGCTTAATTGATTTGTTAATTTATGACAAGAAATGATATGATTAACCTCAATTATAAGTAATTTTTAATATCTACTTACTGAGTTATACATTTTTTCTTTCTTTAACTCTTAAAATTTTAACCGAATGCGGAACTATGGTCAAAGGAGCCGTCAGTTTTGCAATGAGTTAAAATCAAAATTAATACTTATTTTGGTGTGTTAACTTTAACAAAAAATATAGTGTAAAACTATACGTTTCAGTAATAATTCCTATAAATATCTATATTAATATTAATTGGATTTAGGGTAAAATTTATTCGCTATTAAGACGCTGTGACTCATCAAATTAATAAGCACGACCAGCCACATAGCAGCGGCTCACCCCCCACCACTTTCTGCGGGTTGCCCGCAGGGACCACTGTGCTCAGTCGTGTCTGGGTCGTCCAGCAGTCCAGTCGCAGGTCCCTAGCTTCCCCTCCCCTCTCTTTGGCTTACTCTTAATTCGGTCCTGGTCGCGGTTTGTGGTGGTTCAAGAAGGTCAAGCGAATCTCAAGTGATATTGCGTCATCCCGTACCATTTTTTCTACTTTTCTGCTATATACAACCCCCAACATCTAACAATAAACCATTTTGAGGGTAATGTACTCTACTCATAACAATTGGCAACTGATTACTCCAAATTTAAACAGACTACAGACAACCCGAGTACAATTTATAGTAAACCACTGCAGATTCAGACACACATTGTAAATCGCAATCAAAACAAACTCAAACGCGATGTGATTGATGCTGGTGTCTGGCGGAAAAACCTAATCGATTCGTCTGCTCGGTTGTTTTTTCAGGCTCAGTTTATTCGTATACAAAACCCACATGCGCACATGCCTGTGATGAGCCATGTGCTTACTAATGTTAACTCAGGCCAGAGTTAATTAAGCTTGATTCTGTTTACACTAGCTGAATAATAAATAAATTGAAACGCCACTCACCACAATAGTTTAGCTAGAACGCACATGCACACTTTTTATTTAACTTTAATTAAACTTGATTAAAGCTATTTAAAGCTACTTTAATTCAGTTGGTTCGGTTATGTTTATAATCAAAGTATAATTCACACATAAGTATAATGAATGAAATATTATTCATGTGATTTGTTGATTTGGAACCTTGATTTATGAACAGCAAATATAGACAACATTCAAAAAATCGCCAGACCTTGATGTGGGTGACCTCCTAAAGGAATAAATTTTGTTACACTGACGTACTCACTCAGAAAAAGCACTTAATTAATGTTTTCTGTTTAATTGTTTACTAAACACGTCAATTTTTGGTTTTATGATGAGTATATTAATAATAATTCATTTACATACAAATGTAGTTGTATTTCCGGCCAAAACTCACTTGGTAATATATAAAAAAACTTGTGTTAGTTACAACAAGTATAACTCAAGAACGGCTGCACAGATTTTGATGATCTATGATTTATTGGATTCGTCTCCACCCCTATTAGCAGAACGACAATTAAAACTTTCAAAATATATGTCGTAAAGGGTGCTAAATAAGGGATGAAACTAAACTTTAAAAAAAAAACTTCAAAATCAGACTTTTTGATGAGTAAGACACATATAACCTCGAATATGAATGACCGTTGATAATTACATTTTAATCTTTTCACTAACCTGTTATTCCTTACAATTAATGACTGATTCTATGTAAAAATATTATTTCAGTTGAATAAACAAGATGATTCATTGACGTGCAAAGTTACGCAACGTAAATATCCGTGATGATCATGTACGACACGAACATAACTCATAAACAGTCTAGATATCTACCTATGAAAAACATATTGTTCATTTTTTTGCAATTGAATTTTGTTTGTGCCTCATATATTTTTTGTTCGTGACTTTGACGTACGTCTGTATTCCGTATGCGTACACACGTGCAGACGTGCTATTACTGCACGTCCGTCGTATGCAAAATGAGCTGAATTACCTAGGAATCGCATTGAATTCGCAACGCTCGAGCACACTAACTAATTGCGATTACGAAACGTGCGCGCGCGCTTTGTTTCGCGCGCGGCTCGCAGCTGCGACACGCTGTAATAAACTTTTGCAGCGTTTTGTACTTTTGTGTGAATATGAAGGTATACATATATATACATTTTCAAACGGACTAAGGCGTCGTTCTGAGTTGAAAGCGATTGCGCTAATCGACTGAGCAACCAACGACCAAGAACGCGAATGCAAATTGAGCCTTCAATTAAACGCCAAAGCGAAACCAGTTGCACATCACAAGACGCAGTGTTTGTGTTTGTGTGTGTATGCAAACACAACAATAAAACTTGTTCCTAGACTTTTACTACAGTAGGTATTGCAGATTACAATATATAACCAAACTTTACGAAGTTCATAAAATAAATATTTCTTGTTTTTGATTTGGAATTAAAAAATTAACTATTAAAATATCGAAAATTATGACTTAAACTGAGTAAAATTGTCAAAAAGTCGGTTACCACTGACATAACCTCTAATCCTGAGATGTCATTTGTTTTATTACCTCACCAGTCAATGTCAAATCATTTTTATTTAAAAATTATGTTTACTTGGACAATAAATTGAGGTTAAAACATTACTCTAAGCCGACGTAACTAGAAATTAATTAACAGCACATTACTTTACACTATTTTATAACAAACAATGAACAACAGCGCAACCTAAACGGAAAGCAATGTTAACAGACGCACGTTTTTCTTTTCTTTTAATAACCGCCGGGTCACGATTAAACGCAAGGTGCGTGTAATATCTTTTTAATTAAACGGCAATTTCTTTCAAATCTTCGTCTTGATAACAATCAAACTGTTACCAGATACGAGTACATCCTAACAGCAATAAAAGTTCAATAAACGAATGAATCAATTGTTTTGTATTTTTGAGAAAAGAAAACGAAGATTGAGTCACATCCTACGCCAAAAATACCACTTTACTCAACAACACATTCATAAAAGAAGAAAATTACTAATGAATATGAAAGCGACCTAACTTGACTTAACTTAAGCCAACTAATAAGTTGTCCATTCAGTGTAATGGCGACTTGTTTCACGCTACCGTTAATTTCGTGTTGAGCTAAAAAAAAGTCAACCAAACCAAGTCAAGCATGTTGTTCTGGTGCGGTCTTGACTTAAAACGTAAGTCAACTTCAGAGTAGCGCAAGTTCCACTATTGACTGTTCCAAATAGTTTTTGAAACGTTCGTACCTGTTCGTTGGCACAAAGTGAATTGTAATACGCACATACAATTGTGAATAAGAAGGCAGACTCAAGAATGGAATGGTGTTGGTCATTAGCATTCACTGCGAGCGCGTCATCAATGAGAATCAGCCAACAGGTTGGTTATCTCGACATTCTCAATTCATAACTAATATTACAAAATTTCAAATGAAAATATACGCAAATAAATCACTTTCCTATTATATATAAGTAACAAAAAAGTAATTCTCACGTTATTCTTGACATGTGTTCATTTCCTGACGCTAGCGGAAGTGTTTTTTGGTGAGAAATGTCGTAAAATGCGGCTTAAGTCATGTGTGAGCACAGAAAACAAAAGTTATATGCTTTGGCAGTTGATTGATCGTGTTTTACGACATGTGACTTAAGTTATTTCTTTGAATGACGTTGTTTTCCCAAAAAACTAACAAAAGCATAAAAAGTGACTTAAGTCACATTTACTTCTGTTTATTACATTAGATGTAAATAAGTTCGAACGGTATTCTAACCTTACTTAACCTCACATTCACTCTAGGTGCTCAACACGTTTGTTTTTATGGTTAGGTAGAGTACGTTTTATCCAACCTACCTAATTGCCTTTGGTTAGTTGACTATGTAGTTAAACTTTCGGATTGTTTCACGTAACGAGCAACATTTGAATACAGAACATGCTAAAATAGGGAAATTTAAATTTTTACATTCACAATTTAGTCAACGTACGTCATAGCTACACGAATATGAAATAAACAACTATTGTGGTGTAATTTACTGTGTAAAATAATATGTATAACAAAGATCTGACTTCGTTTTGTTGTTTATACTTGATAACAAGCTCGAACGAATGATAAATGCAGGTATAAAGTGTAAAATTGACATTTTATACATTTCGTATGTCTAATATAGAATAAATGGTCTCATTTACCTTTACATAATAGAAAAGTAGCACAAGCGAGAAGGTGTGCACCCAATGCCGACGAAAACGCAGCAAACCGCTGGTCATTTTACTTCCAAGAGATGTTGTCCCCCGTCAATTGTCGTTTGTTTTAAGCGCGACTCATTTGTTGTTCCTCGTTTGCAGCGGATCTGGTGTGGCTTCCTTTGTGTTGTGCAGGCAGGTAGGAGGATATTCCGGGGTACCGGGGACGCAAACAGAGAACACAGCACAACAGGTACACACGATGCACTCAACACTTTACACACGTTTCACAGTAATAAATGCAAACATTGATATATTGATCAAACAGGTGTCACCGATAAAGTCTCCTCAGTTATTATTTAATAAAGTTGTTCACACATTGAATTGCTTTGCTTTGCTTAAGATTTGCACTGCACTGCGTTATTCTTGACTTGACTTAAGTCACTTCCGATGGCACTACTTGTATAACGAATATATTATGTGCTCGTTGTGGCCGGTGATGAATATCCGTATCCGCGCACGTTGGAATTGTCGGAATAGTTGTTAAATGTGAGCGGTGTAAATGCGCGAGCCGCCGTCGACGGTCGACGTCGCCATGGTGGCCGAATTTAGCGGATTGCGGCTGAGCACTAGAAGTAGCAGCACGCGAGACGAACGAGCGAACGCAGTCACGGACAGGCCAGCGACGGGGGAAGCCTCGAATGCTTCGAGTGCTTCGAGCTCACGGCTGGCTCGCGCGGTCGTGCCGTTTGCTCGTATGCGGTCGGAACAACTTTGAGCAACTTTCATTTCTGGCAAAAAGCACCAACACCAGCAAAACGCAACGTGCGCGGTGCGCGCAATACTGACTTAACACAAGTCAGACTTGATTCGGTGGTCACAGTCTGCCACTTAATTTTGTCTTGCTTCCACTTACTTCGCCAACATCGGCAGCTTGAATATGCGTCGTTAGGTTATCGCGATATTTGATTGATAACGGTGGGTAATTTTCGCTTCAAGATAAGTTAGGTCTGTATTAATGGGTCGAGAAATGGCTCAAACCCACTTAAGATGAGTAATTTGTTGTTTAAATGTTTAAACTGAGTAATACATGGGAGAATATAGAAAAAGTTGATCTGTCGATTACCTGGAAATTTTTACGCACTTTTATGTGTTTTTATTAATAAAAATCTAAAATTCTTCTATGTATCAATTTAAATTACATATTCCAAAAGCTAATTTCTAAATAACATGTCACCATCACAAAAATATTTAAATATTCCATATTTATTGTTATTTCTATCAACAAACTTTGTTGTAACATTAGTTCTACCAATTATCCTTTTCGTAAAGTTAAAAATGGAATTCCTGCAAAATATTTTCTAATAATGGTCAACTGGTTGCCTAGTTTAAATGTTAGTTAGTAGTAAATAAGTTAGATGTAGAGTGCGCCATATTTTCTTATGTATTTCTATACATACCCAAAACTATATGATATTTATATGTATTTCTCAGCACACGCACGCAATTACGACTTATCTCATTGACTTAACGTTTGCATATGGCTGTTGTTTACTTAGACAGCGCAACAGTTTTATTTTTAATTATGGAGCAGGTTAAAATTAATATTCAATGTAATTTTCCTTCTAAATTAACAAAACCAATCTATACTTGTATTAATAAATATGTAATTTGTTGCAGCTCTACATAATGACTGAAATTATGTAACAAATGCAGTATCTTACAATGTAAAAAATCCTGTTGTTTTGCATGTTATAATACGAACTTTTAAAGCTACTAATTAATAGCTAATTGGTGATGCATCTACTAATCGCCAACTTTGTTGTTACCTGCCGCGAAACCACACATCTTTCCTTCGCAATTAAGAAAATGATATCCTTGCAAATGAATAAGCATGTACCCATTCACGTGGCCAAATTATTTAAAAAAATAAACGAATTATAATGATCGTGAACTTGCGTGTCCCATAAGCGCACATTACGAATCTGTTATGTATGTAATTGATGGGCATATAAAGTAACTGGGAAACTGCCAATCAAGCTATTGTTTTTCAATACTTAGTGATTTCCACTTGTGAAATTTCATCCATACCAGTTTCAACCCCGTCAAGATGAAGTTTGTTGTTATTTTCATCATCGTGCAGTGCTTATTGGTAAAGAATACATTTTAACTTAAGCAATAAATGTTATTGGGGTGGATTTAAGTAATTTGGGTTGTCTGCATTTTTCTAAATACTTAAGGCTACTGACTTTATAATTATGTTTTACTCTGATTTAGATTCAATACGCAACGGCTGAATTTTCAGCACAAAAATACAAGGAAATGCACGATACTTGTGTTAACCAAAGTGGTTGTCCAGAGGACATTATCGAGAATGCGCGCAACGGTGACTTTAACCCGGATCAAAGATTCAAAGCATTCTTGAAATGTTGCTTTGAACAGGAAGATGGCGTAAGAACTTACATTTTTTCAATCGCCTGTTGCAATTTTATTACTGCGAAAGTAATGATTACTTTCAGCTTGATGCAAATGGTAATATACTGGTTGACAAAGTCCTGGAATCTTTCCATGACGATCTTGTTGCAAAATATGAAAAACCAATGAGGGAATGCAACGATATCGTTTCACACGCCGGTGACACCCTGGATTACATCTACAACTATTGTTATTGTGCCTACGAAAAAACTAAGGAGGTATTTCTATTAAAATACAGCGTATTTTCATATATGTATTATTAATTTGGTTCTATTTGCAGCATTTTGATATTCCTTAAGTGAATGTTTATCAGCAATTGGAGTTATTGGAATTATTTCCTGAATAATTTTATAGAACGATTTGTTTGTAGGCAATCTGAAAACAATTTTTTTTATCTACTCTTTACATTTAATCCATTGTAAATTATATCCAACATGTTGAGATTTTAATATTAAATTTACAAGTGCACAAACATAAAAATAAGAATGTAAATTAAATTCTCACTATATTCCCATCCCAGTTACTTCTTTTCTTTGGTTCCTGAAGCTGCTTCTTTATCTTTATCTAGTAGTGCACTACGAATTCCTGCTTTTTCTAGAGTTTCCACCAGATCACCAGACTGGTGCATTTGCAAGAGAATATCACAACCACCAACAAATTCACCATTAATATATACTTGTGGGATTGTTGGCCAGCTTGAAAAATCTTTAACACCTTTAAAATAAAAATTATAATAAAATACTAACAAATTGAATATAATTATATAAAAAGATACCTTGACGTAAAACTTCATCTTTCAAAACATCATGAGCATCATATTGTACTCCATGCATTCTCATAATCTGTACAACGGCATTACTAAAACCGCATCGGGGTTGATCTGGTACTCCTTTCATAAAAACCACCACTTTACTCTTTTTTACCATTTTTGTCAAGTCTTCAGTGATGTTTGGTTTAGCTGTGCAGAAGTGTGCTTTAAAAATATTATTTAAAACACCTGCCATAGGACGTCTGGTTAAAGCGTTCATCTTGATTTCTGTCTATTCAATAAGTACAAAGATAAACGTGACTTGGAAATGCTTTTTTAATTTGATTTATAATTTAATGAAAATACCAGCGCCGACTCTTTGATAAGATTTTGTCTCTGGTTTTGTGGTTACGATCTATTTGAATTTCATAATCAACGATCATATACATAAAAATGAGTTTTTCATACAAAATATAACTAAATATCTCTTAAAATAAGCATTTATTAGAAATAATCTGATATTTTATGAGAATATCTTTAAATATAAATTGATATTTGACAATACTTAACAACCAAATCATTTTTTGTGTAAAAATATGTTGATCATTTAAAAGTATCCATGAAAGTTATAATATTTTTGCCTTGTAGGTTATCATGTCGGTAATGTCACTTGAATGTCACATTTGTTTTGATTCAAGCCAAATCACCCAAAAGTTGATTTTGGCTGCTAAGAAAATCTGAATAACAATGGAAACAACACCGTCAGTATTAATAATTAGTAACAGCAACACGAAACCAGCATCTATCATTAAATTAATCACCAAGCATCAACCCCACAACAATGATACCAACATATCCATTCATCCCTTTCAAATAAAAACAAAATACTACACAACCACCATCAATTTAATTGGATTTAATGACAATATAACAAACTTGGACAAAAATGCCTCATTCCTGAACACAATTGAAGCACTTATCATACACATGGATGCTAATAAACCATCTGCATTGGAAGATGTAGATAAATGGACACAACTTTTTGATGAGCTTGAAATTCAACCAGAAATTAAACTGCTTCTTGCTAACTACTGCAATGAATCCACAGTTATTTCCAAAGATGATGCGAATCTATGGTGTTTAGATAAGGGCTTTGAGTTTGTTGAGTTGTTTCCACCACAGAATGAAACCCAGAGTGGAGTGATAGAAGAAGAAAATGAGTTGGAAGATGCATTTGGGGAGGAGAAAGTTGGTGTGGACCGAGTTCTGGAAGCATTAGAGAATAATCTCTGGTCTAACATGGAGATGAGTGATAAGGATCCAATGAGTAAAGAAACTGAAGAGGAAACTGATATGTTTTTGAGCTGTTTAGTAATTTGATGTCGATGAAGAGCAATATATCTAATATGCCTACAAATGTGAGGAAACAGTGTGCTGAGCAGATGGTCACTGCATTTTGGAATGCCATTGGTGGTGATGAAGATGAACTTGGAGATTTGTAGCTCTTTGTATATTAAATATTTATCTGTGTATAATTCCATAAAAATTAAATAAACATAATTAATATTCACTGCTTTTATGTTTTGCTGTCTAATTATTGTTAAACTTGAAATTTCAAAGCAAAAAATTCATATTTAGGTGTTATTTAATGTTAATTTAATAAAAGGAAGTTTGGTCATCTATTTTTGATGTATTTTGCTGTTATTGCAGCTTCTATACAACAGAATTTAATATTCGGTTGAAAAACTAATCATATTCATTTATATATTTATTTAAAAATAGAAAAATCTAGTTATTCTTTTAAGATTTTAAAATTACATTGATTTGATTTGAATATAACTATATCTCTTAAATTATAAAATTAATTTTTACTTATTTTTGTTTCCAATAAAGTAAGGCACATTAAATTGAACATGAGAACATCAAAATATAAAATTTACCCCATTCTAGGTAAATTCAATGAGAACACAAATTTTATTATTATTACCCTGAAAGTCTAGCCTTCCTGCAACTCCTCAGTTTCTTCTCAATTACTTCACCCATGGCAACATCAGTTGAGGACATAATCAGTCTCCGTCTTAGCTTCACATTAATATCAGGCTTCTGGGGCTTCTTCTCTGGATCTGGTGTTTTCTCCCTGGGTGGGCCAAACAGTCTAGTTCTGTTACCATCATATGGTGACCAAGTCAATGGCTTGCGCCTGAAGCCTCTCTGGATAATCACTTGTTCATCTGGAGATGGTGCTTTGTTGGGGGTGGCTGGTTCATTGGGCACATCAGGGAGCTCGCTTAAGGCCGATCGTCGTTGAGAAGACAATCGTGTAATGCGCTCCTCATCATTTCTTGTATCGTCCACTATTTATTTAAAAATTTAATATGAATCAAACCAACGAAACCAATGTTTTATTTATTTGGATTACTTACTTTTCAGATATAAAATGCTACAAAGTTTTCATTGATAGTCATAGATAATTAGGGCGGGAAAGCTGCGAATTGCTTTAACTCATGATGTGTGTTTACGTACGCCAAGTAATCGGTGTTTTCGCGGCATACGCGGCGCGTCGAACTTGCGTTGTTCGTTAGGTTCGTTAGGATTGTCGTTGCGTTCGTTGAGTAGTTTTTACGCTCTGGCGGTTAGGTTAACCAACAACTCCAACAAGTTTGGTAAGTTTTGTCTTTTGGAAGTTTACGTAAGAGGAAAAGAGTTAGATATACTTCTTTACGAAGGGGTTAAAATGCGTTTTTTTAGTTTACTTAAAATATTTATATCCATAGTTGAAAATGCCAATTTGTAACAACACGATATTTAAAAATGGAAATAAATAATAAGAAATATTATATTTTTAGATTTAATTTTGTCTACCCTTCCATTGATTTTAGTTATGCAATCACATTCAGAGATCAAAACTCTCAAATTAAATAAACATTAAACGTTTATTTTAATTTACCTGTTTTTCCATCAAATAGATCAGGATGATCATAACGATGTTATCTTAATAAAAGCGGCAATAAAAATACAGTTAAAATTAAAAAAGGAAACAATTTGTTCTGATTTAGTTGTATGTTTAAAGAATGTTTTCTGTTGTTAGTTTTAAGGGTTTTTCGACATCAGTTTTAAATGGAATTAAAATCTCACGAATCATGGCGTTTAATTATAATCTAACTACGAATTTTCACCACCAAACTGGGCAACAAAATAAAACGTTCATAACAGATAAAATACAAATAAAGAAACGATCAATACTTAAATAAACTGATTGCACACATGTGATGAGCTAGGTCTACAGCTAACATTTCGGGTCCTTGTATCTCGTATCTTGGAATACAAACATTTAAAGATTGAAAGGATTTGAAGAGAAGATGAAATCATAATTTAAATATTTAAATATAAATACTATATACGTTTTACGCATTTTAGCGTTGAATGTCTGAATTACTTCAATGCGTATAATAAACTCTGTAATATAACGTTTTCGACCGCCACAACGAGTACGAATTGTCAAACTTCAGCAGGTATACGCCCTGTCCGGGATACTTGTGCGAGCCAGCATAAACTTCGTTTTGGCAGTCGCGTCGAAACACCGGCACAATCTCCGTCAGCAGGGACTTACTATTACCCTGCATATTGGTCGAACCCGCCTCTAAATCTCCACCAGGCAACTGGAGATCTTCATCGTAGAGTTCATCTTCAATGTCGTCACCCTCTTCATCTTCACTCTCAGAAATGTGCACGGAAACACGATCTGTTGTCGGTGTGCCGTATTCAAAATACAAACCGAAACCAATGTCGTAATGGTCAGTGGCAAACTCCCAGAAGAGTCGCGAGCCTTCTAGATGCGTTGGCACACGGACTGTTACAGTCTCACCGTGGCCAACGCGCACAACACCATCGCCTTCTGCTTGTGATACGGATTGTTTAAACGCGTCCATGTCCGCACGCGTCCACATATTCGCAGCGACCAGTTGATCGAGCGAGTCTTCATCGTATTCTTTTGTTTCGTTTTCGTTATTTATTGAATCCTGATAAAATATAATATACAAATAATATACTTGTAATAAAGTATAGAAAAAATAACTTACATAGTCTTTTGTTTCGTGTTTTATGTCCTCGCTGATTTCAGTAGTTTCACCACGTTGCGCAGCTTTGAGCTGTTGCATGTACTGGATGTAGTGTTGCTCTTGAAGTTGTTTAACTAGCGCGCCTTGTTTCTCCGGTTCGCCGGGAAATTGATGCTCGGAATATTTCCTAAACTGTTCATATGTCTGTTCATTGAGCGCCTGCTGAATCTGTCGTTTTATAAGTTCTTCTTGTTCAAGTCGTTCCTGCTCCTTTTGTTGTTCCAATTCTATTTGTTTCTGTTGTTCATATTCTGCTTGTTTTCTAACTTCATCTTCTTTACTACAAAATTGATTTTACTGTGTAATTACAGCAATAAAATATTAATAAGAATGTCTTACTATTTTCTTTCTTGTTCCTTCTTCTCTCTTCTATGTGCTTCAATATAAGTTGAAAACAAATGACACTTTCTACTTAACAACTCAACAAAACCAGCCCTAGCTTGATCTGAAGACAATCCACCTAATTTCTGCCATGCTACCCTTCTATCTCTGCCAACCACATCTAATGCCCCCACTGGGGGCAACTTGTGTATTGCTTCACTAAATGGTCCATGTGAAACTTGCTGGGAGAATGCAACCAGTTGCAGCTTATCCTCATAACTAAAATGCACAGCCTTTCCCTCTTTTTCTATAATACAACATAAACTTATTTAATAAAATTAAAACTTCTTCGATGAAATTTGTGAAGTTATAAATACCTTTGTAGAAACTGACAGCTAACTTGTACACCTCAGGTAATGGAAGTCCATAATCCAGACATGATTCGTTACCGTTCACAGGCGCCGCATCCTCTTCGTTTTCGTAGTTTATTCTTAAATTTGAGAAGGAACCCGAAATTTCGGTGTTTTCCTGCGTTGCAGCCATTGTTGTTTACGTCAATGACACACAGTTATCTTTGGGTGCTTTAGGAGCACTTGAAGCAAGTGTCAAATTTTAAACACTTTGATTTCTCTTTTTAAGTAACACACTAATTGTCGATTTATAAGCAATGATTTAGTTTGGAAATGTTTATACTTATAATTTTGTTTGTTTAGAAATGGTTATGAAAAGTTGAGTAGCGTTAATTACTTTTATAAAGTTATTTGTTTTTATACAGTGTGTTGCAAATGCCGCATCATAATTGGTATCATAACCCAACACCTAACGCTTTAAAAACGTTCCGTGGCGGAAAACACCGCATTCAAGTAAATAAATAAAAGAAGAACTTTAAATAATGGTGAGTAATGAAATAATAATAATTTTTATGTAATACATTATTTTTGTCAATTATGTACTTTAGTATTATATTTTTCGTAACTTTCAGGGAAGACACAAAGAAAAGAAACATAAGAAAGAGAAGAAACACAAAAAGACAAGAAGAAACACAAGGAGTACTCATCATCTAATGATTCAAGTGCTTCTGAAGATGAATGGGTTGAAAAACCATCAAGGGAAACAAAATCAGTTCCAGACAGAGATGACTGGTTATCGTTACCAGCAAACTTCCTCTCAGCAAGCAATAAAGAAATTAAAGACTCACGAAAACAAGCTAAACAAGAACAGAAACTTAATGATCAATATAATCCAGCAACATGCTCCAGAGAGTTAAATCCTTACTGGAAGGATAATGGAACAGGTTTGCCTAGTGCATCAAGCTCTGCTTTCAAGAAACCTAGCTTCAATGAAGATAATGATGATGAATATGATTATGGGCATAAATCATCTGCATCTGCAAGCTTAAATTCGAATTTATCAAAGAAAACATCAAACTGGAAGAAGACTAAACCTGAAACAAGTGTTTCAAACAAAATAATAGATCAAAAAGCAGCACAAATGTTAATGCAGATAATGTTGAAGAAGAAAATAAAGTGTTATCTCAAAAGGAATTGAATGCATTGGCTGCTAAATTAGTAAAAGCTGAAATAATGGGAAACACTGCATTAATGAAACAACTCCAACTGAAGTTAGATTCCGCAAGACAACTAAGAGACGAAAATCCTGGTAAAGCTAAAGAGGAAGATGTGATTCTAACACAAACAGACTCCAAAGGTTATTCACGACCGTTAAAATCTAAAAGTGACGATTGCCACGAGAATAAATCGAAAAAACGTCGAGTTGATACACACACTGATGGCGAACGCAATAAATACTTTGCCGATGATGACAAATATAATTTGAAGCAAATGTTTGAGCATGAAAAATTCAACACTGCCGAAAAACAAAACGAAGAGTTCTTGTCGATACTTGGCAAAAGCAAAAATGATGATCTAGACGAGATCTTCACGGATAAAATACGCAACCATGAAAAAGACGGTAAATCAGAACGTAGAGAACGTGATAAAGCAATCAGTGAGCATACAAAGATGACTCGAGTCCTGACAATTGCAATAAGTGTCCTACAAGTGACGCTGTGCGTAAACATTTGATTGTTACACTTGGACAAACTGTATACTTAAGTTTACCTGCGCATGAACCACTAACAACTGGGCATTGTCTAATTGTACCTACGAGACATACAATTTGCAGCACACAACTTGATGAGAACGAATGGGAGGAGATTATGGACTTCAGGAAGGCCGTGACTAAAATGTGTGCGAATCGTGGCGAAGATGTTATATTTTTCGAAGTGGCGAGATATTTGCATCGTTTTCCACACATGTCGATCGAAGCTGTCCCTATGGACAAGGAAATCGGTGATTTGGCGCCGATTTATTTTAAGAAGGCCATTGATGAGTCCGAAAATGAATGGGCTACCAATAGGAAGCTGGTTAAATTGGAGGGTAAAAATGTGAGGCGTGCTGTACCGAAAGGTTTGCCGTACTTTTTCGTCTCGTTTGGAATGCAGGAAGGATTTGCGCATGTAATTGAAGACGAAGAGGCGTTTCCGGTGAATTTTGCGCAGGAGATCATCGGAGGGATGCTGGATCTGCATCATTCACGGTGGAGGAATCCGAAGCGGCAGAGTTTCCAGCAGCAGAGCGATAGAGTGAAAGAATTTAATCAAGAATGGAAAAAGTTTGATTTTTGTCAAAAACATGACAAATATCTTAAGTCCAAACCAGCATCATGATAATCTGTTCTCTGTGAACATCTTACGGTTAATAAACAGATTTTAAAAAATTATTAAATCAAGTAATAAATGTTAAACCTATTTTCTTTCATGTTGAGAATTACACATATGACATAAGAATAAATGTAAGAAAAAACTTATTATGTTGTGACCTTAAAGATGACTTATAATCTTCTATGATTGACCTAAACAATCATCTCTAGTTCCCTAGCATAATCAATTGCTTGTTCTGCAAGTTCCTGTGAAGGAATGGAATCATCACTCTTCTGCACCTCAGGTGTGAATATGAAGACATTGTTGGTGAGCTTCCATTTCATAACCCTCTCTCCAAACTCTTTTGCTTCATCCATTTTAGGCAAATACAACATTCTAGCTGCATTTTTCAGAGATATTCTCTCATAAGCTTTCTCAACACAAGCAGCAATTTCAGCTCTGATTGTATTCAAGAGAATATCCATGAAAAAATTGTAATTCCTAGCAGGGACATTTCCTTTGGCCAAAAATATCTTATTATAACTACCTTCCATGAGGAACTGCTCAATGGACAATGGATGTCTAATGTAAATGTTCTGCTGGATGATGTCAGCTGGAAGCAGTTCCAATTCAGTGTGGAATTCAGCAACGCGATTTTGAGACAGCAGGAATAACAAGTTTAGTCCCAGCAGTTGATATTTAAACTCGGATTCAGTGATGGATGCTTGGTAGTCAAAGTAATAACATTTTAATTGTGCCATGTATCTTTCAAAGGACTGAATGTCCTTTGCTTCAATACTCCATTGTACACCAATTTCCAGTGCATCTCTAGCCAGGATTAACTCTTGTTTGGATGCTACCGAGTTAGATGTTGGCAAAAAGATGAGATTAGTTAATCCCAACTGAAATATTTAATAAATTGAAGAGTTGCATTACAGGCCAAAATTTATAACCTCAATAGTTGATATTTACCTTTAAATCGGCGAGAAGTTTTTCACATTTGCTTAGATTTGGCTTTGCTACACCCCATTCTTGTCTGAGGGATTTGTATAAAGCAGCAACTTCGTTTATTCCGGCCATACTTTAATAATTTAGAAAATAACTTCTGATTTCACAAGTTTTACAAGAGAGAATGATTTGTATTTTTGTAGCTGTCAGGAAAGTCAACTTTAGATCATGTAGATGATGTGGATCATGTACATGTCAAGCTAAATACTTTAACCTACATTATAACAATTTTTTGTTGTGTTTGTTATTTATATTAGTCTTCTTACCAACAAAAAATATAGTTTCCACAAATAGTGTTTGTACCATTTTTGTTACCAAATTATAAGAAACAGAACAGCAAATTATTTGATTTAATTTAAATTGCACACCAGACTGCATGTGAATATAAATTTTTGTAAATGATTCTTTTACATGATGTCTATACAAGGTGGTTTACTAAACTCAAATTAGTTTATTTCTTAATATTTCTTAAAAATTCCATGCATTAATAAATTAATTGCAAAATATTACTTAAAATTGCATCAATAATTATTTACTCATCGTAAACTGTGGCATTACCAGTTTTGATACATTAAAAAAGTAATGAACAAATTTTCCTAAAGCTTAATGTACACTACGTCGCCATGTAAACAACTTTACTTCATTTCGTAAAAAGCTAAAATAATTCCATCAATATATAAAAATAAAGCAATCTATTAAATCATATAAGTAATTAACAAATAATTGTTGATTTGTGATAAGTAGTGACGAGTTTATAACGCAAATCAATAATGTAAAGCGTGCTGTTTCCGCGAAGAAAACAAACCGGTAATGTTTACATTCAACGAAATGCAGTTGTGAATCCCCACTCTTCGCGCATTGACCAATCAGGACGAATGTCGCCGCCGGCGAGTTTCATAAAAGCGAGGCGCACTTGCAGCTGATTGCATTTTGCGAACACGTGTGGTGTGCATCTGACGTTTCACCGTGCGAACGGGTCGAATCAAAATAAACTCATCCCAACCCAAAACGCAACATTGCATAAAACCTAAACAACGCGAATATCATCGCAGTACCAAACCAACCGTCGTCAGTGATCGATCCTCAGAGTAACGAAGTGAAATTATTCATTTCGTGCATTTCGTGGATATTGATTTTACAACACAACACAACAAACATGGCTTTTATGATGCCAGTGGTGAAGAACGATTGGGACATCTACAAGTCCAACCGTTCGCGACGCGTGTCCGAGTGCAGTAACGGAACATCATGCCGTTCGAGGAAGGTGTCCGAGTGCAAATCAGAAGGACCCAGCCTATCGACATCACCACCAGGTGCTGATTTTATCGTCGGTTCACCGGCACATCGCAGCGTGCCGGCGAATATGTCCCGACAGTATTCACGCGCTTCATCCCGCAACTCACAAACGAGTCTTATACAAAGCCCGTGCAAGAGTATGTCGTCATCACCGCCGAAGAACGGCTCACAGTCCAGCCTCAACAAGTTCCACAACCGGCTGCTGGACAAATTGAAGCGCTCGCTGCGTCGGAATGACTGCTGCGACAACGAGCGCACCAGTTCATGAGGTAGGCGCTCCTCGACGCCGACACCGCCGCCGCCTTCAACGAACAACAACAATACGAACAACGTCGGCACCCATCAGCACCATCACCAGCAGCAGCTTCAGCACTACATTGGTCGATGATTGAGCCACTAGGGACGCTAGTATAAGGTTTCTCTTCACACTTCAGACTCACATTTCACAGAGTAGAGAATTATTAGTACGTAGTTTAATGATGTAAGTTGTAAAACACTTTCGAATCGCGCGGCGTGGCGAGAAGCGAAAGCAGCAGGACATTTCTTTGTTTGCGTGTGCGGGTCATTGACACTTTTTGGGACGATAAGACGTGCCCTGTGATATTTTCTAGAAAATATTTAAAAAAAACAAACGCTGTTTTTGTTTTGCTCATGTAATCAGCTTCAACGAATTTTGAGAAAATTTGAAAAGCGCTCTAGAAAATATTATAACTTAAAAAACAAGGCGTTGGCCAGAAATTAACCTTGACTGCGACTGGCAATGATAAAAAAATGGTGATAATATCAATTTAATAACGATTAAATTGATCGATCGATGGATAAATGATAACGCGAATTGTTGTGGGATGATTGAGTTGGGTCGTGAGTCAGTTTTTATATTCATATACTCGTACACACACACGTAACATGCGCGCCTTGTAAATGTAAATCGAATTTTTCGCTAATTTGTTAAGCGGAGTTTTAAGAAGACGCGAGAAATCAAACAATTGCGTGGTGTTTGCACGCGAAATTAAGACGCACTGCCCGGAACCCCGATGCGGGTCGAGTTTTTTCGTCTTTTTCGATGAAATTTTTTACTTCTCGCCGCCATATATGATGAATAATTGCAAACAATGAAACAGACGAATGTTGATGACCACATGACAACGTGCCGAGTATTCGTGCTGCTAGCAAACATTCCAGAGTATTTATAAAATAATAAAATTATTACAAGTTTTAATAAGAGTTGAAGCTTACAGAATTTAAATGACACACAGGATGGACAATGTACACGTTCATCGATACACTTTGTTAAAATGACAACTGACAGATATGAGGGGTTATGCAATCAAGAATACACGATTATTTTGACAGTGAAGGGAGGAGCTTCATGATTATGACAGTTTTTGTAACTTTTTTCGAATGACACATGAACTTGACAGCAGATCCTATTGCAGACGTTCTGCGCATGACTATATTATATTGTATTATATTCGTTTTATTTATTCGAAGATGTTTACGTTTTTAGAATTATAATGTTGTATTTTTAAATAAATTTAAAGAATATTATAATGGGAATATTATACGAATGATAATAAAATCAAAACTAAGAGAAATGATTTTTATTTGATAATTTCAAAAGGAAATAACCATAACCTAACTTTACCTTAATTATAATCTGAAATCTTGCATTTTTTCTTTATTTTTCTATGATTTAAGATGTTTTATGTTTAAAATTTCATAATTCTCTTTAATTTCTCTTTAATTTCTCAAAATTTCTAGTTTAACGTGTTTAAATTTGTAAAAATATATTTCTTTTATAAATAACACTGATAATTAATAATACAAATTTAAAAACTCCAAATTTTAAACAAATTTAATTAAAATTCTTGAATTTTACTCTCAACAGGCATTAAACCTTTAAATTTTCTTTCTACTGCTACTTATTCAATATTCTGCAATATTAAATGCCTAAATTATGACCCTGCCAGTGCTTTCAAAACTTAAGACATTAAAAACTAAGAAAGAATGTAAAAAAAAACTGGTTACGCCAATATATAAAGACTAAACATGTTAATTTCAGTATTTTAATGAAGTTTTAGCCGTTAAAGAATCTATTAAAACTTATTTTCGTTTAAAACATAAAACTTTGCAACACAACCTCACATAACCTCTATAAAACAATCTCAAAATATATTTCATTATGCTTTCCATTTTCGCATTTTTTTACATTTAATTTAATACTACAATTGTTTCACGTCGCATGGAAAACTACCAGCCTCAAATGATGATATGCCTCGCCTGCAGGCTGCAGTTAGTCATTAATTCCTGCCGCATGCCTGCCGCAAAACAACATTATTCAAACTGCCAGCCACGCCAACCGACCAACCCGTACATGTGTGACTGTTTATTGACATCAATTCGTTATTGTGCGACGTGCACAATGTGTACACTGCACGAGCTGGTGTGGATGCGAAAGTAAACCGAAGTAAACTTAAGTCAATTAAGTACAGGTAGGTAAACATCTTACAACGGGACAAGATGTCGAGTCAAACTTGCAAATAGGGCTTTTCTTTTTTCATTTCTTTTTTTTATTTGCGTTACGTGTTTACGAATGTCGACGATCAATTTTATTCGTCCGCAGCATTTGTCAACAAATTATTTTGCATTATGTACAGAAACGTAAGAAATTATGTTTTCGTGATATCTGACACGCAAGTAGCAACAGATTTGTTGTGATTGTTATTAATTTCATTGCATTTCCTGTAATAAATTGTTACAATCATTTGGTACAGTAAATTACGTGTTTATTTGGTTGCATAACGCATTGAACCTAACCTCCGCCAATACTACACATTACATAATATTTAAAAAACGCCCTTGAAATGCATGTGCGTAATTAATTTACATTTTTTGTTTGTTTAAAAAAAATATAATGTATGTTTAGATCAGGTTTTATTTACGTTGGCATTGACTTTACTCGAATGTTTAAAGTTTAAAACTTTTTTTTAAGGAAGAGATTGTTTTCGAGTCTCTGCCGGGTACGAACGCTGCGCGCGTGTTCAAAATCCGCGCATAAAACTAAATTTAGAAAAGAATTCAATATTTTGCAACACATGCTTCATTTCACTTCTCGAAAGTCAATATTTAGAATAAATGCAGTTTGTTTAGATTCAAAACTCGATCAAAAGAAGGTGATTTGAAGGTTGTGTACATATTATTGAGTTTTTCTTTGTAGGTAGGCAACCATCCCATACATTTTTAATAATCTAAACTAATTTTAATGTTTATTACATTTTTTTATTGCAAAAATTATGAAGAAAATTCATATTCAATTCGTAGAAATCCTAGAATAATACGAAAAGTACTATAGCGCGTAATAGTTGGTAATATTTTCGCACAATTCTATTTTTATGTCAAGTTAATAATACGGCGTAGGTTTGTCATTGTGTTTCGTGTTGTTTCAACGGATTGTTGCTGATACCGCACGCCGCCGGCAGTCGGATGTAATTCTAATCCTTTTAAAGCAATCTCCTCCGTTTTCCGCGCTGCTGTAGCCCCGCCTCCAAGCCGCCGTTTACTCTTGGCAGGCGCTTCGCAATTTCGCGTCGTGCGACACAAACGCAGTGTCATGCAATACCCGCGCATAAACAAATTATATCTAATAATAACACACGAGGTTCTAGTACTCGTACTTCTAGTACTCGACGTTCGCAAACATTACATACATGTGTGTATAGAATAAGAATCAAGAATCGGATAAACGGAAATTTACGGTTTCTTTCAATCGCAAGCTGGAAAATTACCTCTGCGAATGATTACGTAGAATTATCCCCTGAAATTACACCCTGACTTGCTTAGAAATTACTTTGCATTTTGTCTGGAAATGATAAAACACAATTCGCAATGATTGTGCGAAGTTATCAAAAAACCGTCTGAAGGTTCATAGTAATTTTAAGTGTGAGTTTTCCAGAGACAAAAAAGTACTTAGAGAAAAAATGGAAATGAAAAAATTCATTCCTGGAAATTTCCTTGATTAGCATTACATATTTTTGGCGAAAATAACAAAAAACAAAAAAATGATTATTGTAATTTGTACTGAGCTCACTTCACACCTGAATCATAGTGAGTCATACACACCTCAGTCATACTCCTTACAGATTAAGATAAATGATATAGGGCGACATGGTGGCATCAGTTTGAATGCGATTTTGCACAACCCTGGACGGAAGGCAACTGGTGGACGTGCGCCGCGCGGCGTACACACTTCGGTCGCCGCCGCCGCTGCCGCCAAAACGCCAAGCGCACGTCCTTGATAACGCAACCTTGAATCCGCTCAATAGTCCACGCTTGAATGCATGAAATCCAAGCATTCGAAATATATACATTGTTTCATGTATAGATTGGCAGAATAGAGTAAATTCAATGAACAATTGTATTTGTGTTTGAATCACCGTATAATTGTAATAATATTGCTAATATCAATGTGGTGTTACACATCAAATAACACTCCAGGTATTTGTATTCGTAATCTGTGATCGGGTGTATCATCATTCATAACATGGATTATCAACGCGTATATCATTTTTCAGTTTAATTGGAAAATACCAAAAGGTAAATAACTTTGAAAAAAATTTACGTTAGTTTCGAAGTTATAGATATAGATAAATATTACGTGGGGTGTGATATCATTCTCAAAGTGCACTTATTTCGCAATCATTTTAATGATGTATATTGAACAGATTTACTTCAAGAACAATCAAATATTAGGAATTTATCTACCGGATTTTAATTTTTCAAATTCTATTTAATCAAAAATGTTAATTTCGCAAAAATAGCTAGAGTTTTAAGAAAAATCATCAGTAAAGAAAACTTTCATAATTATACTTAATGTTTTTTTGTGATATTGAGGTCAAACGATGCTCTGTCAAGGTCAGAATATCCTTAAATTCTCCAAAATGTAAAAGCGGTTCTGAGTATTCTTGTAGAAAAAAATGTATCTAAATATTTAAATAATGAGAAAGTTAAGAGATCGATATTTAATTTGTTGATACACCTTATACATATATTCGCATGAAACGTATTTCCTGAATGAAAATAAGTGTGAACGCTTTTCCCGTCACCTCGTCCTTGCCCTTGAATGTCGGCTGTGAGATTTTGCTACGCCATTCTCGTATTCTCGTTACTGCCATCAATCAAATCTATTGTTGATCAAATGCGACCATTACAGTAAATAAATTCTACCTCTGTGAGCCAAAGAAAAAAAACGTACGAATCCTTGATGTCGTACTCTGATAAAGTGTTGTCCTTAAGTCTTGGTCATTCGTTCATCCGGTCATTCGGCAAACAATTTAGTTCTATATTCGTATTCGCAATCGCGTTCGTATTCGTCAGGATTCTGGGCGCGTATTTGATTTTATATTTATGTATTTATTATATTTGTGTATCAAGGTTTTTAGGCCAGGATTCGCGCCGCGTGAGCTGAGTTTTTTCAGTTTCGCATGCGCCAATTTCCTCGAAATATCCGCGAATTTTCAGTTTTCACGCAAAACACAAAGCGTAATAATAATAGTTGAAGTATAACAACCGGCACATGCTTTGGCATGTTATGTTAAAATACAAATTTCATCACCACGGTTTAAAAATGGCTCATATTAAACTGAAATATATTATTGCTTAGCAGAAACTACATAAAATCAACGCTTAAAAGGTAGCTTGTTAATCATATTGCAATATTGTCACAACAGAACAATTCAGCGTTATTTTGCCAAGAGAATATTATTAATATTGTTATTTATTTTTAAACATGCAGAAATATTAAATCCTGATGAAATATTTGACAATGACTCCGGCCATTTTGGCATCGCTTTGTAGTTGTAATCTAGCGAATATTAATGCTTTTTGTGCACCCGGACACGTTCGCACAATTAAGCGATTACGTAAATGCGCACACGTGGACAATGTATTTCGGTTCAGCAGGCGGCGGCGGCTGAGGCGGCGTGCCAATACTCAGTTCTGCTGTACCTGATACTGGTCAGCATTACCAGCTTTAAAGCTGGTAAACATTAAGCGTAAAACATTAACAGCAATAACAGCGTCGTTTGACGCCGACGCCAACACATCGAGACAAAAGACTGGCGCCTGTTGTTATTACGACGCGTCACGCGACTTTTTACAAAGATGCAGTCGCAGTAAATATTCAATTGCCTATGATATATTTTATTATAGCATATTTAATATTTCCAAGGGTGAAAAATGATTTCTTGTGGTATGCAACCAAACTAACCTCAAAATTTGTTTATTTGTCAATCTAGAGACAAATTTAAGGTTAGATCAGTGCATAATATAACTTAGGCTACTTTATAACCAGAAATGATGTTTGATTATGTTAAAAATATAAAAATTCACATTTGAACTTTATGTAACCTGACGTAGAGCGGTTTTATGAGCGAAAACTTTTCTTACATTTTCTATTTTCACTTGTAGCATGAAATCGGTAAAAACCGCCTGTGCTATGTTTGAAGCCGACTAAATTTAGCCTGCCGGATTATTGCCAGCGCTCATCTCATACCATATTTAACAAATATCCCCAGTTTTATAGTTTACCGACATAGATTAACGCTGTTGGTCGGATTATTAGGCATTATCTCTATCTACCTGAACCAAATTCGCCAACAAACGAATAAATGTGTAAATAAGTGGCGTACTGAAACGCAATAAACCCACTTGGGGAAATTCTCATCCATTCGGTATTGTACGGTGCGTACATAAATTTATAGCTTTTTGCGACGTGAGTAATAATAAATAAATTGCGCACAGACGCAAATAGCGGAATGCATTTGCGTAGCGCAGCATTGCGTCTGGTATACGATTCACACGTCAACGCTGCCGCTTCTTAAATGTTAATCATGATCAGTTGATCAGTCGATGACGTCAGAAATGCCATGAATTAATCGATTCTATTGATAGACGAAGCATACTCAACATTGTTAATATCTTATGATGGTATTTGATACCAGTACGTCTAAACAAAGTACAAACAAAGCAGTACAGGGTGTTGGAAACGCACAACACATTAATCAAAATTTTACTGCGTATTTACGTTTCAATGTGTATCCAGTTTTTGAAGCACACTATTAACGCAAGTGCCAATTTGTGAGCTATTTTCGTATTTGTTTTTCGAGGCGCATTTTTTTTTACTCGCGTTGGGTCCACGCTTGTATGATTGAAAGACCGGCGACAACGTCGACGGCGAGAGGTGCATTGACCATGCTGACACAAGTGATGAATTTAAATATGTTAATATGCACAGCGAGGCAATGACGTCCATTTCGGAATTAATTAATATATTTTGATTGTGGGCATGGCGCTTGTGACGATCATGATCTAATTGTTCAAATGTGCAATAACTGATAAAAATACATTTTTTCCATCATTTTTGTTTATACAGTGTTAGTAAAAAAATTACCAACTGCGATATTGATTTAACCTCAAGTGTAACAACATAGAGATGAAATAATATTAGCTCCTGATATAATGTTGCACTATGATAAATATTGATAAAGATTAATGAAAAGTGATAAAACATTGAAATATCTATAGTTTCCCACAAAATGACAAGATTTATAGTCTTTGCGCAGGCGCAAGCTTCACCCCGTGACTAAAACCCGTGATTAAAGTACTTTAGTCACGGCCCTAACCGTCCGTGATTAAAGTACCACTTTTTGTGTCAGAAAACCATTGAAAACTGGCGTTTTAAAGATGAAAATAAAAAGAAAAAAATTAATTGATGAAGTTCTCAATAATAAATTTAAAAAAATTAATTTCTGACTAATAATAATCAATGTGGATCAAATAATAAACCGCTCATAAAATTATTCACATTCCAGTAACACAGTCAACAAATCTTATTTTATATACGTATAATCACAGATAAAATGTCTCCACATTTCGGTGACATACTGGTATCACTCGCCCACGACTTTGGGCACGCAATAACGTAATGCATGACGTAAATGCGATTACACTTTTGTACTCGTATTCCCAGCTCGAAATTCAATGCAATAAAACAAATGTTTCAACATTATAGAAACTGAAAATTCGCGTGGGTGTTTCATCTCTCGCTGCAACGCTACGTTGCAATAACACCCACCCACGCTAGGGGTAACCATATGACCGTTGATGCATCCACTACCGGTGAGAATTGTTGGTATTGAAGTGATTGCGACGCAGTTTAGATAGGTCAGGGTTTTACGCCGTAGTCGCCGTTGTCGCGCATTTTCAATTCAGCCCTCGGCCTGCAATTGCAGCCATACCGCATCGACCCGAAGTCGTGCAGCGACACGGTGGCGGCGGCGAAGCCGGCACCATGACCTAGTTTGCAGCGATCAAGAAAATTTATTACGTTTTTTTTGCGTTTTTCTTATTGATGTTGTTATTCCGCGGATGAGGTTTAAAAGTTGCCGCATCGCGTCGATCGATGGTCATACTTGGTAGGCGGCAGTAAACGCTGCCGAAAATACACGGCATGCCGCCGCTGTTGGCATCACGCGTCTATATTTTTAGAATGCGCGCATCGCGGAAAATTCCCATCGATCCGTTCATATTAAGTCCCGAAAGTCGTTCGCAACTAATTTGTTGTAGCTGGAGCGGTTGTAAAAATCGATTTCATAATAAATTAACCGATTACTGTTCTAATTCCCCTTTTTTCATGACTATAATGCGTTTCTTCAAAATGTGAAGGAATAAAACACCCCGTAGAGTAATAGAAGCTTGTAGAATACGCTGCGCCATCCTGTGTTGAACTTTATAAGCAAATCTTATAAATGGCGTACACTTTACAGTGTAACAATAAGAAATAAAACATTTTTTGCTAATTTTACTTGAAACTCATGTTTAATAATAAACACTCTACCATATATCATACCTAGTTTTAATTACCTACTACCCTAAGACTCCAAATAATCAGGCAATTTCTGAAGTTCAATCTTAGATGTCTTCAATGCTACACCTTCAGGCAAATTCCTTTGCAAATACTCTACCAAAGTGTCACATGTGGATCCAGTCAAGTATTTAAATTGAACAAATGAGAAGTATGTTCTAAGCTCATACTGACTCTTGTGCTTCTTATAAATGTGCACTGATTTATACATTGTAAAACGTTCATGCTTTGGTTTCCTCAATTTCCATCTGAAAGTCAGATCATAATAAATATATTTATAAATTATTTTTGATTTAAATATCTTACGTTTTTGTTTCTAATTCAAAATGCTTGCCAGCTGTAGTGGCAAACTTTGCATAGCTGTCTAAAACAGCTGGATCATTGCCTTTCATTTCCAATTCCACTATTTTATAAAGTTTATCAAGTCCCGAGGTACTTGGAGTTGGTTGACTTGCAGTCTCAGGTGAGGTTTGTGTACTGAATGCATTAGAAAGGCGTGTGAAATTATTTCTTAATGCAAATGTATCATTTACGATTGTGGAGAAAACTCTTCTTATGTTCTACAATAAAATATGAGTTATTAATGTCGTCAAATAACTCAAAAATTAGTATTATACCATTTTGGATGTTATGAAATCTTTGGTTATGTTCGTGAAACGCGCGAATGTATACAGGGGAACTAGTTTATGATTAGCGGGAATAAAAAAATATGAACACGCATATACCGGGTATTTAGAAACTTGCCTACATCTAAAATAAATTTAAATTAATTTATAGTCGGAAAGAGTTTTGAAACTCGTAAATTTGCATTGCATTCACATTTATTTAACTGAATGTTGTATCGTTATCAACAAAGTAAGCATCCTATGTATGCCAGAGTAGTAAATGGGCCATGGGGAGTAAAAGTGATCCACAGAACAGTCTTCAGAATTACGTTAAACAGTTTAAACATCTCCGCCGACAACTTACACACACACACATTTGCATGACAAGTCGAAATTAAGTATAGACGTGCAGCAAATCAACATCAAACATCAAAATCTTCCAATCTACTGCATTTACTGGCCACGGGGTAACCATGGATCAGTATGCTGCACCGAGCCAGTCCATATGTTGGGATAGGCAAACGGGTTGAAGTTCCCGTTACGTTCCAGTTGTTGTTGATGAGGCTGCTGCTGCTGCTGTTGTTGTACCTGTGACGGTAATAATATCGGTTCAACACGATGGTTCATGACTTCCTCCTCCTGAGACCTCTGCGGGGCAAAACCCGGAGGCGTCCGAAGTGTGGAAGGAGTCCACGTCTCTTGAACCGGAGGTGTCCACGGCTCCCAGACTGATGATCCCCACAAATAATTTGAATTCGTGGTTGCCGAATTTGCGTCATTCATGATAGGAGCTGCATAGCTTGGATTCTCCCAGATCGCAGGTTGGTTAGCATTCAACAACCAGGGATTGTTAGTATTGTTAGTGTTTAAATTTGGTTGCTGTGTATGATGTGGCTGATCCACATCCAAGAACCAGTTGGTACTTTCGATTGCCGCGTGATAAAACCGGGAATAGTCTGAATTATTATCGGACCTGCCGCCGCGCGAACCAATCGGAGCCAACTTGGGCGAATGTGTGTGTGACAATGAGTGCGTAAGCTGTTGGGTGTAAGTGTTTTGTGATTGGGGCTGAAGCAAGGGAGGAGGAGGAGGTGGGACAAAAGCCTGTTTGTATGGTTCCACATACATGGTGGGTTTAGTTGTGAGACTGGTGGTTTTGGTGACGCTTCCCGGGGAAGCGGTTGCCGTAGCTGTAGATGGGGTTTCACATCTTCCAACGACATCGCTAAACGACGCCTTGTTCTCGTTCCAGATGGAATTTGGAACTGGTGACGCTGGTTTCGACCCGGACTGAGACTGACTCAGTTGCATAGGACTTATACGATCTTTATCTTTATCCGGATGTCCCATCCCACAAACCTTGTGCATACGGTCGCCATTTTGAGTCTTCGTTGATGTCGTACTCTTTTCACGATCGCGTCGTTCACGACGATTTGGTTTGACTTTTTCGATGATTACCTTCTCGCTGATTTCCTTCTCTGCAGTAATCGGCGGTGTGACGACAGGCTTACCAATTCTACCAATTTTCGCAGTGCGTTGTGTTTGTTGTGTCTTGCTGTAAACATTCTCCTTCTCTTGAACGCAAGGCGTGATTTTTTCGATGACCGGCACCTGCTTCTTCGCCTTTTTCTCTTCGTTGCTATTGCTCTGATTACTATGGCTGCTTTCAGTCGTTGTCGATGAAGTCTCTTCCTCTGGAACGATAGGTGGCGCTGGAGTCTTCACCTCTAATTTCTTCGAAACATTATTTACATGTTTCTTGAGGTGTTTCTTGGCGTTGGCTTCCTCCTGAACATGCTTCTGCTCCTCGTGTTTCAACTTTTGTGCCTCCATCCATTGTTTTTTGTGATTTTCTTTATCACGCTCCTGTTGATCTGATAACTTTCGGTTTTTCTTCTTAGTTTTACCAGTTGTAGGTACCACAGCCGTATACTTTTCGCCATCTTGCTTCACGCCCGGAGAATTTTTATCCTCCGAGTTAAGTACATTGTCCTGCTTGTTCTGTACTTCCGCTTCCGGCTTGACTGACTGCAGTTCTTGGCGAGTTTGCGCGCCAATTGATCGCAAATCCAACGTGTGCTGGACATTATTTTGTGGTGATAAAAGTATGACAGCTTCTTGACATATCTTGTCCGAATCCATCACAGCTACCAGCAGCGCGATGGTCAACGCAAAGACCATGATACTCGAAGCTAATACGTACATATTGTATTCCCACTCGGGGCGTTCAATCGCACTAGAGCATACAGACAGATAATATGAAGGTACGGTGGTCACCAGAGTGTAATTCACCGGAAAGTTGAGACTAGTGTCCAATATCAAAGTCCGTGTGACTTTTGCAAGGGTATAATCCGGCGTAAATTCAATATCAATCTTTTTTGTTCCATTGGGCAATAGAATTGTGGGTTCACAATTCAGGATTTTAAATCCGTATCCCTCACAGGACATTTGATTGATAAAAAAATTATTTATAAAGATGGGAATCTCGCCGTTGTTCTTCGCAGTAAACGACCGCTTTAAGCTTATAATCGGGATACTCCCGGACTTTGATTTGACAGCCAAATCACAGTCCTTTAAATGTTTCTCCCCAAACTCAAAGAGCAGCGGTTGCTGCAAACTGCCCGGTTTTCGATTGCCAAACTTAAAGTGTGGCAACGCACCTCTGCCGGACAACTGGACCATTTCCACAATGGTCAAATTGTTCCTCACAATCAAGAAAGCTTGGTTCGGATTGGAATCAACTGCTTTGAATCCAACCCTGAACACAAACTCTTCATTGGGTTTCAACTGCACAGTTAAAGAATTTTTAAACGCTGTGGGAAATTGCTCGTTGACATCATTCGTCTCCAAAAAGAAACCGTGCTTCCCTTTGACAAACGTGTCATGACTATGCGATACAAACACGGGCGGCAAGCCCTCAAACAAGATATCAAAGCGTGGATAAACTGAATCCATCACAATTTGTATCAGGAGATCAAAACTCGCCGGATTCCGTATGGTTACATTTTTGTACGTTGTGTTGCCGACTTGCGTTAATGGGAACGTAACCGCTGATTTATTCTCAAACGTTTCGTTCACGATCAGAGTAGGCCAGCTCATTTTAACGCGGGTTTTAAACAGATGACCCTTTACTTCGGATGTGTCCATACGCATGGTGAGGTTTTGCCACTGAGCAGCACCATGCGCAGTCTCGTTCAAATACCGGTGATACAAGATATTGACTAGATTCAGATCCAAGTCGCAGGTGGACGTCGGCTGGAGCCCGATCGACCTGCGCCAATAGACTCTGGTTTCGGCGTCTTGTATCCCCAGATAGCACTCTTGATCACATCTTTGATTGGGATCCAGTTGCAGTGTCCCCACTACCGTCGTAGCACGGCCAGGAATGTGACCCAAATGTTTGCATTCGTGATTTCGTGCAAATGTGATGCGTTCATCTGGTGGTATGCTAAGGATTTCCTCGATGGCCATGGGGTGGTCAAAAGAAGAATGTATCCGAAGCGGATGTGAACAGATTTTATACTGTAAAACACAAATATGTTAGTTTGGTTGCATATTTATAGCGGTAAGAAGCAATTGTAAACTTACAGGAAAGCATTGATCGAATACAAGTCGATCAGGTCCAATCTCGAGCTTTCCAGCGGCAATCTTAAAGTGAACCGGTATCGACAACTGTTCAAATTGGGTGTTTATCGAAATATCTCCCCAGATTTGCGTTTCCGACCGCCCCGACCTAACAGACAGTTTCAAAATGGCGTATTCCTTACTCCGCAATCGCTCACATTTCGTCATATTCGCATAAGACTCCTGCAGCAATGCGGTCTCATAATTCCCCTTCCCACATCCCATTAATTCAACCTGCCCGGATGGTATCGAAGTGGTGACCTGCTTAATATCAATCGCAATCGGATTTTTATTCACCACCAAAATGTACGAGTCTTTTTTCGACTCGACGCTAATCAAGCCCAAGTCCATCGAGTTGTCCTTGCTTTTATGCGGCAGCTTCTAAATTATTAACACAAATAACAAACAAATCAATAACTAATTAACCTGTTGATGTCGAAAACGTTTCACACATACCAAGTCCAGTTTTCCATCGTAACTGACTAGGGGAATATGCAGACTCGAGATGTTCGTGTGTAATTGAATAAATGTGTTAAGCTTCATATGCGTCGCTTGGACGCCAGGGTTGAACTTGAGCGTGAACACGACACGTTCATCAGCGTGCCGCATTACGATTGGACTGAAGTCGGTCACCTACGGATCGATTATTATTATTACAATTGTAAAACAAATACAACATTAATTAATAATTCACCTGAAAGTAATGTCGGGCATCCGCTGGAAGTGAGACATTTAGAAGTTTCACCGGTGATTGAAAATCGTTCTTGACGCTAATGCGACGATTTTCGGGTCGGTCTTGTTTGTTGTTGTAGTTTTGGATAAAATAAGTCGTCTGCGATGCGTTGAACGTAAACCCACCGTCGATTATAGTCGCATAATAGGGTACCTCCGTCTTCCTATTCGCGTTTTTATACTTGACTACAATTTTCCCGTAGAAGTCTTTGTTCTCGTACGCTTTTTTCCCTATAAAAAACCACATAATTACATGAACTAACATGATTACAAATTAATACAACTACTTACAATTGAGTACGAGTTTAGCGACCTCAACGCATCGCACACTGTCATCTTTCGCTGGCGGTATTATCGACTCCAACATTTCCAGAGTCACACTCTTCGACCCACTGTTAATCGACGCAATGCGCACAGCTTTCTTAAACGGATTGCACAGCGACAACCGTTTTGTCTTGAATCCTTCCTTTGAACCCCCGATACCAAAGTCAACATACCCTTGAGGTGGGTAAAGTACAGCATCTGGAGTGACTTGAATCTCTAAGGGTACAACTAAATCCTCAGAGTTGTTGAGTTTGATGCGTACATAAGAGGTGTGATTATGTTCGGTCTCGCCGAAGAAACGCACGCGAATAATCGCCTTTGTTTCAAACGGTGCTACCTCCCACATATCCTTGGGACCTTCCATTTCTCCACTGGGCAACTCCAGATGGAAGTCACCACCGCTGCAATAGATTTCTACAATCTGCAGCGACTCTTGAAACGGATTGTGGAAGTAAATGACGGGGGAAAATGAAGAATTGAGAGGGAGTTTGACGTTGACAATTGGGCGCAGGCGATATGGACTGAAAACACTATCACCTTTTACCTAGATAAAGAAAAAAACATAGATTTACATCAATATTTAATTCAAATTATGTTTTGATGACTTACGCGGTACTTAAAGTGGCCCTGCGTCGTATGAATAAATAAATTACTTTCTACAGAACCTTCCTCCCTGCCAAGGAACACCACATTAAAGGTTGTGTTGCCCAATGGGGGAATTTTCTGTAATTAAAACAAGGATAATTATTTTCTACTCGAATTTTATAATAAAAAATCAGTAAAACAAATTGTTTTCATCTAATATTCATGAAACACTGTTCCAAATACAAAATGAAGCAATATTTAAATAACTATATTGATATCATTTGGCACTTACCTTATTTTCAAAAAAGGAACTATGAAAATGAACAGTACTGCCAGAAATAGATGTCATATCAACACTGTAGTTAGAATCAATGTTGAACAACATCACCTTCTCCAAGTGAGGCACCCCCAAGTGCCTGCAAACAAATCATATCAATAATAGAATAACTAAAGATGAAAAACAAAAATTACCTCTGCTTAAAGTCCAAAACTTCTGGATTAAACTTAATTTGTAGTTTGGAATTGAGTTTGCTGTTAATCATGACCCCTCGGATATCAGTAAGTTCCTAAAACAAGCGTTTAGCGTATTTATGCGTAATGTAACCGCGCTGCACTCAAAATAAAAGCAAAAGCAAACTCACATCTTGAATTGATGAGATTTCTTTGGCCAGGTACCTGTCATGATTGTTGTTTATGAAGCCTGTGGGCAGAAAGGCATTAGTAGATTAGCACGGATTGCGAAACGCGCACTAAAAGCAAAACACAACACTGACCGTGGCTGCTGTCGTACGTCGTGAGCTGCGTCTTCGCTACGAACTCCAGCAGCGTGCAGCCGAGAATAAACCACGAGAGCGATCGCTTAAACATCGTAACCATTCTCTTCACATTTATGGCGCTCAGAAGTATATCGTATTGCGGATGAACGCGCGGAATAAACGCCGTGCTGCTTCATTCGCCGTTGTGCTCTTTGGTGTGTGTAGTAACACTACCGCAAACCGATCGGAGGACGAAAATATTTTCTCGCTCACTGCGACTGGCTCGCGACGATGGATGTGTGCTTGTGGTTGGTCTGTCAAAAGCGCGCTGTCACTTTCAAAACAGGCGCGTGCGCGCGATTCGACGGAGGAGTTGGAGGACGAGGGCCCGATTCGGTACAAGGTGAGACACGAGACCAAATATGTATAAGGATATTTTATGGAATTGTTGCTCAAGCGTGAGGCGAATGTCAATGTCAGCACAAATAATTGACCCTGAAACAAACGTTGTTAATATCTTTTATTTTAAAATTTTTATTAGTTGTTTAGTATATTGCCTAGCAACCTAGATAGTTGTTTGAGTGTTATGTTGGTTGCCTATTAAATAGCAACCAGCAACATCGCAGTGAACAACACTACTAAAAGTTGCATACAACTCAAATATTTTAAAACATGTCTGTAAAATAGCTTTTTTAATCAAAGCATATATTATTTCGACATCATTCGGTGGATTGGAACTTCAAGTCCCCACTTTGCATTCATTCACACACATACACCCACTCTGTAACATATGTTGCTTGTTTTGCAACAGTAATCAATTTTACCACACAGTTATCAGATATGTATCTAATTCCCGAACCGCAAGATAATAAGTAATCGTATCATGAGTTGATTGTATCGCTTGCGCTTATCAATGTGAGTATCGAACTTTTATCATATTCATTGCTTCAAGTATTCTACTAAACTGTGGTAGATTATTAACCATAAAAAGTTTGTTTCGATTTAAACAAACATTACAATATCTACAAATAATACTTTAGGATGCAAATGCGACTCGTCGCTTTGTCAACTCTCGCAGCATGCATCAGCTTGGCGGTATTGTCGCAGAGATGCCTAACATTCACTCTGCTGATGATCCTAACAACCACTGCAGTTGTTCTGGGTGTCTTCTGTGTCATCTGGGTGTACATTATGCTCTCTCTGAATCATCGCACTGGTACTGGCATTGAACATGTGCAGAAAGATATTGGTACTTTTCATACAAAATTGATGGTAAATAATTTGGAAACATTGAAAATGTTTTGATGAATCATTGTTTTTTTTTCTTATAGCATGGATATGACTTATCACCGAAAGCCACCAGTGATCACTTACCAGTCATTCTGGGGAGGACTATTGATCATTTACTGCAGCAGATTATTGATTTTTTTATAAGGGATTTTATAGAGTTTTATTTCAGGCAGTATGCTTTCAAGCCTACAAATCTATCAGACAATATTAAGTGAGTAATTACATTTTAAATATTTTCATTTCAATGAAGATAAGAGTTTAATTTTCACATTTATGATTTTGTGTTTTCAAATCATCATACTTCACTTTATCGAGCTTGTTTTTTGATTGCGGCCGCGATAAAAGTTACTTTGGAATTATCATGAAATGGCGACATTTGAAGAGCACAGTGTTTATGCTTCTGACCACAAAACTTAGTAACTTGGTTTTGTAATTATCTAAGAATAGATATATGAAGATATTCTTGACCAAAATGACCTAATCTAGTGTTGGAACAGGAACTTGGGAAAGTTATTTGCAATTGAATTGACTTTGAACTTTCATTGTAGTCTAATATTTGTGTAACAATGTTTTTTTTGTTACAAAATTACCTATGACACTTAATATTTTGACCTTACTTAAATCTAGCCATAAACCATATCAAATTTTTATTAGTTTGCTAATTTTGAGATGCGGTTAAATTTTAATTACTAATTTATTTATGTAATTACTTAATTAATTTCAGGGAGGACATTTGGGGTGCTATACATAACATTTACGATCGTCTTTCACGAGTAGATCACGTTTCGTTACTGGCTTGTGACATGGTGAACAAAATCACGACGCATTTTGCTAAAATCAGGGACGCCAAGGAGACTGGGTAAGTGCAAATAACCCTTTTTAGACCTTAATAGATTTTGATGTCTTGCAATAAAGTTCGTTTCTATGTGTTTCTTAATTATATATTTATTTATGCTTTTTGTGTGTCAATGTTTTTACTTCAAATAAATAAATCTCTCTCTGGTTGCACCTCATTTATTTATTTCGTTGAATTAACTTTGAGTACAAATAATTTACTTACCATAACCTTTAATTACTGAGTAATTTTATAAAGCAATGCATGGGAGCTATCACTGCATAACCTCAATTGTGTATATAACCAATTATACACTTAATATAGGTTGGCACATTTAAATCGCCGAAACAAACGTATTATTAAATGTTTAAAGGACTGAATTGATGAAACCAACATTCAAATTACCTCCGCATGTGCTAACAACCGAAAAGGAACTGGATTATCTTCGCCAAATCTCCGAGATGTTTGTAATGTTCCTCTTACCGCGCAGCTACTCTCTGCCCCCCGCGAAATATTTTCTACGAGAGGTTCTCGCTTGCAAGGTCCTCAATGAAGCGGTTGACATTCTCTGCGATCCGGATTTCTTTAACCAGCATGTCATCACTTACATTGAGTCCCAAAAAGTCGCTAATCTAATGCATCGCAAAACTTTTGAATACGCCAACACATTCGAAGACTTTTTAAAGATCATACAGAAAACGGACGATGTGGAAACCCTGAAAGGTTTCCGCTATGAAATAGTCAACAAAATTATGCACGCTACAACTTTACAGAATATGAAACGCGCAAAGGGAGTCGATGCGGATGCTGAGAAATCAACAGGCATAAACAAAACAGAACTTAATGAAGCCAAAAAGTTAAAGAGATTTATTGATCAATTACAGTCAGCTAAAAAAGAATGTGAATGTAGACTCTTGTCTCTGGGTTGGGATGGTGGAGTACAATATCATGTGTTACCACTCACGCAGATATTAGATCATGTACTGGGCCGGAAGTACATGACGATGTTTTTAGAAACAATGGCGAGTCAGGGTTTGGTCGGCTATTGGATGGCTGTGGAGGACTTGAAAGTCGCGCAGAGAAAAAACTGGCATCAAGTTGGAGCTGAGATATTCTATACGTATATACGCAACCCTCAAGGCGAGATAAAGGTAGATAAGAGTACTAGAAAACGTATGGAAGCATTTTTATTGGGGGATAAGGGACCTGAGGTGTTTTACGAGGTACAGAAGCAGGTTTGGCGCACACTCGAAGAGAAATACTACCAACCGTTTGTACACAGTAAATATTACAACGAAATGGTCACCGCCATTGATGCCGATGAAGGTATAACGGAAGTAGATGGCGTTGGCGGTGGCATGGATGAGAGACAAAACTCCGGTGACAGTAATACAAGTTCGGAGAGTAATCATGTTGGAGAACATTCGAATTATTCACGTAGAAAGTTAAGCGAACTGCAGGAAAAGTTAAATAATAAAGCACAAGCATTAACAGCGTTACATACATCACTCAAACCAGAATCAAGAGTTTTGAAGATGTTACAACAGGAAGTTGAATGGTTGCAAGGTGAAAAGCGACAGTTAGAAGCACATATTTCCCGAACAGAGATATGGGGTGAAAATTTAGGAAAATGGCGGGCGATTGTACAGAATGCCGAGATTGTGGATGATAAAGAGACGCCCACGTTTGTTATAGTCGTCCATATGCAATCGGACGATGAAGATGAAGAAGAGACGAGTTCCGGATGGGTCGTTTCACGATCACTCACGCAATTTCAAGAACTACATAGAAAATTACGTCCACTGTGTGCGGAAGTCAAAGGACTTGAACTACCTTCACAAACATTTAAGTTTTTGTTTGCTAAATCTGAGAAAACCACTTTGGATAAAGCCAAATTGCAGATACAGAAATATCTAGAGGTTAGTTTACGTAACATTATAATCATTGTACTTCTTAACCTCAATTGTATGCTTTTCAGTTTATCTTAGAAGACGACAGATTGAATCAATGCGAAGCAATTTATTCATTTCTGAGTCCCAGCTCGGAGCATCTCAAACAATCAGCACAAGCTCCGAAAAAGTCCAAATTCTCATTTTCCACCCTCTTTAAATCCAACAGTGATCAAAGCAGTAATAGTTCGTTAATTCAACGTGAGTCCGAAGAGGATGACATGTCGCAATATTTAGACGCGCCTGGCAGCGCGGATTATAACGATTGCAAGAATCAAAATGGCCATAATCGATCTTCGGATGAAGGAAAGGACACAGTCGCCGAACCGTTATACGCGCTAATGGATGAGATCTTTGATCATAAAGGTTTTAATAAGTATCTAAGAAAAACATTGATTACTTTCGTTCAAATTACGTATGGAAGGACGATCAATCGGCAGATTCATGATATTATCACGTGGTACTTTTCGGAGAAACAGTTGCATTATTATCTGAGTCTGCTCACGAAATCATTCTGGCCGCAAGGGATGCTAGCGCAGAAGGGTCCTGAACGCAGTGCATTGGAGAAGAGTTTCACAGCAAATGAAGCAAGAAAGATGTTTGTTAGCAATGTTCCCGAAATAATGGTAACTTTGGTCGGGCAGAACGCGGCGCGTAATGGTGCTAAGAAAGTTTTCGATAATCTACAAAACAAGAAGATGAACAAATTATTATTTTATGTAAGTTTTAAATAATTTCTCATTTCTTAAGCAACATATAATATCTAAATATTAATTTCAGGAACTTTTGGAAGTGTTTCTGATCAAGACCTTTCCCGAATTGAACATTGAGAAGTAGGTGAATGATTTGAAGCAGGAGCCAAAGCTTGTTTAAGGTTAAGTATTTAACATTTCGCGGGATAAATCGAACCAAAGCGTTACGGTGCCAATTTTGATACGTATATTTTTAAAACTTTTGTATTTTTTATTTTCTATATCAGAAAGCTTTACAGGAACTTCTTTACATTCCACATGGCGTACCTAATTTAATTTAATGGAATCGTGTGCAGTCAATTGCACGATTTTGCCTAGTATATCCACTAGCGCTATTTAATGGTTATGTTTTCTACTTACACTTAGTTTTCGGAAGTTCCGTTGTACCGAGCAGCTGTTACACTAATTACTTGATGTTGTAGACACACGTTTGTGTTCTTAGCCAGGTGAATTAATTAATTAGAGAGCTAGATACTAGGATGAAACAATAAGCATATTCAAACAAACACATAATCTCAAAAATTATAATGACAATTTTAAAACACAAAGAGACGTTGATATATTGATGAAAATAAAATTCTTTATGCGAGTAACGAAGCTTTTAGACGTACGAACTATTTTTCTAAACATATTTCAAGGAACAACATACGAAAACAGGCAAAAATTGAGGTTATCTAAGGAATGGAACAAAGCATTTTATGGTTAATGATTAAGGTTAAATTTAAGCAAAAAGACACCTGATAAACATTTAAAATACATCGTTTATTGTTAACATGAATCTTTCGGAGGCTTTTCAAGATTCATGGGTTCTAGTAATGTTTTTTTCTTCTTTTTGTATGTGTGTTTCTCCATTACCGTTTCTTTCAATTATGCCAAATTTGTTCATTTGTATTTTTCATCGCTGTGTGTGTTCACAATTTGTTATACAAGTCTTAAATGCGACAAACAAATACTCTATTGTATACTCTTAGTTAAACACTTATTAGACTGCCTCTATGCGTAAATGTGTTTCATTTAAAAAACATTTCTTTGTTAGTAATAATCATAGTAACCAATAACGAACAAATATTTTGCGTTTAACAATTTAAGTACGTATATTGTATTAATCTTTGTGATATTATTAAATTGAATAAAAACCAAATTGAATGTATACACAGAGTTTATACACATATCGCGCAGGTGAATTCATCAAGATGGCGTCGATGAGTTCATCCGCGCGCGCAAATCCGCCATGTTCGTCGTAAATTCGTAAAACAACTAACGATTATAAAATTTTTACGTCAGTCGGACGTGCAGTGTGCTCAATTCATGCTTTAATAGATTTTTACTAATTTTACAATGTGTGTTATTAACGCACAAATTGATTGATGTCGTTTTACACGCGCACGCGCATAAAAACATCCGTCCAACCAACATAACATCATTTATATACATATATAGATAGATATATATTTATTTATATACCTACATATATACTCATATTTATAGTAAATATTTTCTATCTATAATCTCATCATGGGGGCGTGTGTGGGTGTGTTAGGGGGTTGGTATCCAATATCAGTATCAATGCGCGCCGTCAATGAATGAATTACATGAGCCATTGTAATTTATCCATTTGTTCTGGCTGCAATTGTTAAATCTAAACGTTTAGAAATGGTTAGCGCCATTGTCGGAGGATTTCATCGTTGATCAAAATTTCAGACCAATCACAAACCACAGAAATCAATTAAATGCGTGTACATGATTGGTCCGTGCTGTCCGACACCTGGCGGCCATGTTTTATTTTGTTACATAACCTCAAATATGACGTGCGTTTCATTGTCTTACTTTCTTTGTATCTCGTTTTGATTATATTTTTGGTTTGTCAACAGAGCCTAACAATCAGTCTTTGTTATCATTTACATATTTTTTTTGTTCTTTACGGTTCGTGCTTATCATTTGTTTTCATCATTTTTTATAAAAATATTAATATCTAAGATATAATGCATGAAAACAAAGTTTTGTTTAGTTTATTTTATGTATATGTGTTTATGTGTTATGTGTAGGTGTCAGTTTCTCTTTGTATGCTTGTTTTTGGTATCGTGTAACAAGATATGTAACGTCTATTGAATTCATACACTAATAGATTTTATTTACTCTAAGATAATCCATGAACAAATCAGCACTTGGAAAATTAATCGCATCGTTTTATGGGTGTAAGTAATTAGAAGAATGAAGCAATTTGTTTAATTTTGTTGTTTTAATTTACCGCGTTTTTGTTTTTTGTTTTTAGTATCCAGGACCGTGCTATAATAATTTAATTAGACTTAGTTTTTTCAAAAATTTAGACAACCAAACAATTAATTACTTTTTTTTTCATTTGAGTTCTGGTTCTTATAAATTGTACTAATTTTCTTTTTTCATTTGTACACCACATTTATTACAAGTTTATGTATTTGTTGAATCCCTGCACAGAAAATTTAAACTCTCTTTGTGCTTGTTGTCAAAGGTCGCGTTTCATTTGTGTTAGTTTTGCGTTATTGTCGTTTCTCTGACAATCTGTTTGACCCGTTTTGTGTGTATGGACATATTTGTTGTTGTTTTTTTTTTTGTTTGCTTACACGACTGGATTTAGTGAGTTGCGTCGCAATGGCGTGATCGATGGCGACCGTTCCATTTCCGGCGTGATGGCTTCACAATGTGAGCTACTGGGCGTCAGCACTGTGGGTATCAAACTAGTGACTTCCGGACTGCTGCATGAACCTTTATCTTCATAAACACGTTCCTGGAACAATTCAAAATGTGTAACAAACAGTTTGAGGTTAAGTTTTAAGCATACTTGTGATTTATCGTATTTGAGCCTCTTCCACAAGAAGGGTTTCTTATCGACGTTGGTGGCTGCAGCCGGCGGTGTCTCACCCGGATTGGACGTATAGTAATTGGGATTCGAGAAGGTCATCACACTGCGCCCGGTAACGTACAACAACTTCTTGCGCGACTTTTTTAATATCAAAATGATCAACAAGAACGCGGCAGTGACAAATATTAAGCACACTATTGCAGCGATCAACACCACATAGAATGGCACCGAGAAGTGTTTCGGACGACCGTCGAATGCCTCGTCAAAGTTTCCGTTTGCATCGTAGAAGATTGCTTTGTCATCAGCTTCATCAACGTATTCATCATCATCAGGTATTTCATTAAACACCAAATGCTCCGGGTCTTAAAAAAAAAACAGAAAAAATTATAAGGTTTATTTTTAATTTTGTTTCAGGTAACTTACCCAGTTTACAAACCCTTCCATTTGGTTCATCTGGACACTGACAAATGTAATCTGTTTGTCGGAATAAGCATAAATGAGTGCATCCACCATTGTTTACCAAGCATGGGTTCCACCCTTTCTGGCGGCTTTCTGAGACAACACGTATACCCATTGCACCATCTAGATTAGCTTTGATGACTGAGGTTTTGGTACCGGAACTTTTGTCAGCTCTTACGATGGTCTTTTGGAACCAGTCAGACCAGTAAATGTAGTTTTCATATTGGGCCATTGCGAAGGGATGAGTGGTTGGTTCATTACTGCTGTGTACCAATTTTATACGGTTCTTGCCATGAAGATCAGAGGTTTCTACTCTGTCCCATTTTGCATCTGCCCAATACAATCTCTTTCCTTTGTAATCAATGGTTATACCATTAGGAAAGCCTAGATCTTGGTTGAACAGTACTCTTCTTCCGGATCCATCCAGGAATGACCTTTCTATCTTGGGTTGAGCTCCCCAATCAGTCCAGAAGAGATACCCACGACGTGGGAAAGTTGCAATTGATCGAGGTTCTTGTAGATTGTCCTTGATGACAACGTGCCGCATTGTTCCATCAATCTTACATAACTCTATTACTTTCTTTGCTCCATCAGTCCAATAAATCAGGTTACTGATCCAATCAACTGCAATACCATTGGGGATAGTGGAATTATCCGAGATAATATCTCTTCTATCCGAAAAGTTCTTCATGTTGATGGATTCGATACCACCTAAATCAATATCACTGATAAAGATCAACTGCTTCTTCCAATGGAAGTCTACATCAATCACATGTTGGAGCTTCTTAATCGGAAGAGTAACTTCGAAGAGTTCTTTGGTGTCCAAGCTGATACGAACAATATTAGACCTTGTAGTAAACATGAGGTAATTCAAAGGTTGATGTTCGCATATCTTATCTGAACCTGATTTGAAATTAATACCAGTTGGACATTGACATGAATAACCCTTGGAGTTTCGGAGACATAAATGTGAACAACCGCCATTGTTATTTCCGCAAGCATTCTCGGCTATGTTATCACTCTGAACTGATCTAATATCCATTAAGCCTTCCAACTTTTCCCTGATGACAGTCCGATCGCTACCATTATGTTTCTCAGCTCTATGTAATCCCTGTGTTTGCCAATCAGTCCAATACATGTGGTTACCCACCACGACAAGACCATATGGATGAGGTACTCCAACTATTATGACTCGTCTATCATTACCATTGAGGTCACTAGATTCGATTGTTTTGAGTTTTCCATCATTCCAATAGAGACGTTCAGATGGACGATCTATGGCTAAGCCATTAGGCCATGCCAAGTTAGTTGTGATCAAAGCCCGACGATGTGATCCATCCATTTGAGCCACCTCAATCTTTGCTTTGGTTCCCCAATCTGACCAGAACATCAATCCGTGATGGTAGTGTAATGCAATTGCTCGTGGAGTATCAAGGTCTGACCAAATTAACACCTTGCGGTTGGTACCATCCAGCTCAGCTACCTCAATGCTATTACGACCACCATCAGTCCAATACATTTTTCTTCCAGTGGAATCAATGGTTATCCCATCAGCCATTTGTAATTCATGTCTGATGATGGTACGAGGTGTTTTACCATCGGGGGTGTTCTTCTGAATGACATCAGCTGATGTATCAGTCCAGTAAACCTCCCCGGTTTTTCTATCAACATCAACGGACATTACGTTCTTCAAGGGTGGAAACGGTAATACATAATCCACAATGTAGGGCACGTCAAGAGATATCTGTCGAATGTCAACTCTATGCGCAATAATCAACGAGTTAATTGGACCCTTTGGACATGTTCTTCCATCTTTCATCAGAGCAATGCCAATTGGGCACGCACATGAATGTCCCTTTGGTTTGAGCAAACATAGATCCGAACATCCGCCATTATTGATGTGACACGATGTGGTACTGTACTTTCGGTTCCGATGGAACGCCCTCACATCCATCAAGTCAGTTATCCCAGTACTGATCACCTTGCGATTTTGACCTGTAAACTTGTTTGCTCGTTCGATTTTCAAAGTTTCCCAATCAGTCCAATAGACATTGTCGCCAAAAACATCTAGACCAAAAGGGTGTGGTAATGAACTACCTTCGAGTAAAATTTTCCGGTTGCTTCCGTCAAGGTTTGAATATTCAATTGAGGAGGTACCGCCGTCTGACCAGTATAATCTATTGGTGTCGTAATCAATTGCTAGTCCATTCGGCCAAGTCAGGTTATGAGCAATCAGCACTGACCTCATTGTTCCGTCCATTGCAGCGCGTTCAATCTTTGGTTTCTCACCCCAATCGGACCAATACATGTAACCATTAACAGGGTCTACTACGATATCTCTTGGGCGATCTAAATCCTCCCAGATAAGAATTCCTCGCAGGGTACCATCACTGTTTGCAACTTCAATTTTAGCAGTACCATCATCAGTCCAATAGAGTTTATCAGTATACCAATCGTAGGCTAGGCCAGCCGGAGATATAGCGTTGGTTTTGATGACAACTTGATGATTACTTCCATTCCAATGAGCTCGGTTGATGGTGTCTTTTTCTACATCCGTCCAATAAATCATATCAGTTTTAGACTCCCATGCAATGGCAACCGCTGATTTAATTCCATCAATTGGTACGACAATCTCATGATGATGAGCTGCATCGCTATCCAATTGTTTGATCCTCAAATCCTTCTTTCTAACAAACACCAAAAGTTTCTCGGGTTGTTGACAAGTTTTCTTATCGGAGTTTAATTTTTGTCCCATTTGACATAGACAAGTGTAGGAGTTTTTATTCGGAAGACATAGGTGTTCACATCCGCCATTATTCTCCCCGCAATGGTTTTTGTATTGGGGTTGTCTCTGTGCGTGGAAGCTGTGTATGTCCATCGGAAAATGTAGATTAGCATGAATTGTTCTCATGCCAGCACCAGTTTGCTTATTAGCAGTTGAGATCGCTTTGGTATGCCAATCAGTCCAATAAATTGCATCCTCAAAGATGGTTAAAGCGAAGGGATGGGGGAGTCCTTTACTGATCACCTTCCTCCTGTCATTACCATCAAATAGCGCAGTTTCTATTACATTGTGCTTTGCATCAGCCCAGTAAATTCGATCACTGGTAAAGTCAAGAGTTAATCCGTTAGGCCAGAAAACTGATTCGGTTATTATGCTGCGACGGTTGGAACCATCCATTTCGATGCGTTCAATTTTAGGCCTTGGACCCCAATCAGTCCAGAAAACAAGTGCGTGTCCAGGATGAACTACAATTGCTCTAGGTTTGTCTAAATCATTAGCAACCAAAATAGCTCTTTTTGTACCATCCAGGGTTGCGACCTCTACGCGCCTAGTACCAGAATCGGTCCAAAAGATCAAATCGTGGATCCAATCCAAAGCGATACCTCCAGGTGATTCCAAACCCCATTTGATGACGTCCTCCTTTTTGTCACCATTAATACAAGCTTGTTTGATGACATCCAATGCCATATCCGACCAAAAGATTAAACCCTTTTTGTAGTGATAGTCTAGTGCGATTGCATTATGTAGGCCTTTCAAAATGGCGGTGTATCGGGAGTTGATAGAAGACATCTGTAGTGATACTTGTCGAATATCAAACCTATTTGCAAAGAGTAATGTTGGGGAACAACCTAAAGCTTTACACGTTCGTAAATCAGGTCTTAGGATATATCCGGTCATGCAGCCGCATCGAAAACTGCCGATTGTGTTATTGCAGGTTTGGGAACAGACCGGGTCGGATTCATATAAACATTCATTGACGTCAATACATCTATAACCAGAAAATATTGAAATTCATAAAAATTCATTGAGTTTTTACTTGGTAACTTACGTAAAACCATCTGGAGCTAAAGAATAACCTCTGTTACAAGCACAGGCGTCTTTACCATCAACTGTCTTGATGCAGACTTGATCACACTTTGAATCTTTGTTGCAATCATAAATTGTGGGACAATCAACTTCGTCTTCACCTTTTGGACAGTCTTTGAGTCCATCGCAGACGTGTTTCTTGTTAATACAGAATTCTGTGTCGGTTGAGTTGGGTTGACTTCCGGTGCAGGCAAATTTCGTTTCGTCACATGTGATTTTACAATCAATTTCGTCTTCTTCTTGTGGACAATCTGAGTAGCCATCACAAACCCAAGTTTTCTATAAATTTAAATTTTGCATTTTTTAAAATCTCGGTTATTTTGAAATTTATAAATATTACCAGTATACAAGCGCCTGATTTACAAGTAAATTCATCTGGGGAGCAAGTGCGGGTGTTGCTATCTGTACAATTAACTTCATCTTCACTGTTTTCGCAATCTTGTTGTTTATCACACTTCCACGTTTCCGGAATGCAATCACCATTGTTGCAGCTAAACTCGCCGGCGACACATGGCCCTGAACGATTACCACATCCCTCTTCGTCGCTCCAATCGTCACAGTCATTGTCGCCATCGCACCGGAACTGATCCTTGATGCATTTTTGAGTGACGCAATGGAATTCACCTTTGTTGCAAGTTGGTGGTTCAATATCTACACCAACATCATTAAAAATTAGGAATTCATCGGTTACTAAATTGAATGTAAATACCACAACTAATTTCATCTGATTCATCATTACAATCGGGTTCACGATCACATTTCCATGACAACGAGATGCATGAACCATCCGAACAGGTGAATTCATCCGGTGTACAACTAAAATGGTAAAAATGCATTTTTTGCATCTTGCAGGTGGTTGCATTGTGATGGTAGTGGTTGGAGGTTGAGGGTTGCTAGGTAGCTGTAGCCGGGAATACTTGCCCTGTGTAGTCATGGGAACGACGCGCAATCGATCGGCGAACGGACCGCTTGCGGCGCGCTTTTCCGCGAGAGGAAAACGCACCGATTGCCCTCAAACCAACTCCAACCCAATTTCAACTACCGTTTTTCTTTAATTTTCTACTCACCCAATTTTAGTACAGTTCAATTCATCGGAGAAATCTCGACAGTCGTTGTCGTTGTCGCAGATCCAGGATTTTTGAATGCAGAGACCGTTGGCACACTCGAATTGATCACTGGTGCAATTTGTCGGAAATGCTGTGGATGTGAAATATTAAATTTTATTTGTGAGGTTTGTTTCCTTCTGATTTGAACTTTACCGCAGTGTGTTTCATCAGAGAAATCGCCACAGTCATCTTCTCCATCGCACAGCCAATCCTTTCGGATGCATTTACCCGATCTGGGACATCTGACATATTTTTCTTTATCCTTGCAGATTTCATTACGAGCATGATCAATTTCTCCACATTCGATTTCATCTTCGCCGTGTTCACAATCTTCATGACCATCACACCTAAATTTTAATAAATAAATAGAGCATAAATGAGGTTAGGTCGATTGAGGTTAAGTGTGTACCTATTAATATACTGTATACATTGACAAGTCTTCGAACAGGTAAATTCCCCGCGATCGCAGCCATCTTTACATTGAAGGTATTCCTCTTCTTCGTAGCCATCACCATCAAGACCATCACTTGATGCTTGCATGGTGAGGATACCGATGTCTTTGTTTCTATTGAAGGGATTGTCCGGTTGTATTGAGATGCCCATTCGAGGGTAACCATAGTCACTTCCCCAGGTACCGATTCCCATACCTCTTCCAATCGGGTATTCCAATCTGCCGCCATAGTAGCCGCCTTCACCGCGTGATCTTCCGCCTGTGCGTGTGGTGTCTTGCACGCTCGGGGGGTAACCAGGTGCGACCATCACCGGGAAGCCGTCGGGTAGAATGTCAAAGTCGCGCATTGGAATTGATAGTGGGACGATTGGGTAGTAGCGTTTGTTGGAGGGTGTCGGCGTGGGCCGTGGACGTGGTGGTCTATGGCCTGGACCTAGATGAAGAGGTCCAGGCGTGCGCAAGGATCCGGAGCCGTACATGATGCGGGCGGCACCGCGATGCGGTGGAGGTGTCACGGTGGTCACCGAGGGCCCTTGGTAACCGCAGCATGTTGAAATTAATATTAATAATGCTGAAAGAAATGAAAATGCATTGAAAATATGTCATCCAATTCGGTTTTGCGGTTGGCTGAATACGTAATATAAGTTTCACAAGTAGTTTTCAACGGAAAAATCCTAAATATTTCATAATTTATTATGTTAACGATGTTATAAGAATAAATATTTAAATTTAAACATAAACATGTACTAAAAGTTCTATTTTATAACGTTATTAATGCAGCCGTGAGTAATGAGACTAATGTGTCATTTTTAAAATGTACTGTACGTTGAAGGTTGTTGCGGTTAAACAAGTTGCCTATGTTATACAAAAAATTACAAATTTGCTTCATAGACTTATGTGACATACGAAGCAAGCTGTTGACGTGAGTCCCTGTAGCGCAGAGGATAGCGCGTTGGACTTCTAATCCAAAGGTCGTGGGTTCGATCCCCACCAGGGATGCAAGTAAGTCGGCTTTATGTGGTTCAAAGTCGCTTTTTGCATTCTAACAATTATTCTATTAAACAATTTAAATATTGTTTCTATTGTCATTCGAGTATTTTTCTTTTGCCTCAAAAATGTTAAAATGTTAATAATTATTTATAAAAGGTTAAATAATTATTTGCTTTAATTGATTCAAAATGGAAATATAACTCAATCTCGATAAGTTTCAGAATAATCAATGGAAAACTCTCTGGATATATAAAATTTATTTTTGTGACAGCATAATCACGTTATTTATGGCTGAATCCTCAAATCAACTCGAATGAATTGTTAAAACTGCCTAAAAATAGTCATGGGTATAATCTGTAAGCATTCAATTCGAGAGTGCTCTATACCCGTAATAGCTCAAGTAACTCAAGTCTGTGTGCTGTCTGTACGTGTCAGATGTGCCCTGTTAGCGACATTCGCGTAGGCAGTCGCTGGCGACATACAATTTGCACATTCAAACCCACACACAGACACACACAGGCAGACAGCGTGGCGTTCGGGACCAAAAGAGACATGGTCAGACCCCTACGCGAGTCACAATGAATGGTTCATTCAGCAGCGAGGAAGGCGAGGCTCGCGCTCTGGCCACGCTCGTCGCCACTCTCGCGCGGGTCGATACTATGTGAGGGTTGACTCGTGGGCGGCAGTGTGCAAACCACCACCACCACCACTACCAGCATCACCATCGTCACCATCCCTCTCCCTAAATTGAACATCTAACAACTACAGCTCGAACCTCCTGAACTCCGTCTATGACTAGGTCAACTTGTTCTACGTTTTCTATCAATTGCTACATCAATTGCGATAATTGGCTGTAATTATCATGAAAACATGCCTCGTATGTTGTTATTCTTAGATTTGCTTACCTGAAATAGTCCAATATTTGCGTATACCCTGATTAAGTCCATCTTGAGCCTGGATCGATGGTGGAAACATCGTTTTTGGGGGTGACTAGTCAATTGTTATCGGTTGGTTTCAAGCTAGGTTTTACTCTAACTTCTGTTTAAACTTTTTACTTGTTACTAGATCGGGTGGCGCCGAATTGAAGTCGCACCTCGATTTTATGCGACCCCGCGACACCCGACTTCACCCAAAGATCTTCTCTTATAACGCATCATGGTGGTCGCTTGGTTTGGATGGATGCTGTATATCCAACACTTTCAAATCGAGGAATCACACAATCACTTCTGGGAATTGTTTTTTTTTTCTCTGCTTTCTTTGAGAATCAGTTCAATCAGTCTCCAACTTGTTCACACATTTTTATAACTTTATTTACTTTGTTAGTTGAGTGATGATTTTGAGCACAAATTGTTTGGTTTCTTTGGCAATTATTTGGCGATTAGTTTTGGTTTATACGCAGGTTGGGTTTCGCTGGACGCCCGTCGATGTTGTTGTTCCGATGCGAGCATCGCACCGTGGTCCAGTCGCTGTGCGAAAATTGCGAAATATTGATTAGATCCCGAAGGCGGAGCGGCGAGAGTGTGCGCAGCATCCCACGGATTCTCACGGCGAGGCTGTGATGCTGGGGAGCGCCCGGTTAGGCGGATGGGAAATTTGGGAAACGCGACGACAGCGCCAGCCAAGTTTCAAGAAAACTGTCGCCCACGCAAATCGTTTCAGTCGTTTATTTTTGATGCCTTTGTTTATGTTTACATTCATACATGCGGCCGATAAGTTTATTATTTAACATGTTTGAAAAATAATCATGTAAAATGATTTAACTAAAAAAGTGCTGATAAAAAGTGTTTGTTTAAAGTGCTGTTAAAATGCTGTTAAAGTGCTGTTTAATTTAAATAATGTTTAATGGTTTTGATTTGAAGAAAAACACCCTGTAGCTCGAGAACTAATTGTTTTCTTGGGGCCTTCTTACCGCTATATTAAAGTTCCGAAGTCCCTCTACTCGATGCATACCTTTCCAAATCTCTAGCACTTCTGAAAGTGTCTTAAAATGCCCTTTCAAAATTTATTTAAAAAATTGAAAACTTGGTTTGGAAACACCCTGTAATTCGTGAACTAATTGATTTTTTTGGAGTTTCTCACCGCCAAGTTGGAGTATAAGAGTTCTTCTACAAGATGAATCTTTCTTTAATTTGCTTGCGCTTCCGAAAGTGCCCAAAAACGCCTTATAAAAATTAGCTTTTTCCAAAAAATGGGAAACGTGGTGTGAAAAATACCCTGTATCTCGTGAACTAATTAAATTTTTTGGAACTTCTCACCGTTAAGTGAAAGTTCAAGAGTTCTTCTATAGGATGCATACCCTTCTACTCTTGTAGCTTCTTCGGAAGTGCCCCAGAACGTCCTCTAAAAACTAGCATTTTTCGAAAAAATTGAAAACATAGTGTGGAAAACACCCTGTATCTTCTGGACTAATTGACTTTATTAAAGTTTCTCACCGTTATATTAAAATTCGAAAGTTTATCTACACAATGCATTTCATTTCAACCCTCTAGCCCTTTTAGAAGTACCTTAAAATGCGGTTCAAACATAGCTATTTTTGTCCAATAAATTTCATTGTTTGGTCGAAAAGCAGTGTCAAAATCGTAGATAAATTTTCGGTTGAATAACATAGTTGAAATTTTTTCTTAGAATATTTTTCGGTCGAATAACAGGGTCGAACTTTTCTCTTAAAATATTTTTCGGTTGAATAACAGGGTCGAACTCTTTTCTTAATATATTTTTCGGTCGAACAACAGGGTCGAACTTTTTTCTTAAAATATTTTTCGGTCGAATAACAGGGCTGAAATTTTTTCTTAAATTATTTTTCGGTCGAAAAACCGGGTCGAACTTTTTCATAAAATTGGAATGATGAATCTAAAGAGAAGATTTGGCATAAAATTTTCAACTTTTTTTTATTAAGAAATAAAATTTGGAATTTTTAAATTCTTTTATCAGATTCTGAAAATAGATTAAATTCTAAATAACCTATTGGTATATAAAAAACTAATTGAAATTGAGATATACATTAGGGTGGTCCTTAAAATGCATTTTTTTGAATTTCTTTGCTCCCAGGGGCTTAAACGCTTTCAAATCGATAAAAAAAAATTCCCTGAAAATTTGAGCTCTTAATATTAACTTTAAGATAGTCCGCACTCTCAGATAAGGTTTTTATGGAGATTACTTGGCAGAAAATGGATTTTAAGTAACAAATCGCGACATATTTATTGTAAATTTAATTCTCCATGTAAAAAATACCTCATACATATTTACTGCACCTATTGACTTGATACTATTTAGAATATATAGCAAATAATAGCAAATAGGAGTTTATTGTTCAATTTTTATCAGAATATAAGCAATATTATGGTGATACTCGAAAATCTGCAATAGTGGATAATATGAAAAAAGATTAAAGCTTAGTATTCGAATAGTCAATAGGTGCAGTAAATATGTATGAGGTATTTTTTACATGGAGAATTAAATTTACAATAAATATGTCGCGATTTGTTACTTAAAATCCATTTTCTGCCAAGTAATCTCCATAAAAACCTTATCTGAGAGTGCGGACTATCTTAAAGTTAATATTAAGAGCTCAAATTTTCAGGGAATTTTTTTTTATCGATTTGAAAGCGTTTAAGCCCCTGGGAGCAAAGAAATTCAAAAAAATGCATTTTAAGGACCACCCCTAATATACATATTTATAAATATTAATTTATAATATGTATAAATAATATATATAAATATTTATTTAAAAATATAAAATTCCGAAATTATCTATCTGGTGTCACCAACTAGATGTTTACGTCGACTGGCAATTCTCTTTCCTGTTTAGTCGGTCGTGCGCGATGGTGGCGTGAGCACGTGTTTTTGTTTGTGCGTCTATCAGCATAGTAATTAATTGCCTTTCTTAAGATGATAATGTGATAGTGGCATGGATGACAATAAATTTCAGCAAGTGTGGCTTACCGTTATCGAATTGTGCGCATGGATTCTGAAATCGAGTGACTATCCTAACATTTGTGGTTGCCGTCGGATACCGTCCACTTGCTAATTCGTCGAATTGGTATTATTATTTATTTATTCAACGGTTTATTTGTTCATTTCGTACTAATATGTAAAGTCTGTTATTAGCGGAAAGACAATTAAATGATTAGAACTAATTGCAACGAACGTATTCATTATTTTTTATATTTATTTGTTTTCATTTATTCTGTAGTAAAACCATGTGGTACCGAGCTATAGAAAATATAGAAAAACAATTACAAAATACTCTCTTGATTGTATGAGCTCCAATAAAAGATTATTTAATATTACATTTATAAGTATATTTATTTTTGTATCCCTTTTGTCGTTTTCAGGAATCATTTAAAAATAACATTTGGTTTAATTTATGTGTAGCGTGACGAAGCATATGTGTTGTTTTTTTTTAAACATAAATAAAAGTGCAACATTTATACCTGAAACGAATAGAGTAAGATAAAAGAGCCCGGTGGCTCAGGTGCATGTACCTGTACTTGCAGATTCGAGATTCATGGTTCGAATCCCAGTAGAGCGAAGATGTTTTCTTAAATATCAAAATAAATCCGAGTAATGTGGGTTGCCTATGCATTAGAGTTGAAATTCAAATGAAATTCGAATAAGAACGAAGAACGAGAAGGAGAAGAAGACCGGCTATACAGAGAAAAGAAGTTGGGATAGAGTGAGGAAAGGAGTAGAGTAGGAGGAACAGAGTTAGATGAGAAAGCCACCCCGAGAACAGGAGTGGCTTGGATTTTAAAATTTTTTGGCACGTGTCGTTATAAGACAGTCTACGGTCGATCTCCCAGAGCGCCTCCGGCGCTCTGGTCGATCGCCCACTGCTTCGATCCGTCCATTGCTCCCGGCCCATCCTACAGCTACGATGTCTCTGCGCTTCATCCCCGAAATTATCAGGCATATCAACAATTTTTATGGTGGGGGATCACCCCCAGAGAGAGGGAACTCCTTATAAGGACAATCCTTATAAGGTCTTGTTCAAATATTTCTAAGTTTAAAGTCGTCTCAAGAGAGATGACACTTAAAAATATTCTTACAAGTTCTGACCTGTAGCTGAAATGAAAGAAGGAGCACATAAATCACACGGGATACCTTAACAATTTTTATAGTGGGGATCATCCCCTGAGAGAGGGAACTCTCTCAGAGACCTGTTCCTGAAATGATAGAAGGAGTGCACAAATCAAAGAAGTCAATATATCTTACAATTTCTTTATTAACAATAAAGTACATGTTTAGATTTTACAAGTTAACAGAATACATGTCGCCATATTGAAACAGGACTTACGACCTGCTAAGCCGCGCACATATAAGCAAGTAGCATTTCGTATAGTTCTACCGAAATAAAGAAATTAATAAATAGTTCATTTTCTACGTTATTGAAAATGAAAACAAATATACAGGGTGTTACAAATGAAAAATTTAATGTCAAAACAGAAAAACATTTTAACACTACTATCATTCGTTTTTTACTCGAGGTTCCGGGAAACTAATATACCGGGTGTCACAGAAAGAAAATTCAAAGGGCAATGAGGAAAACCATAAAAACAACAGTAAAAGCAAAATTTTCACGGACACAAAGAAAAAATTAATATACAGGGTGTTTCAGTAAGAAAATCTCTAGTTGAAACGAAGAACATTCAAAACTCACAAATACCGGCGATTTTCTATGTAGTGTTAGGAAAACTATTATACACGGTGTTACAAAAAGAAAACTACAAACGACAAACGACACACTACAAAGGGAGTTAATATTCACAACATGAAGAGGGAAATTTACAAATAAACAACAATATTTTAAGATAAAATCCAAGATTTTATCCGAAAATCATCGGGAAATTGAGCAAAAAGATGAAAAATATGAAAATTTTCCATCAGATATAAATATAAAATAATTATATTTCCTACAGTGAAAGGTCAAAAAACGCTACTAAAAGTACGAAAAAGTGACATTTTACAATTTTTGCCCATTTTATTCAATCGCGAATATCTCGTAAACTAAAAGGGATATTTAAGATCTGATCGCAGCGTCTTAATCTACGCACTATTCTCTATAAGATAGGATAGTTAAAACGGAAATCTGAGAGATGAAATTTTCATTCTTAAATAAAAATTGCCAAGGGGGGGTGCTTGATACTTTTTTTCGACGATTTTTGAAAATTCATATCTCTTAAACTAAAAGCCACAGCAACCAACAAATTGCTGATTATGATAGATTGGAAAATTCTCTATCACTTAAAAATATAAAATAATTATATTTCCTACAGTAAAAGGTCGAAAAACGCGAGTAAAAGTGCTAAAAAGTGACATTTTTCAATTTTTGCCCATTTTATTCAAACACGAATATCTCGTAAACTAAAAGAGATAATTAAGATCTGATCGCAGCGTCTTAATCTACGCACTATTCTCTATAAGATAGGATAGTTAAAACGGAAATCTGAGAGATTAAATTTTCATTCTTAAATAAAAATTGCCAAGGGGGGTGCTTGATACTTTTTTTCGACGATTTTTGAAAATTCATATCTCTTAAACTAAAAGCCACAGCAACCAACAAATTGCTGATTATGATAGATTGGAAAATTCTCTATCACTTAAAAATATAAAATAATTTTATTTCCTACAGTAAAAGGTCGAAAAACGCGAGTAAAAGTGCTAAAAAGTGACATTTTTCAATTTTTGCCCATTTTATTCAAACACGAATATCTCGTAAACTAAAAGAGATAATTAAGATCTGATCGCAGCGTCTTAATGTACGGACCAATCTCTATCAGATACAATAGTTAAAAGGGAAATCTGAGAGATTAAATTTTCATTCTTAAGAAAAAATTGCCAAGGGGGGGTGCTTGATACTTTTTTTCGACGATTTTTGAAAATTCATATCTCTTAAACTAAAAGCCACAGCAACCAACAAATTGCTGATTATGATAGATTGGAAAATTCTCTATCAGGTAAAAATATAAAATAATTATATTTCCTTCAGTAAAAGGTCGAAAAACTCGAGTAAAAGTGCTAAAAAGTGACATTTTTCAATTTTTGCCCATTTTATTCAAACACGAATATCTCGTAAACTAAAAGAGATAATTAAGATCTGATCGCAGCGTCTTAATGTACGGACCAATCTCTATCAGATACAATAGTTAAAAGGGAAATCTGAGAGATTAAATTTTCATTCTTAAATAAAAATTGCCAAGGGGGGGTGCTTGATACTTTTTTTCGACGATTTTTGAAAATTCATATCTCTTAAACTAAAAGCCACAGCAACCAACAAATTGCTGATTATGATAGATTGGAAAATTCTCTATCAGGTAAAAATATAAAATAATTATATTTCCTTCAGTAAAAGGTCGAAAAACGCGAGTAAAAGTGCTAAAAAGTGACATTTTTCAATTTTTGCCCATTTTATTCAAACACGAATATCTCGTAAACTAAAAGAGATAATTAAGATCTGATCGCAGCGTCTTAATGTACGGACCAATCTCTATCAGATACAATAGTTAAAAGGAAATCTGAGAGATTAAATTTTCATTCTTAAATAAAATTGCCAAGGGGGGGTGCTTGATACTTTTTTTCGACGATTTTTGAAAATTCATATCTCTTAAACTAAAAGCCACAGCAACCAACAAATTGCTGATTATGATAGATTGGAAAATTCTCTATCACTTAAAAATATAAAATAATTATATTTCCTACAGTAAAAGGTCGAAAAACGCGAGTAAAAGTGCTAAAAAGTGACATTTTTCAATTTTTGCCCATTTTATTCAAACACGAATATCTCGTAAACTAAAAGAGATAATTAAGATCTGATCGCAGCGTCTTAATGTACGGACCAATCTCTATCAGATACAATAGTTAAAAGGGAAATCTGAGAGATTAAATTTTCATTCTTAAGAAAAAATTGCCAAGGGGGGGTGCTTGATACTTTTTTTCGACGATTTTTGAAAATTCATATCTCTTAAACTAAAAGCCACAGCAACCAACAAATTGCTGATTATGATAGATTGGAAAATTCTCTATCACTTAAAAATATAAAATAATTATATTTCCTACAGTAAAAGGTCGAAAAACGCGAGTAAAAGTGCTAAAAAGTGACATTTTTCAATTTTTGCCCATTTTATTCAAACACGAATATCTCGTAAACTAAAAGAGATAATTAAGATCTGATCGCAGCGTCTTAATGTACGGACCAATCTCTATCAGATACAATAGTTAAAAGGGAAATCTGAGAGATTAAATTTTCATTCTTAAGAAAAAATTGCCAAGGGGGGGTGCTTGATACTTTTTTTCGACGATTTTTGAAAATTCATATCTCTTAAACTAAAAGCCACAGCATCCAACAAATTGCTGATTATGATAGATTGGAAAATTCTCTATCAGGTAAAAATATAAAATAATTATATTTCCTTCAGTAAAAGGTCGAAAAACGCGAGTAAAAGTGCTAAAAAGTGACATTTTTCAATTTTTGCCCATTTTATTCAAACACGAATATCTCGTAAACTAAAAGAGATAATTAAGATCTGATCGCAGCGTCTTAATGTACGGACCAATCTCTATCAGATACAATAGTTAAAAGGAAATCTGAGAGATTAAATTTTCATTCTTAAATAAAATTGCCAAGGGTGGGTGCTTGATACTTTTTTTCGACGATTTTTGAAAATTCATATCTCTTAAACTAAAAGCCACAGCAACCAACAAATTGCTGATTATGATAGATTGGAAAATTCTCTATCAGATAAAAATATAAAATAATTATATTTCCTACAGTAAAAGGTCGAAAAACGCGAGTAAAAGTGCTAAAAAGTGACATTTTTCAATTTTTGCCCATTTTATTCAAACACGAATATCTCGTAAACTAAAAGAGATAATTAAGATCTGATCGCAGCGTCTTAATGTACGGACCAATCTCTATCAGATACAATAGTTAAAAGGGAAATCTGAGAGATTAAATTTTCATTCTTAAGAAAAAATTGCCAAGGGGGGGTGCTTGATACTTTTTTTCGACGATTTTTGAAAATTCATATCTCTTAAACTAAAAGCCACAGCAACCATCAAATTGCTGATTATGATAGATTGGAAAATTCTCTATCAGATAAAAATATAAAATAATTATATTTCCTACATTAAAAGGTCGAAAAACGCGAGTAAAAGTGCTAAAAAGTGACATTTTTCAATTTTTGCCCATTTTATTCAAACACGAATATCTCGTAAACTAAAAGAGATAATTAAGATCTGATCGCAGCGTCTTAATGTACGGACCAATCCCTATCAGATACAATAGTTAAAAGGGAAATCTGAGAGATTAAATTTTCATTCTTAAGAAAAAATTGCCAAGGGGGGGTGCTTGATACTTTTTTTCGACGATTTTTGAAAATTAATATCTGTTAAACTAAAAGCGATAGCAACCCACAAATTGCTGATTATGAAAGATTGGAAAATTCTCTATCAGATAAAAGTATAAAATAGTTATATTTCCTACAGTAAATTGTCGAAAAACGCGAGTAAAAGTGCTAAAAAATGACATTTTTCATTTTTTGTCCATTTTATTCAATCGCGAATATCTCGTAAACTAAAAGTATTAGCAACTAGAAAATTGGAGATTAAGGAAGATTGGAAAATTCTCTATCAGTTGGATATCTAAGTAATTTAATTAAAGCGGATAAAATGTCTAAAATCGCGGGTAAAAGTGCTAAAAATTGCAATTTTTCAATTTTTGATGATTTATTTCAATTGCGAAAATCTCGTGTTCATACGGTGCCTTGAACACGAGTCACTTCTACCGCTAGCCTCGTAAGGCGCCCTGAATCGGGTTACTGCTACCGCTACCCTCGTACGGTGCCCTGAACACGAGTCACTTCTACCGCTAGCTCTGTAAGGTGCCCTGAATCGAGTTACTTCTACCGCTAGCCTCGTAAGGCGCCCTGAATCGGGTCACTTCTACCGCTAGCCTCGTATGGTGCCCTGAATCGAGTCACTTCTACCGCTTGGTGGTGGTGCTTGATAATGTGTGATTTAAATGTGGGTGCTTGATAAATTAAATTTGTGGGTGCTGCATCATGTTGTTGTTGGGATTGTTTCTCGTTATCAAACTACATTGCAGAACAACAATAAATCGTTGAACTAAACTGAAATCTATCTACGTACACAGCAAACATCTTTTATAAATAATGAAATTATTTTACATACCGGTTATGGAAGATAGTATATCGACGACAAGTTGGCGAATACTAAAAAAATGCGAAACAAAACATTAGTTACAGCATTTCGTGCGATGTTGAAATAAATTTGAGTTCCGTCGGAACCCAAACTTTGAATTAAAATTCTTGTTATTCGCATAATAATCATAGGAATGACAATATTTACCTGGTAGCACAATGATCCATGCTCCTCTGTTGATGACAAATATGTTTTTCACAAGTAAATTAATTATTAGGGTTTACAAAATATCGCAGGCCGTCTCCCGACGGCAACGCGCAAAATTTAGAATTACAAAGATTACACACGCGATAAATAGCTGATAAAAGATCAATCACGTTTATTAACACTAATTGTCACCGGCGATTTAGAAAATATAACACGTTGTACCGAACTTGCAACAACAAATAACACAAGCCGAAAGTGTGAAATGTGCGCTCGTCGTTATCGCACCGATTGAACAAAACAAAATTCACTCGCTGGAACATTTCGAGGTAAATCTACATTGTTGCGCCATCTGCGCGCAATGATCCGATCATTGCGAGTAACTAAACTTTCTTAAGCAGCCGTGTAATCCTGCCGAGGTCATTTCTTGATAAAATTCATTTCGTCATTCACTAAATTGTTCTTCCGCTAACAACAGACTTTGCACATTAGTAAGAAATGTTGCTTATTTGAACAAATTAACCGATGAATAAATAAACAATAATACCAATTCCACGAATTAGCAAGCGGACGGTATCCGACGGCATCCACAAATGTTAGGATAAAGTCACTCGATTTCAGATTCCATGCGCGACAATTCGATAACGGTAAACCACACTGAAATTTATTGTCATCCATGCCACTATCACATTAACATTTTAGGAAAAACGATTAATAACTATGCAGATAGACGCACAAACAAAACACGTGCTCGCGCCACTACCGCGCACGACCGACTAAACAGGAAAGAGAATTGCCAGCCGACGTAAACATCTAGTTGGGGACACCAGATAGATAATTTTAGTATTCTATATTTTGTTAAATGTTACTGAAATAATCGATCTATCATTCCATATTTTACTGCATTCTATTTCTTTTGATTTTAGGATAAGTTTTAATTCTCTTTCGTTGTTTGCTATGCCGTTGGCATTTCGTTGGGCATGGGTACGTGACACATTTGCATTTCTTGTACAAAACACCAAGCAAAATATTTTAATGTTTATACGTTTATTTAAATGTATTTCAAATAAAATTCTGTTTTGAACAGCCATCATAAATTTTCAATCTTTGTCATTGACAACTTTTTTTATATTTCTTCGATATAATTTTAATAATTTTGTGTTTAACATGACATAACGTTAATAAAAGGAACTCTGAATTTAAATTCAAATATCCTGAATATTTAAAATTTTCTTGTTTTTTTTTTTTGCTTGTTTGAACTTTATTAAATGCTCAGCGAGTGGAGTCTTATTAAATATATTTTATCGGATAACAATAATATAAATCTTTTTTTTTATATAATGTAAGTTATAATAATAATATTTTGCTGAGCAGAAACAGAGAGGTTTATTTAATCCGATTAATATAATGCGCTTTTCTTAATATTATTGAATCACTTCCAACTACCCGTACGTAGGTAAGTACACATTACAAGTAGTACATACTTATATAAAGTAAAGTGATGTAAGTGAAAAACTATTGCAGGTGCATTCATATGTATGCCAATATAAATTGAAAGATAATAGAAGCTTGATTAAATATATTTCCTAACAAATTTGATTAAAATGTGTTATAAACATTTTCTTAACTTAATATTTAATTAAGTAACTAAAAAAATATTGCACCATTAAATAGTTAAACACCTACTCCACTTTACCATATTTGTATTTATTTAAATATTTAGTTTGATAAATCTCTTTTGGTTCTAACCCGCTTTTCAATCCAGTCGATTCGAACGACGCCAATTGCATTTCCATTTTAAGTTCGCAGCCTACAATTGACTGCAAGTTAAAAATATGAAGCCAATCTCAATATCTGCTCAATAAATTTTCGATAATTATTGGTCATTTTAAAATTTTCAGCGTAAATTTCGATTTTCAATTGTAAACTTTTTGTTCTGCGATTACATTACACACTATTGGTATGTACAAGTACAATTACTAATACATGTTGTTTTAGTTTTTCAAAGGAAGTCCCGTGTTCCCAAAAACTTGTCACAATTCACAAATGTTGTTTGCCAAAGTCTATACGTAAACAATCCATCAACGCTTTATTTCGAGCGATACATCAATTACATTTGTTTAGTAAATGCAACCAACTGCAAAATCCGCTTTTATCTGTACGCTGAACATTAACGCTAAATTCGTTATCGCCGAATACTTCAATTATTCTCGACTTCGTTTCGCACGCATGCAGAGTGTCAAATTGTCGCAGCTAGCAAAATGTTTTGTTGGTGATGTGCGTGTTCGTATTTATGCTATTTACACAATGCTGGCGTTGTAAAAACCTTTCCGGAGTTAACTCGGAAATTTCGTTTTTGTTCCTGTTTTCGCTTGATATTATCAGATTCTATTCTTACATGTATTTATTCGATGAAGTAGAATATCCAGTAGCCGGCGTTGAACAGCATGAACGCTACCGGGAAGATGATCCGCGAGTATTTGTCGATGACGTTGACGTCTTTGATTTTCGGCATTGACGCCTTCAGCACCGAAGCGCCGCGTTTTATTGCGTGGAGCACTTTGGGCTTGTGAACGGGATTTCCTGAAACATATCGTTCAAATTAAGTGATGAAAACACACTGTATGTTAAAATTGACTTGAAACATTGGCAAACATTCATGTTTAAGTGGTTTTCCCAGTTTTCCGAATACATTCACCCAGAATAATATTCTTTCTCACCTCTGGCGCCGCGATATCTTAGTCCTGGCGCTCGCGGATTGATGCAGTATGCCGTAGAACGCGAGATTCTGAAGCTGGGCGGAAAACGCGTCGGATCGATCTCGCCGCAACCGCCGGCGGCTGCTTTTGTATTGTGTCGGTTGCGTATCGACGCGATGGGGCTGAGCCGTACGTCCTGCAGCTCAATGATGTCTTCGTTACCGCTTCCTCCACCTCCACCACCGCCATTTGCATGCTCGGTGGCGCTGGCGTTCGTATGGCTGGCTGTTTTTATCGTGGTCCCCAGTTTCTTCTCGTCTTCTTTCACCTTTTTGCTTTTTTTCTTTGCGCGAGCTCCCCAGTACGTGTAATTTACGGCGGCGTACTCCAACAACGCGGCAAAGACGAAAACAAAACACATTACCAAGTATATATCGATGGCTTTCACGTAACTGATGCGTGGGAGTGAGCTTCGAACTCCTGTACTTATTGTTGTCATTGTTAAAACCGTCGTAATACCTATTAAAAAATTAGGTTATAGAAATATAGGTTATTAGAGGTTATAACTCAAATTGAGTTGAGGTTATGTTACCTAATGCTACTCTTGCACTTGTCGCTTCGTGATTAATCCAGAATGAAACCCACGATAACATTACAATCAAAATACTAGGGAGATACGTTTGAAAGACAAAATAACCTATGTTCCGCTGCAGTTTAAAAGATAACGAAAGTCTTTGATAGATTCCAGTAGCAAGTCGTTCTTTTCTGTCGTTGGTCTCATAACCAATAATTGTAAACTGCGGCAGCTCGGCTTCTTCTACTCCTCTTACTGGTGTATCCATCCAGTACATTAGAACATCCATAACTGTATAGCCATCTATAAATTACAATTTGAAAGATTAGGTTATGTTTCTATGAGTTAGGTTATGTAATAATCACTTACAGCTTTCTATTTCGACTGTACAATTTTGTGAGTCCAATGGATAATAATGTAGGTCCATCATACAAGCTAAAGTGGTAGTGAATCTCATACCGTACGTAATACCACCTTCGCCGTTTAACCGCACCAATTTATTGCGTTCGGTGACGTCATGCAGAAAACTGTAAACATATTTCGACTAACTATGGATTTTTATGACGATGATGATGATGATGATGGCGCTTGGCGTCGGAAATTGGGTTAAGCATTTGCCCTGCGCGCAGCTTTCAAGGCTTTGAAGTGAGAATCGCTCGCGAAATCTCAGATAAACCCGTTTAGGTGTAAGAAGAAAAAACTGCGCTCATGTTTTTAATCATGTATTTCATCCCGCACGCAAAATTTGTAATGTAGATTGGATTATGGAACAATTGCGCGGGCTGCATTGAAGGAAAAAATAAAAACATAAACCCGTGCGAACGAACCAACCTGCTTTTATCGTTGGCGAAGAACGTGTCCGGCACCCAGATTTTTTCGGCAAAGTCCCCCGATAACGTCAGCACCTCATCCTCGCTGCTGAACGCCAATCGTTCGTCCTTCCAGTATTGATTCAGATACATCGTGATGGTATAATCCTAATACAAACCGAACATGATTAAATTTTAAATTAAAGCAGATGGTTGATGTAAACATGTACATGGCTGACTTAGAACTACCAAAATGGTGTATTGAGGAAAAGAAGAAGCGAATCATTAGTAAAACTTGTCGTGTGCTTGGCTGAACTTCGAGCTGTGCCAATTTCCGATTTTCGTCGACTTGGTTGATTCCGAACACTATTAGGACGCTAAATGCCCGTCAGATATATAAACTGCTCCACTGCGCATTCATTCGATTTTCGCGAACGTCGCGTAAATATAATCAGCTGGCTGGCAGCAACAGAACTACAGAGATAGAAATCTCGTCCGTCTTTGCGACGCTTCCATCGTACTCGGTTGGATAATTGCGCCTTGAAGAGGGTGCGCATAAACAGACTAATTGAAATTCCAACCGCACTTTTTTTTTTTCAATTTTCTGGTTATCAATTAACTGGAATGGAAAATTAACTTTTCTTTCAACTCACCATATTGACTTCTGAAATAGCATCGAAGCTGGCAATTGTTAGATCCATACCAACGTAGAGCGGTTCACCTAAAAGTAATTTATTGTTTTGAAACTGCAGTGAATCTAAAAATAGAAAGCAATTTGCTGCCTGCTGGTAAATTGCATTTAAACTAGATAGTAAATCAAATTTACAAAATTCTAGATTTGACCGTATTGTGTGTGCAAACGTGTTTTCCAAAAAGTACAAAGTAAGGTACTAACAGTTTTAAAGGAAGGAGCGTAAAAAGGGGAGAAGGGGTATAAAGGACAAGCGAATCCAATTATCCCATATCAAGACATGTTGTCGAGTCGTTTCCTCGTCTCCTTCGTGCCTAAGTTGGAATGAGGTAAAACTGGGAAGAAGGTTGTTGCTGCGTAGTGTCTGGTGCAAGACCCTGGCCTCTATTTGAAAACCTAGATACCCAGATTTACGCAAGTAGAGACACTAGACATCCTTTTAGGCGTCTTTTAAAGTTTAACTTTCTCTTGTCCTTGCATACATAACCCCAAAAGAGTAGACACACGTGTCTGCAAAATTAGGTTATGTTGCGGTTCATAATATAATTTTAAAATTGGGTTGCCCGAAAAAATATTTGCAATCCCTTAAATTAAAAGGGATAATTTTATTGTAAAATGTATTTAGAGTTTAAAATATCATTAAAATTATTAACTTAGAGAAGGATAATGTGTTATAATGAGGTTATGTTGGGGTGTTATTCAAAATAGATTAGTTACCTCCAAAATTGGGTCGTAACCGAATGTCGTAACCCTCCAAAAGTTTGGATATCGTTTGGGTGACGTTTTCGAGACGGTCTGAAACCATATTTCTGTGAACACTAATAAACAAATTAAAATTTCCAAAGATTTTTAATAAAAAATACATAAATTTTCTCATAAAATTCAACAGAAAATGTATGAAACTTTTATATGAATCCCCAATTCCTAAACCTTGTTCATCCTTTTCCCTAACACCGCCCACCACCATTAAAACAACGCCCACATTTTCCTAAACCACGCCCACATCATTATTCACCATTACTATAAGGATAATAATCTGTAATTTTACTTTATGTCTTTTTATTGCTTTATGTTTTTACGTCTTCATATCTTCACGTCACGTACTTGTCGTCACGAATACGTGCCATCAAAAAAAAAAACTCTTAGCAACAAATCAGACCTTCATATATGCCCTACTCGTATATAAGAATCTCTTCAACAAATCAGAGAATCCGAAGCATATTGCCGTCGTCGTGTCAATATCGTGGCACTTAACATTGCTTATAAATAAAAGTCGTTTTATCCGATTTTTATGAGACTATGCGCATCAAATCAAGTGCGGAGCGTAAAAAGTTGATATAGGCATCAATGCACTCGGGCTGCATGTACTGAATTATTGAAACATGTGGATAAGTGTGGGATAGTCCCGAAGAGTGAGAAACGATAAGCACACTGACTGGGGCACTGGGGGTAAAAGTGATGCTGGGCGATGTGGAGTGATGAATCGATACGTTCCGACCGCAGCCAAGTCGTCAAACTCATCGAAACCATCACATCATCAATACCATCAAGTTGTTTGCCATTGATGGCATCATTATGATTGATTGCAGTTTTAAAATCAAAACTTAAATATTTTACAGTTTTTAATTAATTTCAGTTAAACTAATCTCCGAGTTTTGAAATAATTGTTTTCTTTTGGGTTTATTTGTACATCCAAAAACGTTACATTGATGGTTTTGATGATCTGACAATGATTTTCTGTTGTTACTCGTCAGGAGAGTTTTCGCTCGGTTTGGTTGACAGAGAAATATACGATCCGTTTATTTCGCTGACAGCAAATTCATTGAGTTTCTCTCATTCTAATTCAGAAGTTTATAACTGTCCTATTTACCAGCATTTCTGACATGTTGTAAAATCAGGCCAATTTGACCTAAATTAATAACTTTCTAACTAACTTACTGACAAATTTACGAGAACTTAGTTGGTTTATTAAATATTATTAAATAACCATTGGCATATCAGAAAAAAAAAAACAATTTTCTGTGCCTTTGCTCATAATTTTAACTTTATATAAAATTATTTCCTTGTTGTACACAAATTCTGAATTATTTTTTAACTGCGTTTGTTCTTTATTTACATTATTTACATGATTAGAACTGAGTGTTTTTATAAAAATAAACAAAAATCCCCCAAAACATGTTTTTATTAAAGTCTGAACTGGTATTCTTAACTGATAATAACTTATTATAATGTTTTGTTATTATTAACTTTTGACCTTGTTAAACTCACCCGTCGGACGGTTGAAGATCTTTGCACACAGCAACCAGAAACAGCCACAGCATCATCTTGCGGTACAAAATCGTCCACCAAACGTGTGAAACCGCGTTGTGTTCCACTAACCCTCAACCACATCGATGGGGCCTCACTCAATCGTCTTCCAAAAACGGTCCTACCCCACAACGGTCTCACGCGACCATCAACTCACGACATACGTCACCTTTGTTGAGTTTATTTACTACCGCCATCACATTATTTATTTATTTACAATACAACAACGTCAATTGGTAGTGCACTAACGCAGGTGATCTAGCATCTAATGTTAGTGGAATACTTCGTTGTAGAGTCTAGAGACGGCGTTGTAACGCGCGTTGGTTAAATTTGCAGCCGTCGCTCGGTGCACAATTTCGCACATTTCGCAGTGCTGCGAAGCGGTGGGATGCTGCGGCCTCGAGAGTGGAGCAAATTTTGCAGCTGATGACAAACGCGCAGACTCGCCGCCAGCAAGATGTGGAGGCGGCTGCGAGAAACGCCAACGAACGCATGCAATTGTATGACTCAGCGACATCTGTCCACATCATTTTAATGTAATTATTTTCAAACAAAAACCATACACGTACCTCTCCCCAGATTGTTATTTTAAATTTTCATTGACACGTCCCCATTGAATAAATAATAATTTTCAGTCTGCAATCAACATTAACTTCACGTTTAAGTTTTTATAATCTTGTGCATGTTCGTTTATCCAGAAAGTTCGAAAAACTTAAAGTTTACAATTGGCGCGGATAAAACTTTTGCCAATAATTTGTCCGTTTGCATGACAGGATCACAATGACCATTGGCCACGTTTTTTAAAACTTTTATTGCCCCCAAACTCATGGAAACATACGAGTATTTTGCATTTTACAAGTTTTGTGTTTGCCAATATTTCCCTGAAATGTTTTATTTTTGTGCAAGTACCCGGCGCCTCCACATAATACTTTCCTATAGTTTCAAAGAAATAAAATGAAACCAGTAAAAGAAACAAATAAAATATTTCTAGTTTTGCGGTGAGGTTCTAGAATGGTTGTATATTCTAGCCGCAAGGTTCAGACTATAATATTCCTTTATTGCGATACTCCAAATAAATATTTACAAACGTAACAATTATATATTACATTTTTACTGAAATATATTTAATAAAAGCTACGCATGTGCCAGCGTAATAGTATTAGTCGCAGGCTGAATGTCTAATGCAATAAGTGTAAGAATGTTGAAGGGTGGCAGCGTGGAAATGCGACTACAAGCTATAAAACCGACCGCTGCCTGTCCCCGAAACGCAAAATTGCGTCGCCGCCTAATTCCCGACTAATTACTTAATTCCATTTATTTGCCATACCACATTTTACACTTACATCCATACACCCATGTCTTCATGCATATGCATGCACCAATAAAAAAATCACCCGTTTTCTACCCTTAATTTTTTTGGAATAAAGTATATTATAACGTGATTATGTAGCTTTGTGACTAATGCACTCCTGGATTTTCTACGTATTTGATGATTTAGCTCCTAATAGAATATTTGCCTGTGCAAACAAGCAAACGCCACTTCGTCACCGCTTTCGAGAATTATCGAAAGAAAATAAAAGCGAATCGGGGGATGTTTAATACACGCGTGCCGCCGGCGATTGAATTGATTATGCGCGAGCATGGCTGGCGAAAGCTCGCCTCCGATAAATATAATTTTGGTCATTTATTCGGCAGCATGTTGCAGTCACAGTGCGAATCAATTTTAACCAGTCACAAATTGTGAAATTAAATTTTGTGTGATTTTCTTTAATTTTTTAAAAATCACGGCGTTTTAATTAATTACCACAAATACCAAGTATGGGTAATTAATTTTTGGGTGATTGATAACATGTTTTACTTAAAATAACACGTATTGATTTATTTTTTATAAATTTTTGAAAAATTACGGAATTTTTAAAATTAAAACATTTTAGATCCACTTCTTGGGTATTGAAAATAATTTTTATTTTTCTACATTAATTTTATTGCAAAAATTCTGCACTTTTAATGAGTAATTTAATAGGTTTGTGTAATAACTACAAATAATTAAGCACTTTTTTGAGAGCAGTTCCCAAAACACAAATTACAAACATTTTTTTAATTTTATTGATTTAATTATAATTTCTACCTCTTCATAATAATTCCTATTATTTGCAGAGCAGATGGTAACCTAGTCCGCGTCGAAGCGACATAACGCAAGCGCGAATCCTTCGCGGAATCGCACATGCGGGTGGCCGGCGTCGTGTTTGAAAGTTTTGCGCTCATCTCGCCCTCGGCGTGCGTTTCCCGAACGCGAAACGTGTGTTTCGCGATACTCGCGCGCATCGCACCATCACACTAGACGAAAACTAATTGCATCTCTCCGAATTTCCATCGTTATTTATTATCCCTATTAATTCAATCCACTATCTACACTACTTGCAGTTTTTTAGCCACAAGTGAAGAAGAACTTGCAGTGATCGGACCAAAACTCTCCCAAAATGTTAAAGTGCAGTGTATTAATCATCAGCGTTATAACTATCCATATGTAAGTATTGTTATACTAAATTTTATGTTGTTTTGTTGATGAAAATGTGTGTGATGGGAAAAAGTATCTGAGTGAAAATTCTTGTTGAAATCCGAATCGTCAAGTGTAATAGTGTCCGGTAAGCCATAAATATCCATTTAGTCGTAGCCGAGTAGTCTGTGCGAAGTCCTTTGGAAAACGAATCCACCTTGAGAGTAGCACCCAGCCACAAAAGAAAAGTAATGCGTGGATAATGCAGTCGTAGACAAGTCGCAAGTCTTAAATTCGTAAATAAGAAAACCACAGAAACAAAGAGTAACAAAGTGCAAACCTCGCAAAGAGTAGTTGAAAAGGGTGCGAAGTTCTTAAGAAATTCAACAAACAATTAACTAACGTCGCAGGAGAAATCCAACCAAAATAATTTATTTAATACTGCAGAAAAATTGAGATTTATAGCGGTAAATATTTCGTTTTCTCGTAAAAATCAAAAAAAATCTGTTTCTGTATAATTTAATGCGCGAATCGAATAGTGAGTGAGTGATGTTAGCTCGACTCGGTGTTATTAATATTATCATACGTGGCTTTCGGATTTCTGTCTTTTCCCGTCAGCTCTGCCGTCAAGTGCTTTGTTTTCGAGGCGCGCGCGGGTTGAATACTACACATTACACATGCAACTGACATGCCGTCGACGACCGACAAGCATGAAAAAGTAACAGCAACCTTTTTCATACGCATCGATTTGAGCAATATTTATCTAGGGAGGACTGCTGAACGATGGCCAAAAATATCGAGCAATAGACCAATATTTACTTAATAATGTGACAAGATGTCATCTCCTCTCGCAAATCATTAGATATAAAAACGAAATGTTGGTAATTTTTGTCGTGCTGTAACTTTGCTATTAATAAAATCGTTCGGTATTGATTAAAATAGTATTAGAAAGGATGTTTATGGTTGGGTAAACATGCTGGAAGGAAATGTTTTCATATGATTGGAGGAAAATTGAATAAAAATTGTCAATAAGTCAGAAACCAATAAATGTTAAAATCTGATAAAAATCTGATAAAAGAGTTTAAAATATAAAGTTTAAAACTTAAATATCATTTTAGATAATTGGTTATATCATTTTTTAAAAAGAATTATAACAAATTAAAAAATTATGTTTTTTTAAACATAAAAATGAATTAACTCGAGAACGGTTGGACCAATTTAACTCATTTTGATTTTAAAATATTTGTTTAAGTCCACGGAAAGTTGAAAATGTGAGAAAATAAAAACAATAATTTTATTTCCCTCATAAACTGATCATATTTGTTAAAAAATGAAACCGAAAAAAATCGCCAAAATTTAAATTTACTTCTTTAAATGAGTTGGAAACAAGACCACTTAGTCTCGTCTCGTCGACGAAACTCTCCACCAAACTGCCGTCACAGCCACCACGTGTACTCTGATGAAACCATGGTAAACTTGTGGTTGTGGTCGTGTGGTAGATATGCGTGTGTGCGTTAAAGTCTATCAGTTTGAAAATTGATTTTCTCAAGTGTTTAGAGCAAGCTTTTAAACGAGCACAAAACAAACGCGGATTCAGCTGAAATCGCAAACGAGTGTCTCGTCGTCGCCGCCATCTTCACGGTCTCGCGGTTGATGGGATGTGTGCTGCTTCAACTAATATCACTCACACGGCCAAGAATAGACAAGCAGCAATTCGGAATTCCGGCGCGCCTTCGAGCGAAATCAAAGATTACCAGCTGGAAAACCTCTACGTTAAATAGAAAAACCGTTAAACAAGCAACCGGCGCTGCAGGAGTTAATTTGTTCGTGAAGCAATTTAGAAAATGACGATTTTCTGACTTCTGTTTACTTGTTGGTTGATGAAGAAGAGGGTCATTCGGTCATCGTTACTCAAACATTAATTAGCATTTTATCTGCATTGTCAGTGTCGCTGTCTTGAAGATTTATACACTCGCGATGGGAGATGCCCACACGGATATAAGGACCTATCAGTAATTAATTATTAGTTAAACAATGGCCCCATTTTGGATCTTACACCCTATGTGCTTACAAGTCCTTATAATCTTACATTTTGGGGCGTAGTTGGTTTAATCCTTCGGTGGAGCATTCATCATGTCCCACTAGTTAGTTACAACAGAAAGGACGCAGATTATGAAGCGTTGGAATATTTTTTCCTAATTTTTGTAATAAATAATATCTAACGTTGTAATCCGAGATGAAAAGTAACCGATGTCGGTTAATCCTTGCTTTGCGGTTGTCCTTACTCGGGGAGAGTTCATCATCCTTTGTATTCTTTGCGATTCAAAATCGCTTCATAACTTTTTCTACGGACAAACACCGCATTTGTTTATTCTGTCCTTTATCTTTTGTCCTTTTAGGTGGTTAATGTGGTTTTGCTTTGTATATAACGTAGAATTTTTTGTAAATTTTTCTTTAAATATAAAAGACTGATGTAATTTGATGTTTATATCACAATTTAATCAAGGGTTTGGTTCTCGGAGTCTTCGATTTCGCTCCTGAAGAGTTTGGGCGATGCGAATTTAAAGCAGCACGTCGTGATCGGCCATAACTTGTCGTCGATCGTTTTGGATTTTTCACATCGGACACGGTACACGCGTTACGCGCGTCCGCCAAAGGTGCACGTCGATGATAACAGCACGTTCGATAAGAACGCTAATGATATGGAAGGACGACGAAAACGATCCGCAAACGCACATTTCAGCAAGAACATCACCACGCTGCTGGAAAACCTCCTCAAGAACTATGAAAGCTCACAATTACCATCACATGGACAAGGTATGAGTAAAACAAGAAAAAGTTTTTGTGAAAAAATAGTTTCGGATGTTTAAATTTTAATATTTTAATCCCGGTAAATTCTGCGCTAGATTTTCGAATATGTGTGGAATGACACGCTTTAAACTCACTGGTGTAGTGTCCCGCACCCGGGTGTTTAACCCTCTGCGTTTGCATGCTAGCTATTTTGACCCACCATTACACGAATGCAGGTAATGTAACTATGAGGTTACAAAAGATCAAAGGGCGCAACGGTACGGATTTGCTGGCAGCCGGCCACGGTGTGTGTTCGGGCATTCTTAACGAGCGTGCCTTTTTATTACGTCATTCATTTCATTACAAACCACGACGTGGTAACTTCATATACTTCTTTGACTTCATGAACAACAAAAAAATAGCTTCTGGTCTACATCAGTGTTGTTTATAATACAAATATTTAAAGTTAAAACTTATTTCTTAAAAGTTAAAAATTTTAAAAACAAAATTTGGTTAAATCTGGTCCAGGATAACGGAAACCGTCAACATCGATTAGATTATTTTTTATAAGCTAAAGGAATTAATGGAAAATCTGCCACATGCAATTAAACTCATTGTATTTTATCTAAAATCTCGGTACCAATACCTTTTCATCTAGAAACATCAATTATTTCTAATAATTGAAATTAAACGTTGTGCATATCATAAAATCATCCTTATATGATTAGAATGTGATGCGATTAAGGGCGGGATGTGGCTATTATGCAAGCGATGTGAGTTTGTGAGATGGATTTAATTAAATATTAATTTTTCGTTATCCGTTGATCGCGTCAGTGTCCTGCCGAATATCCGCATTAGCGCGTTACGTCAGGGGTTTGTCCGAAAGCGAGATTAGATTCGTTCCAGGCAGCATCCTGGTGCCTGGAACTTGAAGTTGTTCCGATTCGTTTATTCATGAATTGTTCTGCATAATATAATGAATAATGAGATTAAAGCGAATAACGAAAGATTATGCAACTTTTTTTTTCATAAATTGAAAAACAACGCTTTAATTTCTTTCAAGTTTTTAAGAAAACATTTCAAAAACCATACCTTATATGCTCATGAAATAATTATTTTAAATAATAATTATGTTAGACTATTATTCTTCCAGAAAAAATAAGTACCTATTCAATTTAAGTTTTCAGTATTTTAAAAATTCGTTGTTACTTGTGATTCACCGTGCATAAATTATACTGAAATTGTTTGTTTCAAAGAATTCACTTTTGAGAAATCTAATTCATCATGTAATTGTGCTAATTTCAGACAAACCCACCGTTGTGAAGACGAACATTTTAATCCGTAGCATGGGGCCCGTCTCGGAGTTGGATATGGTGAGTTTGCGAGTTGGTTAATTTGGTAATAAATCTTTTTAAATTGGTATCAAATTTCCGCGTACATCAAATCATCATTTCTTGCAATTAGGTCATAGGTTTATACGCATAAAATATAATATATGCAGCCATTATAGCATAAACTAACATAACCAAAATTACAATTTCATAACCTTATATGAGGCAATTAAATTCACAATCTGTTATAAAAAGAAAATTTGGTTATAAGTAGAATATTGTACAATGAATGCAATTTCCTATGATAATATCCTTAATGAAACTATTATCTGAGATAGTTCAATATGAAACTTCGTTTACTTTCTCGCTGATAGTTCCGATTGTTTTATTATGAAAATACAAATTGTATGCGTCTGCGACAGGAATACTCGATGGACTGCTATTTTCGTCAGTATTGGCGCGACCGGCGATTGTCTTTTCTCGGCCCCATCAAGTCGCTGTCGCTTTCCATCAAGATGCTGGAACGCATCTGGCGGCCGGACACCTACTTCTACAACGGCAAAAACTCTTACGTGCACACCATCACCGTGCCCAACAAACTGCTCCGCATTAGTCAAGATGGCGACATTCTGTATTCCATGCGGTAAGAATATTGCTAACCATCAATTATATCAAAGTACCTTTGATGAAAATTTCAATCTCACAAACGCGGTGCGTTATTAATAATAATCTCAAATTAAAAATGTCCACTTGGTTGAAAGCAAAAGGGTTGTTATTAATGTGTGCTCATTAATATGCCGCGCCTGCAATTTTCATCGTCCGCAGGCTGACGATTAAGGCGAAATGCCCGATGGAGTTGCGCTCGTTTCCCATGGACCGACAATCTTGCCCGCTCATCCTTGGCAGCTGTGAGTAAACCGAATTAAATTTTTATTATCCTCAATTAACTTAATAAAATTAACACACTCACGAAAACACGCATGAAGAGGTGCAGTGAGGTCATGTCATGGTAACAAAATGGCAACTTTCGACATTTAGTTATATTAGTATTAAACTATAATCAAATTCTCAGAATTCACAAAAATTTAATTTTTACTTCTAGTAAATGACATTTCCATAATTCACTTGTGAATTATACAATTATATCTTTTATAGATGCATACACTTCCAACGAATTGGTTTATCAGTGGTTGGACGACGCCAGCGTGAGTTTCATTCCCGGAATGACTCTATCCCAGTTTGATCTGATGAGCTTTCCGTACAGGAATTTCACGTTTCGCCGGCGCGAAGGTAAACCGGAAGTAATGTCATTATCGCCTTTTCCACTTGTGAAAATCCACGCTCAACGTTTTTACCAGCTAATCTAGTTTCAAAAATTAGTCAAACGTGCATAATGCTTTTTATGACATTATGTTTGTTTAATTTGTAATTTCTAGGTGAATTTTCCGTCCTGCAAGTATCTTTCAATTTGCAACGACATACCGGATACTTCCTCATACAAGTATATGTCCCTTGCATACTGATCGTGGTCCTTTCTTGGGTGTCATTTTGGATTCATCGCGAGGCAACTAGTGATCGCGTCGGACTGGGAATAACAACCGTGCTAACATTATCTACGATAAGTTTGGATTCACGTACGGACCTGCCTAAAGTGCGTTATGCTACCGCGTTGGACTGGTTTCTGTTATCTTGCTTTTTCTATTGCATTGCCACTTTACTGGAATTTGCTGGAGTGCATTACTTTACTAAAGTCGGCAGTGGGGAGATCCCAGTTGACGAAGATGAGTGGGTCGATTGTATGGACCAACATGACGAAATCGTCGTAAGAAACCCCATGGATTTAGTGGATAATACTGTTATGGGAAACGGAAATGGCAATACTCATACTCGACGCAGGAGTTCTTTGATATGTCCTATTTATAATGTAAGTATTGCTTTACTTACTATATAATTAATTCAAGACAAATATGTTATTTTTACAGAACCCCGGATTAAATGTAGGCCTTCATTATGACCGAAGAACATCACTGACCAATAATACACCACCGCCATCTGTTCGTCTAACAATGGAGCGCCAAACTCAGACAGAATATCGGCTACCAAAATGGCGTCAGTTTTGGAAGTGTTTGATAGGTGATGATAAATTCCGTAAACAAAGACAAAGAGAAGCCGCTGGAAGTGGTGGAAGTGATCATGGCGCAAGACACATTAATAGTGTGTCATACATTGACCAAGCAGCAAGAGTAATGTTTCCGTTGTCGTTCACCATCTTGAATGTTATTTACTGGCTGATTTACTATACATATCAGGAGGACTTTAAGTGGGGTGATACGCCATTGCATTCTTTAAGCCATTAAACGCATTTTTCGTTTTCTTTTGGCGTAATAATTCAGTTTAAACGTAAAATTCATTCATATAATTGTGAATGTATTTATTATTCATCAACTCGGTGTAACCTTTAAATATTTTGTCTGAAATAGCTTTTGCTGCTACTGTAATCGTAGTTATTATGTGAAAATGCTTATCAATGGCCTAAAATAAATCAATAATCACATAGACATTTATTTTCCATCAAATCCTCATTATTTTAAACATTGATTATTACATTTAAGAACACGTCATGTCTAATACAGTTATCAACAGGTTGTTGTACTGGGGTTTCCGAATTTTCCTCTTACTGATACAACCAGGGAAATCTGCAGGCGAAAAGCCGAACTAGATTTTCCTCCCACGCAAAATTTTCTTTTCACATAAAGGTTTCTGCATTTTTCTTTCGTAAGAAAATCGATAAGCCGTATAGTATATAAAATTCAACTTGTCATTATTGTAATTATCTACTATGCACTACTCTACTTTTTACTCTATTGTTCTAAACTAGTTCTTTTCAGGATATTTGTAACTACCGTTGATGTGTTTTTTAATGTACCAATTATCTCCGTATATTTTTCCTTACAAACATTATACAATATTCATTTGTTTTTCTTTTTCAGTTGTAATTTTTACAGTGTATTAAATAAACGCTAAGCATCCTTTGACAATGTTACGTTAAAACTGGTTTTGTGTTAATATTAACAACATTTAGTTACTGCTTGTATTGTTTTAAGTTGCTGATGGAGTTGTTTGGAGAGCGTATTATTCACATCAGGCTAGAAACTGCTAGAAAATTATCTCTGTCAGTAATTTACATTTTACACATTGTTGCTTATCTCGAAGAAGAGTAGTATAAAATAGCCCTTATCATTTAAATACTATGAGTAATGAAAATAAAGTACATTTATCTAAAATATACGTCATTACATGAAGAAACTAGGAAGTTGTTGGCTTATATACAATTTTCTTTTCATTTTGATTAATTTAAAATTAAATTCTTGAATTTTTTTACAGAAAGCAAACCAAGTATTCGCCAAATATTTCTTTACGTCTAAGGCATGTTGGTCCAATATTTTAAGAGGTTCGTTTTCATTTTTTTTTACAAGAGAATAGTTTTCTGGTATTCTGTCAATTTTTGTTCTATAAGGCAACAAGCAGACTCGACGCAGAAATGGAGTCATTCAATCGTCCCAGTTCGGCGTCGTCGCCGCCCTTTGTCATTCGTCCCAGAGACAAATCTGCTTCTGGGGCACGTAGTATGAGAACAGGTGGCACTTGCGACATGTCTTGATGCCGCAGCGGTACGTCATCGCCGTGTTCTTGCTCTCACCCTTTCCTTTGCAGTATTTCAGACCGCAAGGATACCAACCGATGCAGAGCTCAAGGTGACATTGGCATGGCGACCATACCTTCTTCACCAGTGAGCAGCTGTCGATGTCGTTGGTGTGTGCATCAGCAGTATGCACCTCGTTTGCCAGACGGGGATCAGCCACCGTTGGGAAACGTTTTAAAACTTGAAGGTATGTTGCTTCAGGTATGCCTAAAACAACAAACAGAAACGATGATAGGGTGAGGTTTTTAAACCTTTTTCCTATTTTCACTATAACTATGCAGAAAATAAGAAGTAAAAAGTGTAACTTGCAAGATATAACTCAAAAGGTATTTAGCAGTCGGGATAAGCAGCGTAGACCCAGGACAAGACGTAATCTTCGACGGCATCGCGCATTAAGAATCGCCTTATCTTATAGCATTTTCCTCACAAAGCTTGGCATTTTCCGGAACCGTAGAAAAACAAGCAGAACGCGCCGAGATAAGTTCTTAATTTCGCTTCAAAGCAAAGTTTTATATCACCGCATAAAAAGCATGTCCGCTTCGTGCTTGCAAATTCAAAATTACGAATTTGACACAATCTACATACTACATTAGGCCTCAAACGAATACCCACCGAATTCGCAACGATTTCTTTCTTTTTTCAGTAAGCCACGAACGTAGTTTATTTGCCAAAGGCAGAAAACTAATCAACTAAGTCAACAACATCCGGCGCTTGATTGTCACGTCGCTGAGGGGAGAACAGATGATAAAGAATACAAACAAAAGAAGAAAAATACGAAAATAAAAATACACGACAGAATCAAATGAAAAAAAAAATTGAAATGAAATGAAACGCAATGAGCGATGAGGAGCAACAGTGCGTCCCATTGTCCCGGATGTTTTCGCTGGGCTGAAAATAAATAACAAAAATAACCGCCACGGTAAAATGTTAGCGCAAGCGAAACGAATGCATATTGTGCTGGCCGAGAGCATTGTGCAGCGTAATTTCGAATGAATTAAATTGCGCTCGAACGCACGCCGAACGCGGAATGCGGAATGCAATGTCGAATCGTCCGAGACGAGATAACCCACATTAAACCGTTACCGTTTGCAACACGAAATTGGAGAATTTAAGAAAACGAGAAGCAACTTAAATAAATTATCAGTTTAAATGGTTTAATTTTGCACAAAATGCCAACAAAAATTTCCATTACTATTGTACCAATAATCCGCCAATCATTATCTCCACAACCATCCTCTTACGAATCAGAGGAATATCTGCATGTGTGAAGGTAAACGGTGCTTGGCGACTTAAAAACTCGGCGATTGCACAGACAAAAACGCCACAATCACCCGCATGCTTATGCTGGGGTACACCACGTGCAGATTCCAACTTCCAATTATCCACATCCAGAACACTGCCTTGTTTATCCTCATACTCTACGTATAGATACTTCATGATAATATTTAGACAATTATTCACGCTCTTAGGACCACTATCATAATAAACGACTTTCTGTTCCGCCATATTGATGCAAATTAAACACCAATGCAACCCGATATGCATCGGTATAAAAATCAGCTCATGATGAAAAATATTCACTGTCTTAGTCCACTTTTTAGTTGAAAACGGCCCATCCTTCACTAATTTCGGATAAAACGACGAATCAAAACAATATACATCCGGGAAATTATTCAATGCATTACGACTACGCTCGATGATCATCTTCATGTAAAAGTTGATTATCTCGTTGTTCAACCAATTATTACCATGCAGCGTTAACATATCCCTGCGTATGATGGTCAGCTCGAATTTGCAAGCAAGTATCGTCGTGAGGCTGCGGCTCTCATCCAGGGAGTATGCCACGATAGCTTCCTGTTTTGCGTTGAGTGGACACAGTGAGTATTCAAGCTGGGCGCTTGTCGAGGCATCTCGAAAACTGTTGATTATCTCCGACGATTGCACGGTTAATCGTTGTCTTTTTTGTATGGGAAATGGCAACGCGTGAGCTCGCTCTTGACCTAGTCTCTGAATGAGTTCGAGGTCTTGTTCCCGGCGCTCACATTCAAGGACATGTTCCTTTACGATTTGATTCGCGAGTGGGGATAGGATTAAAACGGTTAATTTCGTAAAAATACTGCAGAGCTGACCCATTTTTACGTGAAATTTTGACACTGTCACTGTATCATTTTCATTGGCATCTTGTAATTGTCATTATTAATATTTTTGTTGAATGTGAAAATTTCTGTTAAAACAATGGCTTTTATCTCAACCTACCAAGCAGATTACAGGAAGAAAACATTCATAAAATCAACTCTAGCGAAGGAAAACCTTGACGAGTATAAGATATTACCGGAAGGTGCAGTTTGGTTAGATACAAAGATTAATGTTAAAGATGTCGGGTTAGAGCTATCTATTCAAAAAATCAAAGAGATGTACAGGAAACGAATGAAGTCAGTTTATCGCACTGATTATGATGGACAAACTTCGTTTGAGGCAGATCCTGCCGATGGAGAATCAAAAGAAGAAGTTGGTGATCATATGTTGGTAACGTGTAAGAAATTGAAGTTGAGCAAAGAGAAAGATCCTGTGTTGCCACCGCTAATTGGAGCTAGAAAGCTCTTCGGATATATGAATCCGAAATATTTCCATACGAATTTGACAGAGTATGAAGAGGAGCATGGAGTGAATGCTTGTAATTGGATGTTTGGTAAGGATTTGAAAGGAAATCGGGGGTTTTTGGATAAAGACAGGAAGAAAATTCAGGACAGAATTGAACAAGAACAAGAACAAGAAGTTTTTAATAATGAAGATACTAATTTGGGGAAAAAGAAGAAGAAAAATTTTAAATGTTGTAAATGCTCAAGTCAATAAAACATTTTAAAACATTTTTAAATAAAAAAAAATATTTCTTGCAATTTCTTCATATTTTCTCCCCTTGTGAGATTTCCTAAGACTACTACAAATATTTCAAAACCAAAATTTGCTAAATAGCCCTCACCGTTCTCGAGATGAACGTAAATTAATTTTTTACTAATGAATATTGAAGTACTCAGTACTTGTCAGTGATAGCGTTAATGGTCTCACCCTGTATGCGTCCGAACACCAACATATCCCAGGTAGCTACTCTAGTGTAGTTGTTAGTAGAGGATAGTTGAGGTTAGCAACACCCGATTTGCATACAAATTGCTTTCGAGCAGCCACTCGACCGCACGGATTAATTAAAATGAACTAATATCGCATGCTGAGATTTAACGGCAATGACGGTCCAGCAAACACACATCTCCTTGAGAGTTTGCACAATTAGAGCCAAACTGCGACCAATTATCACGAGTGATCTCGGCGATCTCCGACAACAAATTTTACGAGCACATTTGCATTAAGCGTCACTCGGAATTGAATTAAAATAATTACACTCATAAAAAATATGTAAATTCGAAGCGTTTGGCAAACGAGTTGAAAGTTGAAAGTCAACTTGCAAGCTGCTTGGGAAATGAAATCCGCTTATGTTTAATATTCTGCCGTTCAAAGCAATTTACAATTTCAAACGTGAGTTGCAAATGATCAAAAGATTTTGTGCTATTATAAGCTGCGCATTCAAACTGCGTCGAAACAATAGTAAAGTTTTTATGTTTCAATACTTGAAATATATTTTAAATCTCATTTAATGAGTACCAATCTTTTACTGGGTAAAAAATATCAACGATAGATGGCGCCCCATGCGGGTAAAAATAAAGATGCTACGCCACTGTATAAAATGTTGTTTTATTTAGACCGTTGCTCTGCACATAGTATTTTAATTAAAACTGAGTTAACTTGAAAGTACGAAAATAAATTCGAAGCATCCTTTTTGTAATTACGTAATCACCATTGTGAGATTTTAAGGATTTGAAGAGATTTGAAAATATTAAACATATAAATTTCCGCAGCATCGCGAGCAAACGAGAAAATGATATTGCCCGTTTCGTGCCATAAACGCTAAACGCAAATAAGTAAAAACCAAAGGACTGCACAGGAGTGCGAGAAACGGTGTCAGTTTTATTTTGTAACATCTGTTCGTTTTCGGGCAGAAAATTAATAAATTTCAAACAGCAACATTATATACTAAAGAGGGTGAATTGAGACACAGGGGGAAAAATTAACTGCGCAAGCTGGCGTCACGTGGTGGCGACTTTTATACAAAAACGAAATATGTTTCCTAAAATCCCTAGAAAAATAAAGTAAAGTAAATAAAGACTCATTATAACGCTGCGTGAAATTTTACCTCAAAAACTTTTGAAATCATAGATTATACAATTCGCAGTAATGCAAAACATTGATTTTCTACCCCACGTGGCCTTGGAAATTGTCTGAAGAAAACATCCAGCAACACCGAAAATGATGGGCGTAAATCGACATTATAACTCATCATTATAAACGAACAACATTATGAACTCGGAACGACTGCATTAAGCACATGCCTAACACGAAGACCGACGAATGAATGAAGAAACGAAGGAGATAAATTATCGTCCGCGCGGCAGCGGCGCCAGCAAACAAAGAAAACGCATTGTCGACGGCCGCCTCCGCGCCCTGCGACATTATGATGGAGATATAGTAAGATTGTAATACGTGAGCTATAAATGTTGAAATGTTGACGACGCGCCATGAATACCTCGCAGTAAATGCCACTAGCAGCAAATTCAAACAATGCTAAATGTCATGCGCATTATTAATGCATTTTATAATTATTAACCACACATACATCACCGATAGATGGCGTGGCATACGACATCCGCCATGTTATTATCCTCCAATTGAGGTTAGGTCATAAATTATACCTGATTGAATTACGGCCTATTCAACAAATCGATTGCGGGTAATTCCTTACTGGCGTCCGGCGAAGATAATCCAGATGGCGCGCATAACCAGCGGATGGTAATAAATCGATATGGTTTAATTAAAAGCAGAGCGGGTAAATTGATCCGCAATGTAAATAAATGGGTTTAGCTTATTTGTTGTTCATTTACATAAAACCAGAAAAATGTTGAAATGGCGCAAAATATTAAAAACGCAATGTAGGACGCTGTTGTCGTTTTTTGTCTGCTGCCATCCGCAGAAGAGGATGCGCTGCCGAACAATTCGCATTTATTTATCGCCGACCTCGTGACCGAGCGGCGTTGTTGCTGCCACTCCAATCTGCGAATTGATCGGCAATAAATTCGTCGGCGAAAACTCGCAGGACAACTGACGCACACCGCACCACTCAGGTGCGGCGGGCACAAGAGCGACGCCATTGTTCACGCTGACATCTATACATTGACATTACTGATGTTGATTTAATAACATCGATCATGGCAATTGCACGCGGCGTTCGTCATTTCGTGATTGGATAAATGCGCATCGTATAATTGCGTCGTATAATTCGCCTGATAAGAATTATACCTGACAGTAGGATTCATCATTCATCCTTCCTAAATATTTTTTATGATTATATAAAACTACGTGTCATAAATAAAAAATTCCAATTCTAAGCTACTCATAAAATTCAACCAGCGCCATCTAGTATAAAATAAAATACCTAAAATAAACGCAATCATTCTGTGTCGGTTTGAAATGTTAAAATGTGATTAAATCTCCAACTTCATGAAAATAATTTGTTGCGGAAGAACAATGAGCAATCACTTTGCCGAACAAAACACGTGTAAACAAACAACTCATTTTCAGGCGCGGTGCAGCCACGAATTCGAATTAATTTCGAAATAAACGCTTGCCAAATTAAAATCGCAGTCGCAATTAAACTAATGAACGTTTCGAACGTGTTGTTCGACCGGGCGATAATGAATAGCCGCGTCCTGCGTTTGATGTTAAAAAAATACAACAATACGAATAAAATGTTTTAAATTTTTGTACAAAAAAAAACGCAGAAAAAAAACGTTCGTCCTGCATCAACAAAAAACGGGATATCAATCACAGGCGAACACGGTGTTAACTGCGCGCACAAACATGCTAAACAGAGCTTTGAACCAGCATTAATCTATCACCTGATGCAACAATGGCGTCGGCGGCAACGCCATCAACACAAATATGTGCGCGTTTTCGGCGTGTGTGGCGTGGTAAAGTCCATAATGCACGCGTGTCAAAAAATCACCGCCCGAATATGGACGAAATGCACCCGGGAATAACAGTAGAGGGTGGTAAACATGGAACGGGAGTGAAAAATGGCCGTGTCATTTGCCATAATTCACAAATTTTGAAAAACCAACGCTTCGTCTGCTTTTTTGCCTAATAAATTATGAAAAATAAACGCCACCTGGTGTCTAGTAGAATTACTAATCCCACAGCGTGTCATAATGAACCTTTCACCTTTCAATCTGGTAATTTGGGAGCCCCGCAACAAAGCCCTTACTTTAATGCGTCTCGTCGTCATTTTTTTCCACTGTTGATTAATGAAAAGTTGCGCGCGGGCAGCGACGTTCTTGCGATCGTTCATTTTCATTAAAAACGGACTACGCTTGAGGTTTGCGCATCCAATGCGTATATTTATAATGGGTTTATGAAAATCCATATAAACGGCCGCGTTCCGCACACTCGTATATAGCACACACGCGAACGCTTTTATTTTATTATGATAATTAATCCGGCCGGCGCCTCCGCCGCTAACGCGGAGAATTTAAATTTAAACGCGTGCAAGTGTAAAAACATTAACTCAACAATAACACGCCGAGCTGGTGCCGAGCGCGTGCATTTAACCAAATAAATAAATTCGTTTACGTTGAGTCAGTTAAAATAATAATACAAATTCGAAATAATTGAATTCGTTTTTTAAATTTTATTTAACACAATAAACATTATATGAACATGAAACAATAAAAAACCGACTTGCAACTTCCAAAAGAGAAAAACGCAAAGTTTATAGTAAGTATCGCCATCTATCGTCCATATTTTTTTCATAAAATTTTTCTTTTTCGTTGAAATTCGCTAAAATTTCACAAATTTCACCATCAATATAATTCCCATATACACGAATTTCAATTTTTGTTTACTTTCTGTATTTACCGCATCCCCATCACCCTCACACCACCCACAGAGACAGTATTGCTTGTTTATGTTGCTGAGCTTATTGCGATTGGCGCTTTCTTGTTCAACAACAGTATAATACCCGCATACGGCAATACTCCACAGGATATTTGATCGAAATTTATACGTGCGATTCATACGCCCATTCCGCCTGCGTCCATATATAGTGTTTACAAACGTGCGGTGTACAACATACCTATATTTTCGTAGGTGTATTGAAAGCAGGCGAAGCTGGAGAGGTTAGCACAGAGGATGGGTGACGCGCCATTACTGGGCGTTTTAGTGGCCGTCGTCGTGCCGAAAATGGGAAATGGAATACTGCCCCGGCTGTGACATTAATTTCCGCCCTTCTTCGTGCGCTATCAAACTCTCCCCCAACCTTTTGGAGTCTCACACCACATGTCTAACTCATTCGTTCAAGATGCGCGCGTTACAAATCGAAATTACGTAACGCAATACCATCTATATGTGGGTTTTTGTATCGAATACGTGCATAACCTATAAATTCGATTAGAGCAAGAATTGCCATTATTATGCATTACATGGCAGGTGCCACCTCTGCTTCTGCCGTCGACGCCATTACAAGGTAATTGTACATTAGGTTCTATTACGGTTCTCGGCAAAACCGGGAAACGTATCTGCAAAGTGCCATTCCATTTCTCACTAAGAATATGAACCAATGAAATTTCACATTCAGAATTCAGACATTTCAATTATTTCCTAGACATGCTATTATCCTTTATTAATTCCACAATATCACCGTTTCAAATTACAAATTATGTCAAAAATAAAACGTTATACACGTCTCAATCGCGGTCCAGTCTATTAACACTATATTAAATGCATAACCTCAAATTCCTTGTATGCAACAAGCTAAAAATTATATTATACTACCAACCGAACTCCCGATATAGTTGCATGTATTGTGTATGTGTGAAAACACGCTTCCATTAAATTTGAATGTGCGAATCGTTGGTATTGAACGCATTGATGTAAACGATATAACAGCCCGTGGGATAGGAGAACCCATTCAAAAAGCTAACCCGCTAGTATATTGTATAGTATTGGTTATGTTCACAGTGTGCGTAGGTTATGGGCGTTTGTGCGGTTGTGGTTGAATAGCAAATTCGCTCCTCGAACCGACTCCATTCCCGGCGCCGGTTCGCACAATGCGTCTGATCAATTTCCGCTTTTATCCGGCGGGCGTATTCACCACCTCACATTATAACCCCAATTCCTGATTCTCCGCTTTATTTATTCACCAAACAACACACCGCGACACATTTACCTTTTCGCAAAAGTTGTTTATTTCGGCGGTTAAAGTTCGATTGACGATTTGTACCTGTCTGAAAAGTTTATAGAAACCCGGGTTAATCCGTACCCGCATGACGCGCAGGCAGTTGGCGAAACTTTTCTGCGACAGCGCCGGCAATTCGAATGTTGTGTCAAGTTGTCGCGCTTGTCTGCTTTTGTTTGCTAACTGAATTGGAGGAGATTCAGGTATGGGAGAACGGCGCCGGCTCAGGAGAAAGAAGGTGTTGATGCAGAAACGTAGATTAGCAGAAGGCGCGTCCTGCGCGTCGTTGTCATCCCTTCTCGTGACAACCTGACACCAAATACACTCTCACCACTAGGAAACTCACTCAAAACTAACATGTATATTCGCCGTCTATATTATCAAGCCTCAGCATTGTCATATCCTGGGCGCGCAGGATAAATCCCAAAAAACAGAAAAAATACAAAGCGTTGACAAAAAAATAATTATCTAAAAACACGCAATACATTTTTAAGCGATAATTTTTTTACTGCTGACTTTTTCTAAGACACCCTGTATACACACGTTCCTGGCTGAGTTCTGATAAAACTCGAGACGCTTAAATTAACTTCTCAACAAACGAGGACGCTCCGTCGACGTCGACATTCCGGGCGCCGGGTTCAAGCTACGAAGGATGAGGCATCGAAGCGCATCGGAGATTGTAGATGTAGAAGGATTGCGCGACGCGAGTAAAAGTGAAATTTGAATAAGTCACGTTTGCCCTCCCGCAGTGCCCTATCACTGCGTATTATTTAAGTTTAAGATACGAGTCCAATTTCAACTTTTCGTGACTTCCCAAGCAATACATGCAGAAATGTAAAATTTATTTTAGTCTTACCTTGATTGACGGACCAGATTTGAATATCCTCATATCGAGTGTAGCTGCTCTCGGGGGCTTCCGCGCAGAGGTCTGCAATATGCGGGGAGATAATCCCCGCCAGTGTCAGATCAACCGCATAGTCCATGGTGAAGTTCTCACGTCCTCGATCTTCTTCGGGGATGCGTACTGTTGTGGGGTTCTTCTGACGCAGCTTGGACATGGCGTCCGATGAAATGAATGCTTCCTTCGGGAAGTGAAAGATGAAGCACATCACCTGGTACTGGCTTTGACCACGTTCTTCTTCGCCGAGTATCAGTGCTTTTAGAATTTGCACTTCCTGTAAATAAAAATAAAAAATTAGAGAATTTAGGGCATAAGGTGAGATAAGAGAGATAAGAATGTTTGTCAAAGTTAGATTGGGGATGGGAGTTGCATGTGCTTTGATTAGTTTCATCCGGCTGACTCAACCGCATGACCTGGTTGCAGCGCGCTGCCAATCGGAAACGCATTAGAATTGTTAATTACCCATTTGGAAGATGAGATCCGCGCTTACAGTCTGCTTCTGAGACAGTTCCCAGTGTTCCCAACGATCATTATACCAGGTCCGGACCTTGGTACTAACAATAGTTCAAATTTAATAACAAAATTTATCCTCTAAAATAAGAATACAGCAGTTTTCTAATAAAATTTTGTTGAATTTTGTTTTGAGGTACAAAATCTGTTAAGCCGGTTCTAGAATTCCCAAACTCCCAATTCTAGTTAACAGTAACTACAGTTGTTGCATTTGATTTCCTCATAAAGTAGTCTTCTTTCTTAAGACATAATAATAGCTAATCATTAGCTAGTTGCTTACTTGTAGCCATGTAATTTCTGGACTTGATTAGCTCCCGATTCCTGAGCTTGTAAACTGCTAATCCCGGGCCCGATTCAATTAGTCCGCATGAACAAGGCAAGTGATATTGAATACTAATTGTTCCGTCACGGTCCAGATTCGAACGCGGGTGTAAATTCCTCTTCCCACTTCTCCTCCCCTTCCTTTCCTGCTCGTCCAACTGGTTTTATCTCTACAGCCGAGGCTGCGTCAATTATTATTGTAATCAGATGGTAATCCGCGAGTCTTACTTTAGCGGATTAGCTCCTTAAAAGGATTAACTGAATATTCAGCATGACACCCATTGACCCAGCGGTAGCGGCAAACGGGGTGAGGGTGGTTCGCCAGTTGGCAGCCGGGTAGTGCTTTCATTGTTACAAGTGTACGTCGACGGTGTAATGCACTCCCTCGACGAGCGGCGATGAGCGAAAAGGCGCATACAAATTGCCGACTTCGGAGAGTTCTAAATGCAAATGCTCTGCGCCAACCCCCCACGCGCGTACAGCAACCCTTTTTGCTACATTTGGACGCTCCACGCCTTTGGTCGTTTTGTTAATTGTTATTTGAGTTTGTACAAAAACAAAACTCGGAGATAGCGCGCGTATGAAAATGAAATTTCTTCCGTTTACAGCAAACTTAACATAAAATCATCCCCTGGATGCTTCCCACGCTCGTAGTGCATGTGCGCTTAAACTCTCCGGCGTAGAGCGTGTTATCTAGAAAAGTAACGATTATGGACTTCATTTTTCACTAAATGCTTTAAGTGAATTTTGATAAAGAGACCGGAATGAATGTGCAAGCGGGTGATAAGGGGCGAAACGTGCTCAGATTAGTAGACCAGTCGAGCAAATAAAAGATCACGAAGAATACTTAGAAGCGCGAGATGAATGCAAGGCAGGACTTTGAGATCTCACGCTTTCAATGCAAAAAGAACAAGAAATAGAGATGATAAATTGTTCCATGAGTGTATAACTCGAATTGGGATTCAGAACAATGAAAATCAGAGAAGAATAAACTTAAAATTCAAAAATAAACATGAATAAATTTAGTTACACTCGAACATAAGTCAATATAACCGTAATAAGTCACATTGCATCTTAATTCTATTTGAAAATGCTTTCAAATAAATAGGATTAAACATTGCGTGCTTGGCGTAACGTTGACAGGAAACCCGATTATCGCTAACAGGTAAATTTATCAGCGAGCTGGGATCAGCGGGTGGAAATTAAATATTTTCGTGTTCGTGCGCTTTTTAAAAGCCGGCCGCGTCGTGACGGCACGTTCGGGCCGAGTACGTGTAGAAAAAATAGTTAAACAGCCCTCAAGCGAGTGGCCACTCCAACGCTATCCAATTTTCCTGCGGCTAGACTTAAGTATCCGACATGTATCTAAGGCTGGCAGGTCTTCAAGGGGTGAGCAAAATGCTCGCGTGTGGAAATAAAAACATACGTTGCACAAGCACGACTATCGTGTAATTCCAATTTTATCTAGAAGCTATTTATTATACATTTATACAAAGGGTGCGAATTAGGGGTAGTTCTAAGAAATTAAATGGAAAGTGCTAAAAAATAATCAGATACGCATAGTAATCACGTTTCTTTTTATTTTACATTTTTAAATTGTGGAAATAAATAAAATTCTATAAAAAATAATCGTAGATTGTAATATTTCATGCTTACGTGCACTCTGCACTAAAATATGTTGAGTTTTGTTTTCGTTGCATTCCGCTGGAGGCCAAGGGGTGCAATTCACCCCTTAGACGTAATAAAAGTAGGTTGTGTGCGCCGGTGTGAGGGTTGTTGGTCTGGTCATGATGAATTTTACACAAACAAAACGATAAAATGCGCTCGTCTGTGCGCGCGCTCGCAATTTACTTCAAATTGTGTTCGCAACCCTTACGAACACAACGCGGTGGAAATGGAAAAAACAAGCAGCGGAACAAAAACGCATCCGCAGAGTTTAATTAATTTAAAAAGATGCACGCGGCTAGTGTCGGCGCGCAATTAGCATTCGCGAATTATCGAGCCGTTACCTGCGGGGGTGTTTAATGCCCCTATCGTTATCCGCTAACAAGCACTTAATGCGAATGCGATTCGCAGCAGGGAAGGTAAAATGGTAAAAAGAGCGCGCACTGTTTGAAAAAAAAGCGCCAGCCCACGGCTACGGTTACGACGAACAGCAGGTGAAAAATAGAATGGTGAATGGGGAATGAGGAAATGCGAAAACAAGGAAGGAATTTAAAGCGATTAAATATACATCGAATTACACGATAAAACCATTAAAACGAAACGCGATGCTTAACGGCACAGCCTCTTGAATTTGGATGCGAATACGCACAGGCTTTCAACAAAAAAACAGACACATCCGGTTTTCCGGTTTGAAAAATCATAAATTTAAACTTTCCAAACCAAATTTATATAAATACTGACCTACAAACACAAATCTAGTTAGATGTTCAAAACCGAAGCAATAAAATCATTAAAATCGTTCTTTCCGGTTTCCGTGAAATCAGATAACCTCCAACGCCTGCATTGCAGTCATGCTGCAATAAAATCGAAGCCGATGAAGTTCGACCGGTATTGTTTGCTTATCCAGCTAGTAGCCCCGTCTGCCAATTGGGCATTAACCATATGATAAAGTCCATTATTCTTTTTTAATGGGCCGGAAGTGAAACGCACGGCACCATCATGCTGGCAAATGCGGGACGCGCGAGTTTTATGTGCGAAACTTTTGATTGTGCGCAATGAAAAACATGAACAAGTCACCAGTGCCTATATGCGCGGGCATTCAAAGTCATCGAAGCCGGAAAACTGGCATCCGGTGAAAAAAACACAACCCCCCGAGTGTTATGAGGTGAGAGTGTAGCTTTTACGCGAGTAAAGTTTAAATGCACAGAGAAAAAAATCAACAGGTCATCATTTTTTAATTAAAAGTTAAAATGTGCTCCTCCCACTTTGTGGGCGGAGCTAATTTATAATCCCAGCAGGAAACACATAACATTTTAATATTATTTTAAATTTTAGATATGAATAATAAATGAATAGAGTGTAAACATTTCATATTTCCGTCAAAAATAAATATTTTATGCCTTTCATTAATTTCACCCCTTCATAAAATAATTCAAACAAAATACATAAAATTGTAAACTACACGTAATATTAGTAGATTTTAATTATGCAAACAATTGCATGAATAAAAATATGTAAAAAAAACCAGCGCCAGCAAACGTGTTTCACTAAAGCATAAATTTAAATTTTTAAAATACAACGCACTGTTCCATGAAAACAATGTTTTTCACTCAAAAACGTATGCAATCACGAAGGGCTGGGGCTGCGGCCTAAAAAATTTATCGAACATTTTATTTTCGCATAAAAATTCACGCGACACGAATGCAAATATGTTTTAAATTAAACAAAAAAAAAACATGAAATACTCAACACTGGTCACAATCAACCCTTATGACCCCCTTACTCACCCCCTAAACACAACCCGTAATAGAAGGTGGAATACATTTTGATATTTCGATATAACAAATGTCAAAATCCGGAAATGTGCCACATTGCAACATCGGTTCCACCCGGGGCAGGGGATGTTTTTCCTGAGGGGATGTATTTTTATTAGCGCAACTTGATAAACACCCGAATTGTGCGCGGTTGTGGATTGCGGATGGTGCCGCGTGAACGAATCTCACGCGCAAAATCAGCAATTAAATCCCGGCTAATTACACACGCCGCCATCGACGAGGGGTTGGTGGAGCGCATTAAAACGCACGTCCATTTGTTTATATTTCCATTCCTCATTCGTGCGCTTGCTCCCTCGATAAAACTGTGCGCCGAGCATTTGAATATTTGAGTGTTGGAGTATTAACGCTGCATCAACAAGGGGGTTGACCATTAAACTCGGCGAGGGTGGCAAATCTGTTAGAGTTAGGGTTGTTTTTCGGTCATTTGCCATCACATCACACCGGCCACATTGTTATTATTTCCCAAGAGATTACGAAATTGTTAAGGGAGATGAAAATAAAACAAAAATAAATAAATTTATTTTAAATTATTAAAATATTTAACTTAAAATTAATATTTATTTATTATTTTGAATTATTTTCATAATTATACTCATTTATGCTCCGCCTAGGTTACGCCCACTGGAGGTGAGTAAGAGGCGGAGCTTAGAATCGAGGAAATCACTTAAAAAGCGCTAAAACTTGAACTTTTAAAACATTTAAAATGCGCAAAACTTTTCTTAGTTGTTCCACGTGTAATCCCATGTTTCTGACGGCCGGAGACAGAATTTAATTATTTAAAACGAGCGAATGCGAACACATCGAAAATTGAAAACGAAGCTGCGTTCCGTATCAATCGCGCATGGGAATTTCCCTAGAGATGCGCCGATGTAAAGCGATAGCTTCCCGACCCATAACATAACGGGCCCGGAGAAAATTAGGAAAGTTCGAACAATCTCCGGGTTCGTCTCAGCCCCGACCGCCCACCGACGCGGGCTGCCAACGAGTCGTCGGAACAAATCTGCCACTTTCGGGTTCAACGATTCCGATATCAGAGAGCAACTATTTCGATCTCGCAAAAAACCTTTTACTCGTAGATGTCATCAAACGTAGCAAAATATTAAGAAAAAATTGTAAAAAAAAGTATTTTTTTAAATTCACACAAAAATAATACGAAAAGATCAAGATCTCATATCAAGGTGATATGAGGGGTTGATAGGGTGAAACGTACGAATGTCAAATGAAAAGGTCGATCGAAGGGCGCGTTGGTAGTGGTTGCCGTGCGTGATCGCGTGTAAAGAGAAGCAGATTACATGGCGGAGCTTTTTATTTTGGCCGGAAATTGCTACCCAATACCGGGGTCGTCGGCGACATTTCACCCCCGCTGATAAGAGGCGCCCGTTTGCGCACCGCGCGTATATCTTACTGTCGCCCGAACACAATGCACATAATATGGGCCACAAAAAAATTCACACAAAAAACCACCTCAAACAAAAAATTGTAGATTATGGAAAATTTGAAAAATCTCTATCAGATGAAAACTTAAAAAAATTTAATTCAATGGGGTAAAAGGTCTAAAACTGCGACTGAAAGTGCTAAAAAGTGACATTTTACAATTTTTGCCCATTTTATTCAAACGCGAATATCTCGTAAACTAAAAGAGATAAATAAGATCTGATCGCAGCGTCTTAATCTACAGACTATTCTCTTTAAGATGAGATAGTTAAAACAGAAATCTGAGAGATAAATTTTCATTCTTAAGAAAAAATTGCCAAGGGGGGGGTGCTTGATACTTTTTTTCGACGATTTTCATAAATTAATATCTCTTAAACTAAAAGCGATTGTAACCAACGAATCACTGATTATGAAAGATTGGAACATTCTCTATCAGATAAAAATATAAAATAATTATATTTCCTACAGTAAAAGGTCGAAAATCGCGACTGAAAGTGCTAAAAAGTGACATTTCTCAATTTTTGCCCATTTTATTCAAACGAGAATATCTCGTAAACTAAAAGAGATATTTAAGATCTGATCGCAGCGTCTTAATCTACGGGCTATTTTCTATCAGATAGGAGAGTTAAAAGAGAAATCTGAGAGATGAAATTTTCATTCTTAAGAAAAAATTGCCAAGGGGGGGTGCTTGATACTTTTTTTCGACGATTTTCAAAAATTAATATCTCTTAAACTAAAAGTGATTGCAACCAACGAATTGCTGATTATGAAAGATTGGAAAATTCTCTATCAGATAAAACTATGAAGTAATTATATTTCCTACAGTAAAAGGTCGAAAAACGCGACTAAAAGTGCTAAAAAGTGACATTTTACAATTTTTGCCCATTTTATTCAAACGCGAATATCTCGTAAACTAAAAGAGATATATTAGATCTGATCGCAGCGTCTTAATCTACAGACTATTCTCGATAAGATGAGATAGTTAAAAGAGAAATCTGAGAGATGAAATTTTCATTCTTAAGAAAAAATTGCCAAGGGGGGGGTGCTAGATACTTTTTTTCGACGATTTTTGATAATTAATATCTCTTAAACTAAAAGCGATAGCAACCAACGAATTGCTGATTATGAAAGATTGGAAAATTCTCTATCAGATAAAACTATAAAATAATTATATTTCCTACAGTAAAAGGTCGAAAAACGCGACTAAAAGTGCTAAAAAGTGACATTTTTCCATTTATGATAATTTATTTTAATTGCGAATATCTCGTGTTCATACGGTGCCCTGAACACGAGTCTCTACCGCTAGCCTCGTAAGGTGCCCTGAATGGAGTGACTTCTATCGCTAGCCTCGTAAGACGCCCTAAATCGAGTCACTTTTACCGCTACCCCCGTACGGTGCCCTGAACACGAGTCACTTCTACCGCTACCCTCGTACGGTGCCCTGAACACGAGTCACTTCTACCGCTACCCTCATGCGGTGCTGTAAACACGAGTCACTTTTACCGTGACTCAATAAACAATAAACTAAAAACTTTTAAACTAAAAGCGATAGCGACCAACGGATTGAAAGTTATATTCACAATTTCAAAATTTATTCAAATTAATTATTCGCGTGAAACTGAACGCAATTAATGCGGCTATTGATGATTTATGACCTACCCCATTTGGAGGAATTATAACTCCACCTGTCATTAAGTAAACATAACATGCGCTCCGATCGGCGCCCGTAATTTATTATCGATTGCGTTTTGTTATTCATATTCCGACGGACGAGTAATTACATAATTACCTGCGCACGACGCGCGCATTAATATTTGCAACATATCGCTTTCGGTAATTAAGCTCTGGAAGCATATCGGTGTCGCAATAATTCGGCATTAATCTCCGGCGGTAATTTTTCGATCGTTAGTCTGGCAAGGAACCCGATAGCTAATGGCTGTTAATGGCTAATGGCCAATGGGGTGGAAGGCAGGGAATGTTGTCTGGCTTTCCAAATTTCTCTTTTTTTGAGCGGTAAATCGCCGCGCGAGCTTAATGTGGGCGAAATTTCGTTTTGGAACGTATATAAGTTGGGGTGGATTGCTGGTGGAAATTAGTTACGATTTGTTACTGCCTACGACAAGTACAATTGCAAAGTGTAGTACTAACTATTGTCCAAATAGTTATCTTAAAATGGCGGATATTCATTCACTGAAGAAATTTCTTGGCGTTATTTTGGTAAGTAAACGTTTTTTTCTAAAGTTTTGTAAAAATTTGTTCTAAGTTTTGAAAAAATCAGCAAAAATTGATTTTTCTTCCTTTTTAAGGCTGTTATCATCTCTCTTCACATAACCTCAACATCAGCGGCTCGAATGGACATTGCCAACATGGACTACGATCAAATGCTCTCCCTCCTAGCCGAACAAGAATCCGAATCACCACAACCATCAGAATCAGATGAGATTCCATACGAATCAAACAACGTTCCGCAATATTACACCGCCGAAAAACATTTCAATATCCAATCATCACCCCCCAAACCCCCAGCACAATCAAATGGCAAACGTGTGTCGTCGAATGTCGACTTTACGTTTACGAAACCTTCGGCCAGTTCAATCATCGCCCCGCACGTGGAGATTTTACATATTGTCGAATCGTTCCTGAGGCTCAAAGGCGAGATGGCCACCCGCATTCACGCGCTCATCAACGACAACTTCGACCTCTTCCAGAGCATCTACAACGTGATCGTTGCCAAAGCGTCAAAGCTGCACGGTTTCACCCTGATGGGTATCAGTGTGATTAGGAAGATCCTTGAGTTCGCCGTGCAGATGATCGGCACGTGGGAGGTGAACGCGCCGAGTGTATCAATTGGGGTTAATAAAGTGTTTAGTGCACTGGGGTAAATTAAAAACCGAGAGGTGAAATTTATAATTGATAAGCAGTGATTATACTAATATAATTTATTTAAATTTATAATAAAACTCGATAAAACTTTATCTATGTGAATGTTTTTTTTGCAAAATTTTTACAGCAAAGATAAAATTTTGAAGAAAAAATTTAAATGAGGAAAATAATTAGTTAGCTAGTTAAATATATATAATTTAATAGTTACAATTAAATGATTAAACTATTGCAATACTAATCAATAGCTTCATATCCATTTCAGTGCATAATTCAACAATATTCCACATTAATTATGCAACTGCGTATACATAATTTTGTAATTTCGTGCAATGAGTATTTTCCACCCCTTCCCTTTGCAATTCAAACATTTTATTAGCATATTAGGTTATTAGTTTTGAATCATTTCGAAATGCGGCATGAAACCCACTAGAATTATATTAATTTCGATTTAATATGAATTTTCTCCCTCACAACAACGCCAAATTGCTTCGAAAGTAGAAATTGACTAAAATAGTTCACAAATAGGTTACTGGAGTAAAAGTTTCGGTCGCGTGCTAATATCCAATGATTTTGGTTGTCATTCGCACTGATTGCGTTTATACGACTGGAAGAGGGGTGAATTTAATTTAGTTTCGTTTTAATCGGATCAAGAACAAGTTAAGAACGCATTTAAAAATAAATTTAACTTTATAGTGCAGATAAAAAGTTTTTATTAGACCAATTGTTTAAAAAATAAATGTTAAAACTAATTATACCTGAATTTTTGTCAGAAAGCAAAAAATGTGATAAAAATCAACTTAATAAAATTCCTCAGCTGATTTAAATAATAAAAAAAAATCAAAAAAAAATTTTCTAACTCAAGAAACATTTTTCCGCGACTCCTACGAATGAAATAATTTATGAATCAAATGTGTAAGGTGTAATGATGCGTGTGTAAAATATGAAAACCCGAGAAATGAATAAAATAAAGATAAAAGCAATGAATATACGCAGGAAATATAATGAAGGCAAGTATAAAAGTAGACACGAGCACATAAAAGTAACAAAGATAAGAAGAACGGTAAGAAAAGAAAGGTGATTCAATTCGGAAGAGTTGCGGTGCTACATAAATCTACGCGTAACAGCAGAATGAACCCCACACGCACATTTTTAAGGTTTAGGTATACTGTTCAAGGCACAGGTCTAAGCTTAGCTAACATTTTCTTTTCTGCTTTACTTAATAAAGTAAATGTAAGACCCCCGCGTTTAATACCGTTATTTATACCGTATCATATTGATGCACTTTGTTTTTATTTGTATTACGCAACGACGCGCAATGATGAATTGCCCTTTGTGTATTTTATCTGCAACCCGCGTCAGCGGGGGGTTGGACTGCAATCGGTTTCCAACCGTTTCGCAAACGGATTTGTAAATAAATAATCCAATCGTCTTGCTGGTGTCATGAATGATTTATTAAAGTAATGTTCTTTACGGTATATTGCGAAAAATATTGAAAATTTAAAAAAAGAAAAATGTGTTTGAATAGCAAGAAATTAAATAATAACACAAAAGAAGTTTTGTACAAGCTCCTCCCCGTGACTAAAACCAGTGACTAATGTACTTTAGTCACGGTCGTATATAAAGTACCACTTTTTGTATCACAGAACCGTGAAAAAATTGACGCTTTAAAAGTGAAAGTAGAAAAAATATTTTCAAGCAGTATTGCGTAAAAGTCCAATTTTTGCACCTTCATATGACCCTTTAAACTAATCCTGTTTTAATTGCACTTGTGTACTTTTTCTTTGTTGTATTTGTTTGTTAATTAAACATGTTGGGGTATAACCCGCCTGCCAGGTGTCCTTCGACTTTAATTTTCTTTAATGTCGACCGCCCTCGGAATCGGGCAATTAGTGCACGACGGCGCTGCGTGCGCGGCATTATTGAATGGCCGCCTCTTTTATTAAAAGTATTAAAACGCTTAATTGCACGCGGGCGGAGGCCGCGGGTTTGTTGTGCACAGCAAAAAGCCCTCCATGCTTTCATTTCATTCCGCGCCGGAATGGAAGATTGAGAAAATTTCCACTTTACGAATAGCACTAGGCGCAGCGCTAGGTGCTGCTACATGCACCTATACAAGTTAAGGAAATGAAAATTAGCCACGACCCTCAAGCGCTCAACACTCGACGATCCGGCATGATTACGCAATGAATGCTATTAGTTCCATTAGTGACTGAATAAGGGGTGTAGCGGGCGAACAACATGCAGGCAGTGAAATAAAAAAAATCAGAATTACAATATTTGTAAATTCGATCAGAGCGAAATTAGAAATCTGCCGAATATTATTTTTATGTTGTGATGGTATAATAGCAAAAATGATGATCAACTAAATTGGATTTTGTATCGGTGATGATAATAAAAGTAAATAACAGGATATAAAACGAAATGAAACCAACAAAAACGTGATAATATCAATGACAATATTTCAACACATTTATGCTACATTAACTTTTATCCACGACTTCACTCGAATAGATTTTAATAAAATGTAGTATTACTAATTACTTTCTTGCTGCTTATGCTAAAATATCAAGAAAATATTTTAAAAAATCATGTGTGCAGTTCACACGCGGTAGAAGTGAAACCTTCAGAACACTGCACTGCGAGAGAATCAGACAAAAATAGTATGATGATAATTTTTATAATAAATTATTTCACCTAATGTAAAATTGTTAGTTATATTCAAGACTTAGGAATTGAGGAATATTTGTTTAAATTTACGATGCCAATATAAACTGCAAGATGTGGTTTTATTCCAAGAAATAAAGATTCGATATCTGCAGGTAAACAAACTTATCTCTTGTGCGAATTCGCGAGATCCACACGGACAAGGTGGGCACTCACTACCACCGACAAGCAATATTTAACGCGAAAACGTGCATCCTAGTGCCATCTATCCGACTATCTAGTAACAGCAGGTTAAAACTCAAAACACATTTTATCAAATATGCAACAAAGTTGATATTGCAGGAAAATGCCAATCATAAGCAATTTAATAATGTTTAGTTAAAAGTTACTTACACCAGCCCGTTCGGTCATCCAAATTATGAATCAGCATGGACACAATACACTTACGCGCAAATAATAAATAACTTCACTAAAGTCACTAAAGTCAAGTTACAATTAAATAGTCGATCAATGATCGAATATAATACGAATTGGAAAGTAGAAGTCCGGATAAACAATACGAGTCGCACAAAACACGTCTGGATCAACCAGAAACCGGCACGAAACTGGCCGCAAACTGCATAAGCAACCACGAGGAAGTTTATGATAAGACAGCAAGAGGTGATATCACGCGACCTTATGTGCGAATTGCATTAGTCACTTTACCTGGGATCAAAACTAAACTAAGATGCAGCAACATGCGGCGTGAGGTGCTGACAACGACGACATACGGCAATGTGATAAGAAAGTGTATATTGTGTTCAAACAAACATGATTTTTGTGTCGAATTCTCACGCTTGCTGATATATAGAAATAAACAAAACAAGTTTATTTTACAATTTTTAGTCCATACTATTGCCATCTATAAATTCGATTTGCGTAATTCTGGTTTCTTATGCTGACAGATTGCCAGATTTTACATCAAATATTTAAGTGTTATTTAATTTGAACATGCATCGTTTCTCGTTTCTCGTTTTTATAATAAACTATTAAAAGTAATATAAAATTGTTAGTTATATTCATGAAAGAATTGAAGAATATTTGCGATGCTAATATAATAAACAGCAACGGTGTGTTTTGATTCCACGAAATAAAGATTCGATACCTGCAGGTAAACAAACTTATCTTTTACGCGAAATCGCGTGATCCACACGGACGCAGTGTGCACTCACTACCACCAACAAGAAATATTTAACGCGAAAACATGCATCGTAGTGTCATCTATCCGACTATCTAATAACGGCAGGTTTAAATTCAAAACACATTTTATCAAATATGCAACAAAGTTGATATTGCATGAAAATACCAATTATAAGCAATTTATTAATGCCTATCAAATCCCAATATTGATTTAATTTATACTCTATGATACAATATTCGATTCTAAAGAAGTTTTCACTTCAAAATTAAATAATTTTTATCTTCCATTAACTTTTCGCTTATTTTTTTTTATTAAATTGAGATTAAATAATTCTTAATGCAATATAAAATCTAATTTTATATTTGATTGAATTTTGTTCCCATCCCTCATCGTGTCTTCATCACTTTCTCTTTGCCGTTTTATTCGCTTGTTCAAGTTTCCTATTAAATTTCGGTATTATTGCATTGCTTTATTATTATTCACTTACGCGTATTTTCTCCGGCTATAATAATCTTCGCCAGCTGCAGACGCTGAATTGAGACCGATGGAATTTCTTGATTAAATTCCCCCGATGCTATTTGTACAACTCCAGAGAGCAAGAAAACAAGAAAGTGAATGGCGCCGATTATGAACTCGCATTTTTTCATCAAAATGTTTTTATTTTACATGTTCCTTAACTTTTAGTCCTTGACCTTAGTTATTACCAAAATCACAAAGTTACGAGTATAAACTTTTCGGGCCCGTGAACACACAAAACAAGCAAATAATGATGACAAACGATAATATAGCGTGCAAATTTTCACAAACCATCAAAATATGTTTCGGAAAATATAATTTGAAAAACGACGTGAATATCATACGACATTTTATACTAATGATCAAAAATGGGTTTTATTTTTTCATCGTACATAATGAACCACAATTTGCATCACAATCAAACAAAAATAAGCACGCGTTACCGAAATAATATAGTGCAATAAAAGCCACACTAAAATCGTGGGCGTTGTGATATTGTGATTGTGATGTTGATGAATTACGTTTATCCATCTTTCTCGTATTGTGGAAGGCCTACAGTGTCGACGCAATCAACCGAAAATTAATGAGTTTTCACAATCACAATCACCGCTTGCGTCATTCACAACTTCAACATTATTT